AGGGCCATTATCCGTAACGTCGCCGATTACAGTGTATAGGTTTTTTTTCTTTTAAGGCCAAAGTGTGATGATAAGTGCGTTGATGTTTTTTCTCTCTCTCTCTCTCTCAATAATGGAATTAATTAAACATCCTTAAATCAGGACCCTCCTGCAAAAAGAGGGGTAAGACTGATATGTTTAAACTGTACCTTTAATATCAGGGCAGGGCGCAGCAGTGGTTATTAGCACACTGCCCTCTACTCATGGGAAACCGGAGTCCAATTCGAACTTATTTCGCACCCTACGGAGCCAACCCACGCTAATCGGAGGTGCGGGGGAAGGACAACAAACTAAGCACAAAACGCATTTCTAAATAAATGAGTTTTCAATCTAGATTATTTGAAAGTGCATAGCTCCAGTGGCTTCCTAATATCGTAAGAGCGTTCCAGACGGCCGTAGAAGCGCGTCTGAAAGCGCTCGATGCAGTGAACCGTCGTTGTTCGATGGCCATCCAAACACAGCTGGGAGGTAGACCGGGGTTTGCGTGATGATGGTTTATGTACCTTGACGAGATCAGAAAAGGTATCGTGGTTAATTTGCGGCCAAGCACTTTGTGTGTAAATGAGTGCCAGCTGATAATGGCTTCGTTCTGCAAAGCGGAAGCCAATGCAGTCTGGGCGAGCACCGGACGGACACGGTCGAATCCCGACATCACAACACGTGCCGGAGGTTTTGTGTGCACGCAGCAGATGTAACATCAGTGGCGCCGTTTATTTTGTGAACCCGGGGACGATACGTTTATATTTACGCGATCTTACCCAACAACAACAAAAAACCGCCCTCTATTATGGATAATAACGATCTCGAAAGCCTCCGTGTTTAATACCAATCTGGGAACACGTGACTCCTTAAATCTCCACCTGCACGAAACCCCACCGATTGGTATGGTTAAGTATGTCTCGTCACACCTGGTCTGTGGGGATACCATTTGTCCAGCAGTAGTTCACAACACGTGATCTGTACCGTACAGGTTAAGTAAAACATATTACCGCAATTCAGATGCCACAAAATACGATAACGTTAAAACTCCCAACACATTCGTCAATATTGTTGTGGCCGCAAAAGAAGAAAAAAAACGTATAACAGGCGATGTTTCGGGCAATGGTCCTTTTTCATAGCACAACATGGGGTGGGAGGGGGTCAAAAATCGTCCAAAATCGCGTGACGTCATTTATAGACGGCCCCTATTACCTGTCTAGTGTTGGTTCTTGATTATGCAAGGATAAGCGTGGTTGTTGATCAATAATGCAGTTTACTTGTAAATGGGAATTACTCGTATGGATTTACATCAACATGCGATAAACCAAATGACCCTCCTCATGACTATTCATGATGCTCTTGTGTGGCCAATTGTTCTCTTATAACTCTGCTGCGCCTCGCACAGGTTTATCGATCTCCCTCGCCCTCTATGCAGGGATCATTGGGTTCGATCCCCGATCCTTGCGATGCCCGCAGTGTATTTGGGATTCCCGTGGATCGTTCTCCGGGTTCCTCCGGTTTTTTTTGCCCTGAACATTTATGAAACAACCTCGCGTTTAGATGATTTGGCTGCTACTCTAAATTCCCACGTGCGATGATGATGATGATGATTATTATTGAGTCTTTAAGCCACTTCAATGGGTGACAAAGAGGCAACAGATCCGTAGGCTTCACCTGGTAACTAAATCGTTTAATGATTTACAAGTTGCATTTTTTTCGTTACATTTGTTCCATAAACACGAGGGAAACAATCGCTCTTTCGACACACGTCACAGAATGTGACATCAACTCAATACATTCGTTAATAACCCTGTCTTAAACGGAAAAGTACCGTTAAACACATTCCTGCGGAGGGAGCTGGTAGGAACGTTGGGTTGCTCGGTCAATGGCCAGGGTCAACGGCGGCACCACGTGGTGTATTCCGCAAATATGCCCGACTGTGAAGGCGGGCACAAGCCGGCGTGAGTAGGTTAAACGTTGAGTTTTATAAGGGCACCACGGGGTGACCAGCCCCTCCCCACCCAGCCCCACCCCTCCCACCCTCCCCACCCAGCCCCTCCCCACCCTCCCCACCCAGCTCCTCCCCTCCCCACCCATCCCCACCCCTCCCACCCCCACCCAGCCCCACCCTCCCCACCCAGCCCCTCCCCATCCTCCCCTCTCCACCCAGCCCCACCCCTACCATTGTTGGATGCACGACAGACGGACGGACACAATATTCCCCTGTGGGCTGGTGTAACCAGGAGGTTCCTACCAGTATAATATGTAAATACAGTATGATGAAATTATTTTGCCGCGTACGTAGCCAACGGTGCTAATCGAAGGTGACGTTTCGGGCAATGACCCTTCTTCATTGCACATAGAGGCTACAGAGTGGATAAGGGTTGGACACTGCACTGTACACAATGGGGCATGATACGAATTACATTTTGAAACGTTTCCTTTAACAGCTTTTTGCTTAACATAATTAACATATGAACAACTGGCTTTCATTCGTTCCAAGGTCGATTAGAATTGACGCGGTTTGAAACGGTGACTGCTTGTAAATCGATGATTATTATGAACACTTAATATGATTAGTGAGGGCAATGTCTACTGAATTCCCCTCTCGTCATGTTCAAATAACCGCAGCGCCAGGATGACTAATCTGTGTGCCGCTCAATGCGTCATGTGGAGCGGTGGCGCAGCGGTTAGCAACACCGCGCCGTGAGCCCGGCGTCGACTCCCCCACCACCACCCCTCCACTTTGATTCCGCGTCCACAGTGAACATAGGTGGCGAGTGAGATATTGGAGCCCGCTTCTTGTCCTCTCACAGCTTCACCAACGCGCGCTGACCAGCGTGGTGAGGTGTTGGTCCAATGATTCCCCGTGATTTACAACAACGTGGTGAGTGAGGTGTTGGTCCAATGATTCCCCGTGATTTACAACGGCGTGGTGAGTGAGATGTTGGTCCAATGATTCCCCGTGATTTACAACGGCGTGGTGAGGTGTTGGTCCAATGATTCCCCGTGATTTACAACGGCGTGGTGAGTGAGGTGTTGGTCCAATGATTCCCCGTGATTTACAACAACGTGGTGAGTGAGGTGTGGTCCAATGATTCCCCGTGATTTACAACGGCGTGGTGAGTGAGGTGTTGGTCCAATGATTCCCCGTGATTAACAACAGCGTGGTGAGTGAGGTGTTGGTCCAATGATTCCCCGTGATTAACAACGGCGTGGTGAGTGAGGTGTTGGTCCAATGATTCCCCGTGATTAACAACAGCGTGGTGAGGTGTTGGTCCAATGATTCCCCGTGATTAACAACAGCGTGGTGAGTGAGGTGTTGGTCCAATGATTCCTCGTGATTAACAACGGCGTGGTGAGTGAGGTGTTGGTCCAATGATTCCCCGTGATTTACAACAGCGTGGTGAGTGAGGTGTTGGTCCAATGATTCCCCGTGATTTACAACAGCGTGGTGAGTGAGGTGTTGGTCCAATGATTCCCCGTGATTTACAACGGCGTGGTGAGTGAGGTGTTGGTCCAATGATTCCCCGTGATTTACAACAGCGTGGTGAGTGAGGTGTTGGTCCAATGATTCCCCGTAATTTACAACAACGTGGTGAGTGAGGTGTTGGTCCAATGATTCCCGGTGATTAACAACGGCGTGGTGAGTGAGGTGTTGGTCCAATGATTCCCCGTTATTTACAACGGCGTGGTGAGGTGTTGGTCCAATGATTCCCCGTGATTTACAACAGCGTGGTGAGTGAGGTGTTGGTCCAATGATTCCCCGTGATTTACAACGGCGTGGTGAGTGAGGTGTTGGTCCAATGATTCCTCGTGATTAACAACAGCGTGGTGAGTGAGGTGTTGGTCCAATGATTCCACGTGATTAACAACAGCGTGTTGAGTGAGGTGTTGGTCCAATGATTCCCCGTGATTTACAACAGCGTGGTGAGTGAGGTGTTGGTCCAATGATTCCCCGTGATTTACAACGGCGTGGGAAAGGCACTCGTCTAGCAGTGGAGTGGGCAGTGGAGTGACATCAACGGCTGCTGTTAACGCAATGTTTGTGACTAGCACGGTCTAGTGACTCCCTGTTGTGTGCCTGGTTGCTGGACATTGTACGGTATATTTAAGCGGATCCTAAAACAAGTGTCCCCCGACTCTTGCATATAAGCATTCGTGGCAAAGGTCATTTGTTCAGTTTGTCATTATGCACACTTTTGGTTAATAGATGTTTTCATGTTTAAGGGCTGGCGTCAAATGCGGGTGATAGTTACGTAACAATGTGTATTTAGATTGACATTTGCACTTAAAAGTACCACCATAAAACCGTTTCAATATACGATCTATAAACACCGTGAACTGATGCATGATTTAAAATCTGAATTGTATTTTATCTTAAAATTACTAACTGGCTATGAATTGTATAACTTACATTTGTTTGCTACACTCACAATCATACACATATAGTATACTTATTCAAGGCAAAGATCCCCCAATATAGCCTTAGACCTGTGGGGTAAATGTTGTTAGCGAGCACTTACGAATGCCATCCTGACACACGAGCAGATGGGTAGCCAGAACCACGCCCGGCCGCCTTTGTCTCCCTCATGACAATGTTTACACATCGCACCAGGTACTCATTTGAGGCTGATTCGACTTAGGGGTAATCGTCAGTGGTGCTGGCCGTGGGCAGGAATCGAATCCGGTGAGCTGGTTTCATACCGCAGCGCACTAACTACTGCACTACCATAATTAAAATTGTTAATCTTGCCTAAACTTGAAGTACGTGTTATTCTAAACTAAACCATTTTTTAATTACTGGATAAGACCCACTGAGCTATATAGCTTTTTTAGAAGCGACCTAGCCACAAATGATATCTCAACGAAGTGGCTTATCAATTGTAAATTTATAGCAGCCAAATACTCGAAACGCATGTTTAAAAATGTGGAGGGAAAAACCGAAGGACTCGGAGAAAAATCCATGCGACCATAGGGATAACATGCAGACTCCAAATAGACAGGCGTCAGGGTCAGGATAGAACCCACGACCTCCTACCTACCAGGCAAGGGAGTTAATATCTCGCCACTGCGAGATATTGGTTCCTGAATAAAGTCGCGTGTATCCAGGGAGGTTCATTTTAGATTGAAATGTATGGACAAGAAAAAAAAAGAAATGCCACAGGGCAGTCATGTGATGGATGCCACCAGAAGCAGGAGTTTAATTGGTCTTCGAAATGTCAGGTGAAGAAGTTCTTTGGTGTTGGGATGTCATACAAAGTTATTTCTGACTTGCAATGAGAACAATTTGATGAGGGCTGCCTAAGAGAAACGTGAACTTGAGCAAAGTGGTCGGAAACATTATCTTCAGGGGACGGACCAAGTTCTATTTAACAGTGAGGGTAACAATTCAGTTAATTATCGTGATTAAAGGTGGTGATTCGATTCAAAATCAGTTGTTTGTGTTGTTTTTATTGTTGTTCATGTTATCTGCCTTGTTTGTACAGTTTTGTTCGCTCCATTAATCAAAGTATAACATTAGCATTTATAATTTTCATAAGTGGCAAATACTCGAATTTGTTTTTTACCACATGATTTAAGCATTGCAAGTAAGCATGCACCGTTACATACCTATTTAATAGTTTGGATGGTCATGGTACTTTTTAGAAAATTAAAAGTGTAATTAAAAAGAATGGCAATGTTATACTGTATCTTACATTAAACTTTCTCGTATCATCATAGGTATGGACAAGTGCTTCCCTAAACCTTGGCTCTGATTTTACATACAGTATTTTTAAAGTGGTTCAAATATTTATTCTCCAGCAATTGCCGACACTATCAAAAATAAAACTGCCAATCCTATTCACATGACCGTGGAAATAATCATCTCCTTCAAAAACATTTCACATGACCGTGGAAATAATCATCTCCTTCAAAAATATTTCAATATTTCATAAAGGTAACATTTAAAGCATGCACCACAGTGAAAGTCAATGAGCGGGGCGAGATTTATAGGTTTTTATCCAGTGTTTGTACTTATTTGCTCACACTGCTCAATTTGGAATACCCTCCCATCGTCTGTTCTCACCAGTTTCTTAGAACAACCTTGCTCAGTTCAAGAAACACATAAAATCGTTTATCTATTCTACTTTCAAAAGTGCTGTTTGTTACAGGCTGCTGGCAGTTTGGGCCATTGGGCCTGTGGTAAAAACCGTGACTTTTTTTTTTATTAAGGAAGGGCCAGGTCTGTGTCAATTCTTTTCGGACCCCGTGGTCTTTTTGGCCAGCATTGCTTGGTGAAAAGCTCAGACAATGGGTGTCCTCTCTCTGCGGAGGTCCAGGCAGTGCTCAATCGCGTCTCTGATGACGCGACGTTCACTCAGCAGTCTCCGTGCCTCTGTTACGGAGCAGTCGCACAGCAGAGCCACCATGGCAGTGGGCACCACCTGCAGACCACAGTAACGATTCATGATGTATCCAAATGTTTACGATTTTTTTTATATAGCGTCGTTGTTCATGCTACACTAAAACTAAACTATAATTATTTTACCAGGTAAGGCACACTGAGCTATATAGCTCTTTTTCATATGCGACCTGGCGATCACAAACGATAGATCATCGAAGTGGCTTATCATGTGGAAAGTATAGCAGCCAAATACTCTAAACGCATATTTATAAAAATCCACCGCGACCACGGGAAAAACATGAAAACTCCAAATAGACATTCATCAGGGTCGGGATCGAATCCACAACCTCCTGCAATCCAGGTAAGGTAGTTAACATCTCGCCAAAGCAGCGCCACATCTGGTCAGCGTGCCAGTAAGGCCTTCATGCAAATTGCATCCCACAATTTTTTGAGGAAGCACAGATAAGCTGGAAGGCAGCAGCCAAGCTGTGAGCAGACACCAACAATTGCCCAAGCTCTGTAATTATCTATCTATTTAGATATTTTCAGCCAATTTTTAATAATTTCTACGTGTTGGAGGAAGCCGGAGAAAACCCATGGGTGTGAAGGGGGCAACACTCTATCCCGACCAGGTGGAACAGATCGAGATTAGTCCACACTTTGCTGTACTGCCTTTTCCTGTCAAGCCACTTTTTATTCAAAAACTCCCTTTGTGGCCCATATGCCGTTCAGTACAAAAAAATAAAACCATTAATACCAAACAGCATGAAGGAGCGTTATGTTCAGACACGAATGTGTATAAACAAGTCAGGGTTTACATCACCTTTTCTTTGTGCGCAATGACTTGGATGTGCCTTGAAATGTCTGCATTGCTAGTCTCCTCAGAAATCTCCTCTGTCTCATAGATGCATCGCAGTAAGGCCTTTAGGCACTCCTTCCGCGGTTGTCCTGTGAATTTCTGAAGCACATCATCTGCAGTTCAATATAAATACCACACGTCTCCAGCAATGCATTGTCATTCGTGACCAATTTACCAAAGATAGAATGCCCTGAAAAAGAGCTTCTTAGCTCAATGGGCCTTACCCAAAATAAACTGAGATGCCATGGGGCACAAGATACATTTCCTAGTGTAATGTGATGTACTATATACTGTACAGTGATGTGCGGTGAGGTCAATGGCTGGGGAGGCACTTGCTCGTGTCAGAGCCAGATTCAGTGTTTGAGGGGGGCGTGGCCTCACGGAGGGGGCGTGGTCTCACTGAGGCAGATGTGTTGCTGCCTCCCCTGGTGTTTTATCATTGAGTTTCATGACGAGACCAGCGAGCCTAAATATCTTTATACACATACGTGAAATAAGTTACCTGGAGTATGGAAGGCGAGGACATGAAATGAAGGGGTCTACAAACATTACATTGGTGACATACTGAGATAGTAACAGCCACACGCTTATTGCCCACGCTCCATCCAGCTACTGAGGGGTTGCGCAATCAGAGGGGAGGCTGAGCTCGTCGCTGCCTCACCTCACGTCTCTTCCTGTATTTGTAGTGGAGCTCCGAAAATTTGGCGATTTTGACTATAAAAATTATTGGAATCGTACAGAAATGACATTTATAACACAGATCAGTGGAAAAATCTTAATATTTATTTTATTTGATTATTATTTTTTTAATTTTCGTAACAGCTATTTTCATTGGAGTATGACAGGTGAGGCTCTACCTCCCCTGACTGCACGTCCCTGCTACTGTAATAGCAGAAAACAGTATTGCTATTACAGTATTATGCACAGACATGTTTATTACACTCCTGCTTTTTTAACATTTGCCCAAAAAGTTAAAACAATTTAAAAGAATATTGTTTCCAACTGAAGAATATGTTAACATTTTAAGGTTCAAGAGGTATTGCTTTACTAAAGCAGTCATAATATGTTGTGTTTTGCACGTTTATACTCAACACGCAACGATTACATTAACAATGATTTTCGCAAACAATACGTGCATTACGTCGCGCGTGCAAAGATCAATGAATTAATGCTATGCAAAAATATCACCTTTTTGGGATAATGGAACACACGAGACAGAACAAGTTAGAATATATGAGGCAGACATTACAAGCGAGACATTACATTCTTGAATGGAATAGAATTGTGACCCCCAATCGCTGGAAGGGGTGAATCGTTACACATTGAGCCGATACATAAAGCGACTACCACATTCCTAGGAAGATCGACCAGGACACGTGGCAAGCTGGCGGGCCCCTCCATCTATCAGCTCTGCCCACCTTTACAAAGTCGCTCCCACTCAGTAATTAACCCTGTCCACACAGTGAACAGCCTTCTTGCTCTTTCAGACCAACCATACCCACTACCCAGGTAGCTGCCACCTTTTGCCTGTATCATGAGCTGAGTATGAGGCCAGAAAATGTTAAAGCACAAGATCTCGATTTTCATTAAAGCTTGGTACGCCAGGAGAGAAAACCAGAATATCTGTAACTTTACCTATATGTATGTTCAACTTCTTTCGCACCGTATGTAGCCAACCGTGCTAATCGGAGGTGCAGGCTAAGGACAACAAACTAAACACAAAAAGCTGTTCTAGAGAAATGAGTTTTCAATGTAGATGTAAAAGTGCATCGCGACAGCGGCTTCCTAATATCGGAGGGGAAGAGCGTTCCAGACTATCACCGTTAGCTTACCTGCAGTATTCCCAAAGCTCGCTCAAACAGCTTCTTGTTGCTGACTTTCAGGTCCACCATGAAGTTGTGGAGCACCTTCCCCTTGGCCACATGGGCGCCCGTGCTAGCGGCATTCAGGATCCACTTTGTGCTAAGCTCCCAGTGGAATATCTGGAGAACACGTTATCTTTTGATTTAAAGCTTTCGTGACTGCAGGGATTCATATTCTTGGTTCTTTCGGTAAAGTCACGTAGAAGGGAAACAATATATTTTTTTATATATATTATTGTTTCCCTTCTACTGGACTTTACCGAAAGAACCAAGAATATGAACACGTTATCGTTTACTACTCTCGCTATCGGCATCACCGTCTTCATGATCAACAATGTAATTGCCTTCAGGAATATCAATGATATTATTAACTTCTTTATTGCATACTAAAAGCTGGTGCCGAACTTCATGGTGGTAAATAAACCATTCAACTGGATATAGCAAAACATGTAATCAATCAATATTTATTTTACGTGCCAATATCGCCCTCAATAAAGTAGACATCAGTGCACATTTCAACCGAATGGAAATTGTACAGGGGGCGTACAGCAAACATTAATTAAAAATAAACCTGCGACACCCTCAGCGGCTAACACTGACTTAGCAAAGGTAATGTTCTTGCCTGCCCCTACTGGACATCCGTGAAACAGAGCTTTATAGCTCATCGGATTCCTGCAGTATAAATACATATTCTGATTCTGATAAATTGCAACCACGCGCAAATTAAAGTGCAACTGTGAAACGTTTGTGTACCTTCAAGTAATGATCCATCTTGTGTGAACTGATTGTAGGCCATGTTACTTTAACGATTGTAGCAAACAGACTCTCCAGTTCTCCCTGCAGAGAAAACCGTACAATATATTAAGGGGTACCATTCACTCATTATTGGGTGGCATATATATGACAAGTGCTCTATGTGGTAGATACTGTAAGGGCAGATCTTGGAGGTCACGCGTCTACTGAGAAGCACCTCCATTAGTTGGCGGAGGATAGAAAGCATTGCCACGGTGATGTGGTGGCATTAGCGGCTTTGGGCATGAACACATCTCGATTTTGTGGTCGAGGAGGCTGGGTGGCTCAGAAGGTTAACACCGTGTCGGAGACATGAAGCCGGCACCACTGTTTGAGTCATGGGTTCAGCTGCCCATGATTAAAACTGGTTCTTAATTGTATGGTCGCAGCTGAGTCAGAATAGCAATACAAAAAACATTCAAATTTTTTTATCAAGACTGCTTATTCTAGTTCTGAGAATTAAAAAAAACGTTGGTTTGATATACGGTAATCGCTCTGCATAGAGCATATGGATAAAAAAGGCATTTTGATGGAACTTCAGAAGTAGTTCTGTGATGTAATCATCTGGCATCTTTCTCTGACTCCGCATGTTTACTACTAACTGCAAGATTTCCAAATAGACATGATTCTTAGTTTGCTGACATAATTCTGATAGAACAGTTATAATTTTGCGTTGCTCACCGTCACAGTTCCAAATAAAAATGTGTGCAGCTCAGGAAAATATGACGTCAAGAAGATGATTGGAATATTATTCGGAGAATAAAAATACAAAGGAAATTAAATTAAACAAAATGCTGCGTTGACGCTTACCCTTAGATGTTGCTCACTTGACGCATGAACGATGGCTGAGATGTGTGGAGAGCGAGCGCGGATCGTCTCTGCGAAGCACCGTACTTCCAGCTGATCGTCTGTGCGCACACACAAAAGGAATTTTGTGTGGTGCCTGGGTGTACGAGCCGGCACCGCCAAGATCCTGGGTACGGGTACGAATCAGGGTTTCAGCCGCGCGTCAATTAACCTGGGTTCTCATTGTTAACAAGTTGATGACCTGAGCCAGGTCACCAATCACTGCACCCAAAAATACAAACGATCACTGTATATTTAGTGTTTTGCTCAATTAGGCTAAATTCTATTTAAAAGTTGAAAATGTTAGTTTGACTTTTGGTTGACATATGATGAACAATATTTGCACTACGTTAAAAGATCTTAATATAATCTGAAGGCGACTTAAAAAATAATTCTATGATGTAGTCTTCAGAGTGGTGAAATAAACTAAAAACGATAAAAATATATATTTTACCAGGCAAGGCCCACTGAGCTATAAAGCTTTTTTTCAGAAGCGACCTGGCCACAAATTATAGTTCAACGAAGTGGCTCATCATGTGTAAATGTATAGCAGCCAAATACTCTAAATGCATGTTTCTCAATGTGGAAAGAAAAACTAGAGGTCCAAGAGAAAAATCCACGCGAACACGGGGCGAGAGACATGCAAACTCCAAATATACAGCAGGTGTCAGGGTCAGGATGAAACCCGACGTACTCCTGCATACCAAGCGAGAGTTGTGTTAAAAGGTAAAATTGTCCACACCAAAACTGGTATCCTTATTGCTCTGAAGAACCACAGATTAATACACTAATAAGCATTACGACCATCCTGAGAATGTATTGAATCAGAAACCATGATTTATATAATCGTCAAAAAAACATCAGGATTGAAAGTCATATTTTTATACTGCAAACTGATAAATATTACGTTGGAACATCGATAGAATATATTACTGTTTAAATATGCCATTCGTTACTTCGTATAATGATAATTATTTCAAACTAAGCAAGTAAAACATTTTCCATACTATTTAAGTGAAAATGTAACTCAATTGGTACGTTCAACACGTAGGCTTTCGCGACCAATATTATTAATAATAAAAAAAAATTGGTTAAATCGTGTAAGTATTAATGTGTTGTAACTCTCCAACCACATTGGTGGGCTGAAGTAATAACTAATTGGTGCGTTTTTTTAACGTGACAAACCTTACTGGCTGTGTCGGGTGGTGGAGGGTTACGATACATTTATACTTACACGATCTAACCCAAAAACCTTTATTATAAATACATTTATACGGACTGCTGGAAGGTCATTGGCCAAAAGTTTCCTTTTATAAATCACGTAAAAGAGTTTTAGTGTCATGTATCATTGCAACTTGATAGCACATAAGCACATGATTGGTGTCATTCAGATCTCATTTAAATAACACAATTACAAATATACAGGAATTGGCTTGTGAGAGATGTTTCATTCAGCCATAGTCATGTTAAAAGACAAACCATCGCCGGTGAAGATAAGGATCACTGTGTCCCAATCAGTCAAGCACGGTAAGATGTTCTTCTTGAAGTCCTCATGGGAAAGGAAAAACTGTTGACCCTAAACACAAAGTTGTCACATGGTTAAGGCCCTGATAAGAAACGCGCGAACTCTGTCAAGACTGTTTTACATGGGAAGCAGCACTGCCCGCGTTTGCATGAGATACACGGCTGGGTTGGAGGGTGTTTGGGAGGCGTGACGTCGGCGCGGTGCACGAACCCGGCTCAACACTGTGGGATGCGGGCCACGTCATCACGCAGATGTGCGCTGTGACATCACCACAGTGCACCTGCGATTTGCATTTAAACCTCTCCACGCAATGTCGGTCAAGGAGACTGTTTGACCATACCGTACCAGGTTGCTCAGTGCAGGTTGTTGAAGCGGCGTAGAACCCAAGACCAATTCCGATATCACTCGCTACGGATGTTAGCCGTAACCAGGAATCGTACTCGGGTGGCTGGGTTCATAGCGCAGTGCTTTTAACCACTGCGCTAACACCGCTCCAGTCACAAAAAAATACTTTATTGTTCATTAATGTCTCTTAGACGTGAGCCAAACACAATACTGTACCTTGGATGAGACGTCACCCTCCTTGATTCCCAGCGTTTGGTAACCCCCATGGAGAAAAGCACGCACGTCATTGATGTCTTCAAAATAAAACACAGACAGGACATTGCTCATCACTTGTTGTAATAAGGACCTGCATGTATAGTTTTATCGCATTAGCTGTATTACCGGACCTATTACCAACTCACCCGGAATGTGCCCAAGTAATACACACATCTCACTCGAATTAAAAGTGAAATTTAGCAAAGTAGATGTAGAATTACATCAGGAAATCAATGAATCCAAGATTTTTTACGTGGCATATTCAGCAAATATGTTACACGGAAGTGCCAAAGGCAGTGCAGGTGCAGTCACATGGGTGTTCATGCGGTGGCGGTGAACGTATCTGACCGGCTCCGAAGGTCGGTGGACATTCGCTGGCGTCTATCATCGCCACGATGCCCAACGTCCCCCAACCCAGGTAGTACAGGTGCCCAGCTTGTTGTAAGCTGTGAATGAGGTATGGAGAGCCTTGACCAAGTGAGACGATCATATTGTGATTAAAATTTAGGAAGTTTAGGATCAACATTGCAACGACCCAAAAACTATTATTACATTTGTTAATGTTAACGCAATACTAGTTTAAGTTCATTTTATTTCTTTACAAGGACGATCACCTTTAGCCAGTTTTCCGGCTATTTCCACAAGGGACATCCGTGGTGCGTGAGTACAGCGACAACAAAACAAAGCCAAAAACATCATCAGTATTGCAGAGCATGAGTACAGGGTCCTTCAGGAATGGGGCACCGCGGTGGGGAGATGCTATCTGCCTGGCCTGGTATGGAGGAGGTCGTAGGTTCGATTCTGACCCTGACACCTGTATATTTGAAGTTTGCAAGTTCTCTCTGTGGTCGCGTGGATTTTTTCCGGGTTCTCCGGTTTTTCCCTCCACATTTAGAAATATGCGTTTAGATGATTCAGCTGCTAGAAATTTTCCACGTGAAAAGCCACTTCGTTGAGCTATCATTTTATGGCCAGGCCTTACCTGGTAAAATAAAGTGTTGTTAAAAATTAGGTATAGGTTAGGAATATTGCACAACTAATAAATGAGGTCGTTAGGCACGCAGCCTTTGTAATGTTTAAAGAAATGAAGATTTTTAGCACACAATAGCCACACATCAACAGCGCATTATATGAAAGGTATGCATTTACAACTAGCAAAATGTATTTATTTACGGACAGAACACTTCAACCCAAATGCAACGATCTCAACAATCTTAGAATGCAAACAACACATCTTAAAATGTCAAAACATAATAGCTCCCCTAACCACATGAGCAGACCTCCAGGATGTGGAATGCATTCTAACTTGACCACAGTTTGGGTGTCAAGTCACAAATAAGTTGTATTTGAATACCAGGGGTGTGTATTCCAAGCTGTCTGACACGATTCTGAAGCTTCGTTCATGAGAAAAAGACTTTCAATTGACTCTCGGGAGTGATTATGATTCTCAAAAGGCATCATCACAGTGACTATTTTCTCGCCAAAAGCTACATCGCAAATGCACGACTGCATAGTGATTCGAAGGTCGTTTTTCATCGTAACGAAGCTTCAAACCTATGTCTGACAACACAGGACAGGTGATCTAGATGTGTAACTACAAGGTATTTTGTTGTTGTGTCCCTTTAACAAAGGCAACACTTGACTTTGCATGTCGATGACACCTGAACAGGAAATTCAACTAGCAGTCATGTGTTCACCTTCGTGTCAGAAGGCAGAGCTATCTTGAGAGTGGTGCTGTGTAGCAGTGCTGATGGTAATGTATTTGCATATCTGTTGAGACAAATTTAAAGTTTTAGGGGTTCGTTTACTTTATAAGCAACTAGCTTTACTACCCGGCTTCCCCCGAGACTTGGAGTCTTGTCTTGGATTAATACACGGCCGACGCGGAGGGTGGGGGGGATGCGTGACGTCAACAGGCACACTGCGTGACGCTTCCGCATGCGGGTGCCATCACAAGATGTGACGTCACCGCAGTTCAAAATATATCCATCATTGCGCCCCCTCCCTCAAAATACAAAAGTCTATTTTTATACTTTTTGCATTGTGTACAGTCTGCAAGCTACCCACATGCTAATTTTCAAGTTTGTTGCATGTTGGAAAGTATGCTAAACATTTTGAACAGACACACATTCACACATTTCCCTTTTATATATATAGATTGTGTCACTATACTTCCTGCCATGTGCTCTCCCCTCGAACCATGAAGGCCTTCCTTTGTCATCCTCCTCGTACACTGTACTGTATATCGTACTGTATGTACGTTGAAATTTTGCCCTGTACGTAGCCAACCGTGCTCATTGGAAGTGCGGGGGAAGAACGAACTAAACACAAAAATCAGTTCGAAAGAAATTCGTTTTCAATCTAGATTTAAAGGTGCACAGCTCCAGTGGCTTCCTAATATCAGAAGGAAGAGCGTTCCAGACGGCCGCAGAAGTGCATCTGAAAGTGCACGATGCGGTGGCCATCTTTGTTCGATGGCCAGCCAAAATCCGCTGTGAGGATGACCGCAGTTTGTGATAGTGACGAGATCAGTGAGGAAAATATAGCTTCTTGTCTGTGGTTTCCCAAGAAAACGTGTGCCCCGATTTTTTTCCAGCGTCTTGTAGACGAAGCCGCATTGAGATACAATACAAAGACTACAATTTTCGTTGTACATTTATATGGCACTATTGAGTGGGAGGTAGAATCTGTAGTTCACCTTGTTCCACATCTGTGCACCAGTTCAGCGATGCTTGGGCTGCAGGCGTACGTGGTCTTGTGCACCGCCTCGTAGGACAGCAGGCACTCGCGAACACAGCTGCACACGCGGTCACACGATGCCGTCGCCATGTTAGTGTACAACTTTCTTTTTTTTCGTTTTGGCAGGGAGTAAATCGACGTTCATGTCGAGGTTGATGAGTAAGCCAGTGGATGGCTCCAGGACGAGTAGCCTGATAGACTATACAGTGGCCCTAAGTTTTACAATGCCATCGATTAACGATATTTCGATTAACGATCCGCCTCCCATAGGGTCCCATTATTTTTTTTATTGACGAGACATTTTCGATTTACGATATGTTTACGATATCACGCGGCCGCCAATTTTGGCCAATCGGAGTGCTCCTAAGTGCACTCAGCAGACCTCAGCCAATCAGCGAAGCCCTTTAATGAACGTCAAGAGCAACTGGCTGCTCAAAAGAAAGCTATCTCTGGTGTGGACCAATCAGTTTAAAAGACAATGAATATATTATCAAAGTATTTTTTGTTTGCATTCTGACCACAAGTATTGTGGTTAATGCAGACATGATTCCTTGTAAAAAGGTTTCAGTTATGTTGCCAGAAAAAAGGAAAAACCGATCCTTATAGCCTATCTATTAATTATTTATCCATGTTTGTATTAGTATAGATTATTTAACATGTTTTTATAACGTTTATTTATTAAAATTGCGTGCTCAAATATTTAAACTATGTTTTTAGGGTTATTTCAATTAACAATTTTTGTGGAACCAATGAATATCGTTAACGAGGGACCATTGCATATGAAAATACTTCCCAAAAAGTGTGCAGCATCGACCTAAGCCTGCTGAAAGTTAAAGCCAGCAAAGCCATGGACTTGCAGGGGTTCATTTGAGGACACTAACCTCAAAGAATGTTTAACAATTTTGCACTACTTCCGGGCTAAAAAAGGCTGCGTGTACCAATATGTGCGCGTGCATTCATATTTAATTGCGTTTTAAGAGCAAACAAATTGCAAGAACATGACATTGATATCTAGGAAAGCACTCTTGACTCCTGCATGTCAATATGCTTTAAGTAGAACACATGAGGAAGACACTCGAGCTACGGCACTTTTCAATCAAGATAACAACATTTTTATTTAGAATTGCTTTTTGTGTTTAGTTTGTTGACCTTCCCCCGCACCTCCAATTAGCATGGTTGGTTAGGTACGGTGCGAAAGAATGTCAACGTACATTCATACATGAGCTATGATTACACAGGCACTTTCGGGTGAAGTGGCGGTGCGGTGGTGACCATACTGTGAACCCAGAGGCCCGAGTTTGATTAGCAGTCAATGCCGCTCAATGGCGAGTTTTTTCTGAACCACTCCAAGGCCCTACTCTTACCAACCACCGAACGGTCAAACACCCATGCTCAATGCAGCATGGGGAAGGCCTTCGTACAGCAGTGGAATGACAATCCGAGGAAAATTAAACCACCGTATCCTTCATATGTGAGATCTTTACACATCATATATTGCGTAGATATGAGTGTGCATCGATATTGTATAAATCCCCATTATTTTTATATTATTGCATTTATAAAATGCACCATCTTAACAGGCTAACATTCGGGGCAATGACCTTTCTTCAGAGGAGCAGACAGAGACGATGGCCAGATTGGATGACCGCGCAGATTGATGAAGGGGCCAGCCCAGAAATGGTCTAGATATCAGTCGCCACTGATGTTAGCCGTGCTAACATTATCGGTCGCTGGGTTCTCCGTTCCACTCTGGGACAAACATGAGCCCACGAAATCTTTGAATATTATAAAGGAAGTCAATTATTGAGAACGTGACTTGTACATTTCTCCCAATGCGTTTGATGTTTTCATATAATCCCTGATCATATTACTTTATTTGAATAAATCGGCGCCCTTGTATCCGTCAGTCAAAGGCTTAGGAGCTGCGTCGATTGTGTCCCATGTGCGGACACTGAATTTCGTGAGTTATGTATGAAGTCGCACCTGGGTGAGACTGCAACGCCGGCGTTTAGAGCCGTGTGCGCGGCCAGGAAAACCGTTTCTAAGACGACCTTGGTCGCGCTTCCTCCTTTCATGCGAGTGGAGCCAGTCAGAGCCTCCGCCTGTCACACGCCAAATATTTCAAACAGTTCCTTAGCGCAGCGTAGAGCTGTTAAGTGCAAGGGTCTACAGTTATTGGCATTATAGGGGTCCAGGTTACAAAACTCCACCGTGGAAATTTAGTATCACAATACGATATGTATTATTTTTACAAAATGTATTGTTAATTTTTACGTGTCAATTATTACTTATATGCAAGGTGGGCAGAATATGATGTGAGAAATGTACAGTGTGAAAGTGGCATCAAGCTCAAGCTGTTTTTCATGTTATACAGCAATCCCTCGCCAACCTTAGGGGTTAGGTTCCTGAAAAAGACCGCGGTAAGCAAAACCGCGGTTGGTAAAGCACAGGGCATATGGGAAATAAGGGGGTTAGGGGAACCACAGCCGCGATCAGACTCATCATTGCTTAACTAAGTTGCCTGTTTCTTCACTAAACACGAATGAAATCCAGTGCATTGCACAATAACATAATACAATTTGAAATAAACATAAAATTTACTTTGCATACCTTTAATATTAACGCTGATGATGACAATGACATGGGGGGAAGGGCTGGTTAGAAGGAGGGGGGCTCAGTCCACCTTCCCCCTCTTCCTCTGGGCGACAGACGCAACAACTCTCACCTTCACCACTCGCTTACACGCTTCGGGTTCCTGATTAAGGGCAAAATTGGCCCTTTTCCGGAATTGGAAGAAAAAATTAAATAACTTTATCGGTAAAGTACGTCTTTAGGTCGTAAGATGTACGGAGGCTCCCACTATAGACTATGCGGGAGGACGTGTGGCACAGTTTGGCGCCAGCTATGAGAGTGCGGTTGTGTCGCTACAGTTCTCTGCCGTGAATACAATGTCTTTAAATCAACAGCAATAACGCCCCTAAATCAAATTAACGCTAACCGCTTGCACGTTGCGGGGTGGTGCTGTGGCGCAGACAACCACCGCCCCGCCCAAAATTGCAACAGGATGTCGTACTGTAATGCAATGACGTCATTGCTGTAATGCAATGACGTAATACAGACGTCGTGTGACTTCCTTAACACCGTGTTTACTCGCAGAGACTCACATTTTCAGGCCGCGGTTGGTAAATTGTTATACAAATAATAAACAAATGTATACATGAAACCGCGGTTGGCAAGGGATTCGTGTATAGCATCATAATTGTGTCACGGGTTCAGAAGGCACCCTTTAAACCACTTCAGCCAAGGCAGCATCTCATCAAACGAGAGATCGACTGAGGAAAATGACAGCGCTACTGAAGTCACTTCAATGGACCTCTCTTACCCAGCACTGAGCAATGCCCCTTCATGCTCTCAGTACAGGGTTATACTCCCAATGTGTACATTTGAATCCTGAGAGCTGTACGCGTGTGAATTACATGTGTGCATGCAGTGCCTTTAATGTAATCCAGCACTTTGCAGGCAATGGTTTGAGGATCAGATTTGTGGAACTTCCAAACCCATGGCAGTAGCAAGTAGATTGAACTCATCTGTGCATAGGTTTGAGTGTTATCCCCTCATTCATGCAGTTTTCTTCAGTTACCTTAGTTTCCACCCACACGCAAAATTGAAATTGTACAAACATCCCAACGCAGAACCTTTAAAAAAATAACTATTCAGACCAAGAGGCTTTCCTTGATAAATACAGGACATTGTATGTACAAATCGAGTATAACACTAAATTGACTGATGGTGTTTTTATACAGCCATTGAAGATTGGGCTGAGACTACCAGTTTACCGTGATAGACTGCCCCAATTCTAAAAAAATAAACTTTTTATTCTACCAGGTAAAGCACACTGAGCTATATAGCTCTTTTTCAGACGTGACCTGGCCACAAAATGATAGCTCAACGAAGTGACTTATGTGGCAATTGATAGCAGCCAAATACATGTTGATTCTAAATGTTGAGGAAAAAAACGGATGACCCGGAGAAAAGTCCCCACGACCGCAGAAAATATGCACTTGAGATTTTATTTTCTACAGACAACAAAAAATTTATGCTGATAAATTTGTACTTAATAAATGAACGCTTTCATGTTTTTAATATCCTGTTTTAAAAATGTTTTTCGTAGCATCTCACTTGCCTACGGTCACATTTTCCACCCGTCTACAGCGATGTAGATCCCGCTAAGCCATCGAAATGATGACTATGTCCAGCAAAAAGGAGAAGAATTATGAAATATTAAGCAGAATAAATAGACCATCTCAGAATTTAAAAAAACTCCAACTGCCTTGTCTGCAAACAGCATCTTCATCATGGAGTTCCTCATGGGCATTAAACACTATTGTTCTGTTTTTCTTGAAAGACCAATACCCGTATAATACATTTAAGATATCTGAATCTATCTTTTTCTTGCCCAGTTTGATTCCAGTTGCATTAGACGTCATGTCTTTAGATGAAATGTCCATCTGGAACTCACGCAGAGCGATGCATCACTCCGTGTTATGGAATGGCGCGTGAAAGTTATCACAGAACTACTTCTGAGATTCCTTCAACTGACCTCTTATTCACACTAGGGGTCTCTGCACTTTCCCACATACCGTTACTATAGAGAGTCGTTGATCCCGTGGGAGTCATCATGCCATGTAAGTTTGCCAAGTTCAGCGAAACACTAAACCTTGATGTTTTTTTGTGCAATTATTATTGACCAAGTGGTGACCATCAACTCGCTTTCAGAACCCAGTTGAGTCGTTAGCAGCTGAAACCCACAAATTAACTGAGTGGTCTCGCCTCTCAGCCACTTGACCACTTCGATACATTTGACTATTTACTGAAAATGAATAAGTACTGAGTCTACGATGACTTGTGAAAGAGCCCACCAAAGGATGGACTCACCCCAACCAATGGGTTGAGAAGGAAGGAGGTGGCGGTTGAGATGCTTCTTGAGTGAATCCTTTCTGCCACCTGTGCAAAACTTGAGTGCCAGCCCTCCACCTTGGTTGTCCTGAGCACAACACCGACAGGACGCACTCAGAATTAAAGTCACTCTGAAATCTCTCCCATAACCTGACATTTTGGCAAAAAAAAAAACAATAGGATTAACGGTATAAATGAGATCTCACTATTGGTCTCCTTTGTATCATGTGTGCCTGAGCGCTGAATACTTATGGATGTAAGGATTCATTTATTAAAATATCATCTTTAACCAAAGATATATGCAGTGAATAATGTACAGAAGAATCGATATTTGATGAACAAATAAACCAACGTTTTGTTATATGTAGGCTTTACCCAGCGAACAAGACTTTACAAACAAGATGGAACGTGCAGATAATATATTGGAGACAGTACAAGCAAGACATGTTTAAATCAAATTGAAACACAGATTCTTTATTTATTTTTAAATGTCGGGGTAAGATGTTATGATTCCAGCATGAATATTAGTACTTACACTCATGATACAAACACCACATTTGCATGTAAGGATGTAATACTTATGATTTGTATATTTAAATTTTTAAATAGTTTATCACACTAGTTTACCTAGAAAATCCTGACTGAGTCTCGTGACTTAAATATATTTGGCTTATGGAAATCCTGCAGCCACTTTACATTTTACATACACTATTGATTTCACAGATCATACTGCACTTGAAAAAATGATTCAATGAGTGAACTCATGATCCCTGATTGTCATAAACTCACAAAGGGGTCAATCGTCAGAGCCGTACTGTTTCATATCTTTATATAAATCGGTTACACTTGTGATGTGAGTATCGTCCAGCAAAGGGCTAACACCTGAAAAGAAGTTTACATTTCTTGTAATAATTTAGTGCTTACGTTTAACTCAAGAGACAGATGAGACAAATAGAGTATATTTATCAAGCGAATCCGGGGTTAAAATAAATACATCAGACAGCTGTTGTTAAAATTTACACTCGGTGCTAAGGATGGCTTGGTGTACAGAAGTTCTGTTTTGGGATACGCTGCCATTCATTTGTGAATGTCTGCCCTTTTCCAGGTTATTCCTTGAAAGAAAAAAAACACCTGCGTAGATTGTTGACGTGTAGATGTGTGTGTGAGTTGTGTGCGTGGGGAGCGATAATGTAGCGGTTAGCCCACTGCGCTACGAACCCAGAAACCCGTGTTCGATTCCTGTTCAACACCAGTGACGATTATCTGAACCGGGCATGGGCTTCCTCTAGGTCGACTCAGCCTCAATTGAGTACCTGGTGTGGTGTGCAAACATCGCCACTGGTGTTGGCCACCCACCCCCTCGTGCGCCGTGCCAGCCTTCACAGGTGCTCGCGAACAGCACTTGCCCCAACAGTCTGTTGTTCAGGCTATACGGGGAATCTTTGTGTGTGTGTGTGTTCTCACCGTGCCAGACTGAGAGGGTTGAATCCTAACAGCACCGCTGTAAAGCGACCTGGGTCTGCCAGACACATGTCCAGCTGCCCAGCTACAAAGGGAGCCTGAGAAGGGGGAAGGGTCATAGGTCATCTTTCCAGAACCTGCCACACACTTTCTGTGCGTGAGCTTGTAGGCTGTAGGTTCAGTAGTGCCGTGTGTAGTAGTGAAGCCGTGCTTTCAGGGAAGTACGATGCAGACTTTCATCAATTAACATTGATTCTTAGTTTCGCGATTCACGCGCACAATCATGTGATGGAAGTGATGTTGTTTTTTTATTAGCGTGTGTTGCATGTAATTGCTTCAAGTGACCAGTGCACCAGTGCAGAGAATAGAGGTGGTATCGTTCACCACAACGTTAAACAATTAATCTAGTCTTCAATCTAATGATGGCCCTGAATCGTGACAATCTGTCAAATCTCCGGAGAGGGATGTATGCATTGTTCCACGTTAACAAGATTGGACGTTACTGTATATCGGTGACTACGTTGCTTGCTCATCCCCACGATGCTATAAATCACACAGCCACGCCTACAGTAATTCTAAATGTATATTATATTGTTTAGTTACATTATTATTTAATATTGAGTGTCATACATTTTTAAAGGGTGTTATGTTTTTATTGAGAATACATCTTAAACCCTCATCTCCCTTTATAAAACGGCTCTGATCTCACTGGGCTCGTAAAGTAATTGGTTGTGAATAAGGAGATATCTGTCAATGTTAAGTACAAGGGGTCATCACTTGTGACCTCAGACAAAAGAACAAAGCACTTCTTCAGGAAATGGCTATGGGTTTGCTTGCATGTGCACAAAGGCTGTGTGCTTTTTACACATTTTTGCATGTTGTTTCAAACTCATGGTTTTTCTCGTCTACACTATTATTCCCTATTATTTACATATTAGGATTATTTAGAATATTAGCAACAAAGAAAAATGGTGCAGCCTCACCTTGTGCAGTAGAGAATCTATTAAATTTAGAGAAAACAGGTGTTTAACAGTTCTGCCAGCTAGACTCAGTGCTGATTGGTAGTGTATTCCAGTATTAACAAATGCACTGTTTAATTGCATGCCTATTCAGGTTATCATATATTTTTTAACTATGATAATCCCAACCGATAATATATACTGAATATTTTCAGATTAACATAAGCCATTATAATTTATATAATTACATTAACCTCCATCCGATCTTCACACCTGATAGGCACACAGTGATAACATCATCTTGCTCGATTTAACACCAGAGGCAGGAAGACTTCAAACCTTACTAATTGGCTGTGTCGGGTGGTGGTGGATTAACAACACATTTATATTTATGCGATCTAACACAAAAAAACATTATTAAGAATAATATTGGTCGATAAGTCTTATGTGTTAAACTAAGGCACAACTTTGTGGCTTAACGGTGGTACTCCGCTTTCACTCACCGACAACCCGCACGTAATGCCTATGAAGAGGATCATCTTCTTATCCATTGTGACCTACATTGGAAAAGGAGGAAAAATCATCCACAGCCAGATTCCCACTGCACGCATCTGCATCATGATTTGCCCCCATTGGCGGTAACTGGAGACATAGACACATTTTTTAAAACTGAAAAATGCATAGAATCTCACATTGCCCAACAAGATAATCTGTCTCGAGCCGTGCAAGTGTATGGTGTGAAATATTAAATTTAAAATTTTCCAAGATCCACGAAGATAATCATACAGGAAGACTTTTGCTACAAAACAAATTTTAAGAATAACCTCGACGTGATGTTATAATCCATGACCCAACAATTTATAGTACTATTTTGCTCTAGAAAACAAAATCTTTCCCATTCCCAAGGATATGTTCCCTCTCACTTGCTTAGAAGGACAAGCGAAACAATTTTAGCAGAAAAACCGGTGAGCGAAAGCAACATGATGTCCCAAGAGGTGAACAAAGAAGGCATGAGATGTAAAAGGAAGACAGCCCACGAAGGTCAAGGGTCAAGACTGTGCAACAGCTGAGGAAAACTAGGCAGGAGAGGAGGGCAAAATGTGATGACATTCATAGAACCAGCAGTAATTACCTCTTCGCAATAAAAAATATAATGCTGCCTTACATAAGCTGCTGCAGTAAACCGTTTGCCAACCCAGTCCGTTTTTAGGGTCACCCTGAATACCTCTCTCAGCTGCTGACTCCCAAGCTCGGGCTGGTCTTCCTGGGCCTCCTGAGATGTAATCAACGCCCTGTGGGCATATAGAGGGCATTTACAGGACGTAACAATTCGGCTTGTACTCGGTGTCAGTGCTGTGATTTAGATTCGTTATACTGTAACAATTCACTCCCCCGGACCCCCACCCCACGAAATTGGGTGAATTATGGTCGTAATTCGATTGAAGTATCAATGATTTTAACATCTTTTTTTATCGTCTCATTTGTGCTATTTCATTTATATTGCTTTGTCTCACTGGGCTCTCGCTTGAGTAACGTTCATGTGTGTGTACAGTACATGTGAATATATGCATATATAAATGCCCATCTTTAAGATGGACACTACATGCACACCGCGTTGACATGCACGAGTGCTGTTCATGCATCACGGCCCCTACTTATCTCCACCCGCAATGACATATGTGTAGCACGGGGAGCGTCCACAGTCCTGCAGCAGTTTGTTGAAAGATTTCTACAGTAAACACACATGTCAGTAAATTAAACTAATGGCAGCAGAACTTATGGATTAAAAAATTTCTAAAATAGTATTTTACCACAATTTTATCCCAATTGTGCCAGTGGTGTTATGTCACGTGTGTAGAATCCATTCAGAGCTCTCGCAGAGGGCAGCGCTACCCCCGTCTTATTGAAAAGGGCCATGGAAGCGGATACATATAACTAGTCTTGAGATCTCTTCAAGTTACCGCTGATTCACACCTGCCCGTCTGCAGAATAATATTCGTTGCTTGACAGTCTATTCTCACAGCTGTAATTTAGCCACATTAAGATACTGAGTGCAGAACCAATTAGATAAAAAAAAGTTTTAAAGTCATTCTGACCAGCTAAATATAGTAACACTTGATGAACCTAGTTTAATCACAGGCAGCTGCCTCGAGGATTTCAGTTTGCAGTGTTTAATTTTGTATTTGTTTAGGTAGTTCATAATGTGTATTCCCATGTTAATTCAATCATGGCTTGCTCTCGGTACAGATATTTTTGTCGAGACTACGGAATTTTAATGCAATAAGAGTACAAAGGTCAATTTGACTGTCGCAATTCGGCATGTAACAAGTCACATCCTTCCAGCAGTTCGATTAATAGTCACCATTTGGAGTCACAGTCTGATTTAAAAACACAGTACGGATATTTTTGTTCTAATTTTACCATCTCGACAATTGTATTTTATTCTATAGTTTTGATTGCTAATTTATCATATATGTAACATGAACATATAACTTGATTGAATGCAGAAAGAGCATACCAATTTATTTTAAATATTCACTGCATCGTTATTTGTCCAGTAGCAATGCTGATTAATATCGTGGAGTTTAACAGTAATCAAATATACATTTTAAAATAGACTTACAAAACTATGCATAATTAAATCTTGACTTAAAGCTTTCGTGACTGCAGGAATTCATATTCTTTGGGTCTTTCAGTAAAGTCACGTGGATAGGTTTAAAGAAAATAAAAAAATAACAAAAAACTACGACGTTTCGATCGCTTGTGTTGTGATCGAAACGTCATAGTTTTTGTTTTCTTTGAACCTATCTACGTGACTTTACCGAAAGACCCGAACACTAGGCGTAATTAAAGGACTTAACCTGGCTGAAAGGAGTTTTATGAATGTGTGCTATTTTGATATACAGCACCATCATGCACTGTGCATCTGTAAAGTCCTCAAGTAGAACTAGTGGCTGCAATTTGACATACCGCAACAAGAAACGCCAGTCTTCCCGATGTCCCACATCCACTCAGCACTATCGCATTGTTCTCCGGGTTCTGAGAACCAAGCCATGTACAATCGATCCACTGTCAGTTTTCAAAATAAAATATACAATGTACTGTACATTCATAGTCTAGCACATGAAAATGAATTCACACACAGGCCCACAGGAAACATGCACTTACTTGGCAGACCTTATGAATTGTAATAGTATAATTTGTCTTGCAATTTGTTGAATATTGTCCGAACATGAAAAGGCCTAATTTCTTAAACTGCATTTGTGTACGATGGGTTACTTTTAATGAAATGTTTTTTAGGAGCCTTAGAACTCAGTCAGAATAGCTGCACGTGGTGTACCTTAATAACATGAATATTTAAAGTATTGATAAACACTTCCAATAACAGCGTGGGCAATTCCACAAAAACAATGATCGCGTCATTTATTTATCGAGGGAAAACCTCATTGAGTCTTAAGGCTTTTTTAGAAGGGTACTGCATTGGGATGTTTGCCAAATTTCCCTTTAAGTTGAAAACCCACACAGTGAGGGAAAAAAAGTATTTGATTCCCTGCTGATTTTGTACGTTTGCCCACTGACAATGATCAGTCTATAATTTTAATGGTAGGTTTATTTCAACAGTGAGAGACAGAATAACAAGAAAATCCAGAAAAACGCATGTCAAAAATGTTATAAATTGATTTGCATTTTAATGAGGGAAATAAGTATTTGACCCCCTCTCAATCAGAAAGATTTCTGGCTCCCAGGTGTCTTTTATACAAGTAACGAGCTGAGATTAGGAGCACACTCTTAAAGGAAGTGCTCCTAATCTCAGCTTGTTACCTGTATAAAAGACACCTGTCCACAGAAGCAATCAATCAATCAGATTCCAAACTCTCCACCATGGTCAAGACCAAAGAGCTCTCCAAGGATGTCAGGGACAAGATTGTAGACCTACACAAGGCTGGAATGGGCTACAAGACCATTGCCAAGCAGCTTGTTGAGAAGGTGACAACAGTTGGTGCGATTATTCGCAAATTGGAAGAAACACAAAAGAACTGTCAATCTCCCTCGGCCTGGGGCTCCATGCGAGATTTCACCTCGTGGAGTTGCAATGATCATGAGAACGGTGAGGAATCAGCCCAGAACTACACGGGAGGCTCTTGTTAATGATCTCAAGGCAGCTGGGACCATAGTCACGAAGAAAACAATTGGTAACACACTACGCCATGAAGGACTGAAATTCTTCAGCGCCTGCAAGGTCCCCCTGCTCAAGAAAGCACATATACATGCCCGTCTGAAGTTTGCCAATGAACATCTGAATGATTCAGAGGACAACTGGGTGAAAGTGTTGTGGTCAGATGAGACCAAAATGGAGCTCTTTGGCATCAACTCAACTCGCCGTGTTTGGAGGAGGAATGCTGCCTATGACCCCAAGAACACCATCCCCACCGTGAAACATGGAGGTGGAAACATGTTTTGGGGGTGTTTTTTCTGCTAAGGGGACAGGACAACTTCACCGCATCAAAGGGACGATGGACGGGGCCATGTACCGTCAAATCTTGGGTGAGAACCTCCTTCCCTCAGCCAGGGCATTGCAAATGGGTCATGGATGGGTATTGCAGCATGACAATGACCCAAAACACGGCCAAGGAAACAAAGGAGTGGCTCAAGAAGAAGCACATTAAGGTCCTGGAGTGGCCTAGCCAGTCTCCAGACCTTAATCTCATAGAAAATCTGTGGAGGGAGCTGAAGGTTCGAGTTGCCAAACGTCAGCCTCAAAACCTTAATGACTTGGAGAAGATCTGCAAAGAGGAGTGGGACAAAATCCCTCCTGAGATGTGTGTAAACCTGGTGGCCAACTACAAGAAACGTCTGACCTCTGTGATTGCCAACAAGGGTTTTACCACCAAGTACTAAGTCATGTTTTGCAGAGGGGTCAAATACTTATTTCCCTCATTAAAATGCAAATCAATTTATAACATTTTTGACATGCGTTTTTCTGGATTTTTTTGTTGTTATTCTGTCTCTCACTGTTCAAATAAACCTACCATTAAAATTATAGACTGATCATTTCTTTGTCAGTGGGCAAACGTACAAAATCAGCAGGGGATCAAATACTTTTTTCCCTCACTGTAAGAGGTCCACTTTCTCTTCTGCCATCTGCTCTCTTTGCATACAAAGTATACAAATCGATGCATCGTTTCACAACCTAAAAAACTTATATTCAAATGTTAACAAAGAATATATGACAAACGTATGTTGTTGCCTTTGTGCCATGTTAAACTTGCACACATTCTCTGTATTTTAAATGTGGCTTTTAATAGGAGTCCTTACCTCGAGTATGATTTTTGCTTGTGCAGCCACATCGGTCATCAACCTTATTGTGGACTCACCAAATAATGTCTATAAAGGAAGGAATAATTAATGTTTTAATTAGTACTTCATTGGTATTTAGTATTTTTACTTCACCTCCCATTGAACGCAAACAATTTCATCTCCCGTACAACCTATTCACACACACACACACCGGATGCCTTTACACATGATAGACATACAAACTTTGCGGAGGATGGCAAACTACCTTCTGTACAAAAACAACTCTACAATGACAATGTGCGTGAAAGAAAAAAACGAGGCGACGTTTCTGGCAATGGCCCCTTCACAGCATATAGAGGCCAGAGAAGAAATAGAGTGGGTAACCTTCTCTGTAGCCTCTTTTGACCTGCAAAATCCATAAACCCCACTTCTAAAGCGAGATGGGCCATTGGCTGAAACGTTAATTCTCTGTTACTGTATATTCTATCACATTACAGTGGTAATGATGCCATGAGGTTGTTCTTTAATTGTGCTTGTAAACCACAGCCAACAAAGCCTATTTTTTGATATTTACATAGGATTAAAGGGTATACATTTTCAAAAGGATGCATTTATATTTAGAACTATTATTTATTTTTAATGATGTAGTCTTTCTAAAAATGTTAATTTCACCGGAATGTGAATGCACGCACTTGTGTTCCTAAATGTTGCACAAAACACATTTTCTAAAATAGGGCCTTTTCATTTTCAATTATCTAAATGTTTGTTTTGTATTGGTCCACAACTATAACGTCACTGGAAAGTGAAAATACTTCTACGTCGTCATTTCCTTTTATGGCAAGAGCGATGGCGCGTGGTGTCAGCTGATGTCACTTTTGTTAGCAAAGCACGAAGACATGTTAAGTTAAAGTTGCTATTACAGTATATAAAATTATAATAAGTATAAAGATGCGAAAATCCACCCAAAAAAGGTCTGAAAATTCCCTTAAAAGTCCGAAATTTTTAAATCCAAAAATGCATCTCATACAAAGTGATGTGTACACATGTTATTGTCACAGAGGTAACCACAAATGTTAGCACCATGTGTTCTTCAGCCGCTGTTGCTTTGTCATCTCGTTGGAAGATCTCTAAATCACACTCTTGAAGAAGCTGGACAAGCTGGGATGGCGAGGCAGTGTCCAGGCCATGAGTACGTGGATTTGCCCTCTCTGTGTGTGGCACCAAATCTTCAAGTGCTGCCATCTCCCCACAGACTCTGCGATCCAGACAGACATCTGATAATGTGACACGCGCCACACACAAACGAACTGCAAATACGTAAAACAAACTTGAATACAGCTTTAGTGTGGCAGTCAATTAAGCAGAGTTTTCAATGTGTGAAGAGCATGCAACTGACGCACGACTGCATATTAATATACTGTACAATCATCGTAAAAGCTTTAAGCTAATAAACGTGCTCACTAAATTGCAGGTGTAAGGGCCTCCACTACAGCGGAGTTCTGGAGGGTAATTTTAATCCAAGGTAATGTAATGTATGTATGGTATTTTAAAAAGCAACCAATAACACAACATTCATATAATACACTGTGGCTGCTTCTACCCAACTTAAATTTTCAATAAAAATGGAGTCCATTCGTTTTTATCTGAATGACTTTTTTTATGTGGAAATAACTATATTTGCTTTTGCAATGTGCATTGACTTTCATGGCTATGCTGATATATACATTTATAGCGCATGACATGCTCCATTGAATTTTTGAGTATTATCCATCGAAAATGGTTTAAATGAGACTGACATTACATTTTGTGACGATCAACATTTTTATGAACATCTCCATTCCCAGTTTCAATGGATCACACGTCTGTAATATAATTTAACAAAGCAAGCTTTTAATTTAATGCTCACCAGTAGCTTAAACCAATTTATATTCGGAATCATTTCTTGATTTAAAATGCATTTAAATATTTTCACTCAATTTAAACCAGTTCATTCGTAGTCCATAAAACGAAATAAATTAACAACTCAGCTAGAGCAAACACCAAAGTTTCAAAAACACACTCATAGTCCACGAATATTACCAGATTTATTACAATCATTTGTACTGTATTTAAAATGCACCATTTTACGTTATAAAAAAATCCCAAACAATAATTTAGCCAAAGTACAATACAAGCACAGATGTTTACTCAACACCATCTATATACGTATTTAAAACGGCTCAAGCCCCATGTAAATCCCGTGACTTGTGTGTGGCCACCCCTCTCAAGCCCCGTCTCCTCCCGCCCCCTGTGACGACACGCGCTGCTCCGTGAAGCACCTCCAATGAGCACGGTAGGCTACGTACGGTGCGAAATAAGTTCAACATACCGACATCGCCTCTACCTCCCTGAACATTTTGCTGCCGTTTTTTTTTCCCATTCATTCGACTAATTTACATTCTTTCTCATCACACGCCCGTTGCCTTTTTTTCTTCCATTTGTATTATACTTTGTGCCCCGGACTCTTCCGTTCCCTTCCCCGTGGTGAGTGCCACGGTAAAGAAAACACACACAAGTTGCTCATTTGCACCAACATCAAAAGAGATGCACCACCAAAAAGCATTGAATCATGTGTCATTATTACTGGCTGCGAAAACATACGTATTGCAGGGCTTGAGCAGAACACGTCACCGGAAAGGGATCACGGTGAGACTGACGATGGAGCGGCAGTCAAAGGAGAGAACACGTCTGAGAGCACGTCCAACCGTTGAGATGGAGCGATGAAATCCAGGTCACGTCCAGCTGCCAGGTGGATTCATTGCCGCGTCGTAAGACGGTGATAGATCACGAGGGACTCTGTATGTTGCACTTCTTTCGCACCGTACGTAGCCAATCGTGCTAATCGTAAGTGCGGGGGGAAGGACAACAAACTAAACACACAAAAAACAGTTTTGGAGAAATGAGACCTCCCCAAGGCTTCATCCAGCAGTGGATTGATCATGGCTGATGGTGATAAAACTGCAAAGCGGGCTATGACACGTGTGACACGTGTGTCCGTCTGTGTGTCATAGCTGTGGACTCTCAAGAAGAACCCCCTCCTTGGAGAGAGCAGTAGATTTCTGTACAGGGTGGTTCAGATGTCTTGTGACCCCCCCCCCCCCCCCCCCATTAATCCACCCCTATTCTGTTTTAAATAAACCTTACTTAAAAATTTATATTACGTTTTAGAGAATTAAATTGGGGTCACGAGACATCTAGACCACTCTGTAGATCAAGTTACGGGAAAACATAACTCGAGGAAGTTGTTTGAGCTGCGATGCAAGTTTGCGTGTTTTCAATGTGTTCAAAATATAACATGATTACGTGTGTTCACGTGTATACTCTTGAGTGTATTTGCTCATGCGTACTAGAGTGTGTGTAAATATTTGTAACCTTTGTGTTCGTACAGTACTGTATTGTGTCAATGTTTGTACGGTGAGTTCACGTGTTTGTGTCTTTGAAGGTAAGAATGTGGATGGTTGTGGAATGTGTGTTAACGTGTCTACACTGAGCGTAAGAAGTGTGCTCGTGTGGCATCGGGTAAGCAACGCAGTGAGTGTGACCACAGCACTGCATCTGGCTACGTGTGTACTGCAAAGTGAGTCTCTGTGAGTCTATGCTAGTCGATGTGTCTACACTGAGTGTGAGCGTGTGTTCACGTGTGCATAGTCGGTGTTTGAGTGTGTGTTCATGTGTCCGGCAAAAAAACAACCCCCTACCTATACTCTTGGTGCCGGACGGCAACGCTGTGGTGAGCAGTGCCATTGGGGGGAAGGGCCAATTCAGATTGGCCATCCTCATGGGCGTTTGTAACCACCACAGCGGCCAAATGGGGGCTCTGGACGGGTGCGACAGGATTGGAATGATGCCCTGGTGGTCGATCCAGAGTCTGAGACCCGGAAAGGCACCGGGCAGAGATGATCTCCCAAGCGAAATGCTGAGGGAGGGTGGTGTTTGTGCACAGACTGCCCTACATGACATAACAACCACTGGACGGGTTCTGCAGGATTGGAAGGATGCCCTGGTGGTCCCCCTCTTTAAGAAGGGGGACCGCACAGACTGTAACAACTACAGGGGCATAGCACTCCTCAGTGTGCCGGGAAAGGTCCTGAAAAGGATTATTCAACATCGCCTTGCTAGGCACGCTGAGGAGAGGCTTGCGGAGCCCCAATGCGGTTTCAGGGAAGGGCGGTCCTGCACAGATGCCAAATTTTCTGTCCGTCTGCTACAGCAGAGGTATAGAGAATTCAACAAAACCTACATCTCTGCTTTATTGACCTGGTCAAGGCCTATGATGCCATCAGTAGGCCTGGGCTCTGGGTTATTCTTTGTGCTTTCGGAGTCCCTGACCCTCTGCTCACGATCATTAAGGACCTTCATGATTGTGAGCGGGCCCGGGTAAAACTACGAGGCCGGGAGTCGGAGCCATTCCCTGTTCACCTTGGAGTGCGACAGGGATGTCCTCTGGCTCCCACATTATTTAACATTTTTTTCGACCACGTAGTTCGTGAAGCCTTCGATGGCTGTACCGGAGGAATTTCCATCTGGTACAGATACAATGGGAAGCTGATCGATGCCCGGGTGCGGTCAAGGGATGGCTCCCTATTGGTCAACCACGTTATGTATGCGGATGATCTGGTAATTGCTGCTCACTCAGAGGAGGAGTTGGAGACGCTACTGCTGAACCTGGAGCTTGCCACTAAGAGGTGGGGCCTTACCATCAGCCCCACCAAAACTCAGCACCTGCCTGGGTATTTTGTACCATCGGATACTCCACCCCCACAACTCCCAATTGGTGATGGGGCAGTTGTGGAGAGAGTGGAGAGTTTCCATACCTGGGCAGTGTGCTCATGACCAGCTCTGGTTTGACAGCAGAGGTCTCACTCCGAATCAGTCGAGTGGCATTATATTTTCATCGGTTGCGTAACGCTGTGTGGAAGCCACCTGGTCTGTCGCTCCGCACGAAGCTTCAGATCTTCTCGGCCACGGTCATTCCCTCCTGTACGCTTGCGAAACGTGGACCCCCCCTAATGGAACATCTTCGCCGGTTAGAAACAGTTAGGCTGACCTGCCTACGATACATCCTGGGTTTAACCAGGCTGGATTGTGTGAGGAGCTCACAAATCCTTGAAAGATCTGGGCAAAGTCCCATCGGTGAGCTCCTCCGGCAGGCAAGGCTGCGTTGGCTGGGCCATGTAGCCCGCATGCCCAGCCACCGCATGCCGACACAGCTTTTGTTCGGCCGGATCGAGGGGGCTAAACGGGCGCGGCACGGGCTGGAGAAGAGATGGAGTGATGTGGTACAGGAGGCACGGGGCTAGAGAAGAGATGTAGTGATGTGGTACAGGAGGCACGGGCTAGAGAAGAGATGGAGTGACGTGATACAGGAGGCACGGGGCTAGAGAAGAGATGGAGTGATGTGGTACAGGAGGCACGGGGCTAGAGAAGAGATGGAGTGATGTGGTACAGGAGGCACGGGCTAGTGAAGAGATGGAGTGATGTGGTACAGGAGGCACGGAGCTAGAGAAGAGATGGAGTTATGTGGTACAGGAGGCACGGGCTAGAGAAGAGATGGAGTTATGTGGTACAGGAGGCACGGGGCTAGAGAAGAGATGGAGTGATGTGGTACAGGAGGCACGGGGCTAGAGAAGAGATGGAGTGATGTGGTACAAGAAGCACGGGGCTAGTGAAGAGATGGAGTGATGTGGTACAGGAGGCACGGGGCTAGAGAAGAGATGGAGTGATGTGGTACAGGAGGCACGGGGCTAGAGAAGAGATGGAGTGATGTGGTACAGGAGGCACGGGCTAGTGAAGAGATGGAGTGATGTGGTACAGGAGGCACGGGGCTAGAGAAGAGATGGAGTGATGTGGTACAAGAAGCACAGGGCTAGTGAAGAGATGGAGTGATGTGGTACAGGAGGCACGGGGCTAGAGAAGAGATGGAGTGATGTGGTACAGGAGGCACGGGCTAGTGAAGAGATGGAGTGATGTGGTACAGGAGGCACGGGGCTACAGAAGAGATGGAGTGATGTGGTACAGGAGGACGTGGAGCTGAGTGGACTTGCCGCTGACTGGTACCAGCGGTGTCAAGATCGGCCTCTGTGGAGGAGGCTCGTGAAGGACGCTACTGGGCAGTTGGAGGTAGTGGCCCTCCAACAACAACGGAGGGCGGAGGAGCGACGCTCACAACAACGAGCGGAGCGCCGGGTGGCTAAAGCACAGCAGGTTGGCACAGTAGGGGGCACAGGTGGTGCATCAGCCAGTCATCTCAGTCAGTCGACCCGTGGGACCTAGGTCTGCCCCGTGACCTCCTGCCAGCGGGCGTTCGACACTTCACGTGGTAGCCTCAAGGTGCACATGGCCTGGCACAAGCGTCGTGGTGACATCACCGACACTTAGTGGTGAATGGCTGTTGTTGTTGTTCATGTGTCTATGTTGATGGGGATCGTTGGTGTCGCGGTTAGTGTTACGCAGCCCTTTCAACCCGGCGTCCCGTGTTCAATTCCCGATTATCTGAACCGGGCCTCCCCTCGGTCGACTCAGCCTCAACTGGGTACCTGGTTTAGCGGTGTGTAGTAAACATCGCCAATGGTGCCGGCCACTCACCCCCTCGTGTGCCACACAGTGCCGGCCTTCTTCACAGGTGCCACTCGCTAACAGCACTTGCCCCGACAGTCTGTTAAAGGCTACACGGGGGGGGGGGGGGTCTTTGTCTTTGTCGATGCGTCCTGAGTTGGAGGTGAACGAGTGTGTCGATGCGTTTACAGGTACACCCCACGTGTACACTTCGGTGTGTCAACGTGTCGCGGAGCACAGCGTGTGCGTCTGTGTTAGTGCGCGAGCGCGTGTGTGTACACGCGCGTGTGTGTGTGTGTACACGCGCGTGTGTGTGTGTACACGCAGAGCCTACGATGGCTGTCAACGTCTGCATTGTGTGTCCTTGTGTCTCGATGTAAAGAGGGCCGTGTTGATGTGTTTCGCAGGGCACACACATGAACGTGCGTCGTTGTGCGTCGACGTGAATGCGTAATGTGTGTGTGTATGTTAATGTGGGTACACGTGTGTGCATGTACCGTGAAGACGACCCCCAAGGCACGCACACCCTGCGGTCTTTGATCCTCACGCTCCACGTGCTGAGACGTCACGGGGAAATTCCCCCCACAAACCACCCCCCTCACCGCCGGTTTCCACCCCCCCCCCCCCCCCCCCCCGTCTATGATGCGTCTGTAGTTTTTTGTACAAACAGAATAACTTAGCGTAAAGCAGAAGAACGCCAGACATTTCGGGTCCTCTTCGTTCGGAAACGCGAACCGCTTTGCCACAGTTCAACAGGGAACTGTTTGTATTGAAAACTAAAAAAAAGGAGAATGCTGCTAAAACCCTTGACAAATTGCCCACGCGGTTTCCCCCTGTGCCAGTTTTAGAGCCATTGTGATCGTGATCGATGTGCACAGGGGCCTGCTGTCAGTTCACCGCTGGATGGGGGGCTGGATTATAACAGACGCAATTTTAACTAAACAGCAGGTGAAGCTAAGAGGGGACGGTAACAGTGAGAAAAGATTAACAATCAGCTTGATGTTTGTGATCATAAATTCAACTTGCCCAAATGTGATCTACATCTGTTCCACCTGTATGGGATAGAGTGTTGCCCCTTTGCACGCTGTGCGTATTCTCCTGGTGCTCCGGTTTCATCACACACGTAAAAACAATCATTAACTGGCTGGAAACATCTTAATAAATAGACCACCGCAGAGCTTGGGCAATTGTTAGCGCCTGCTCGCCCACTGACTGCCCTGCTGCCTGTCGTTGTGGTTCCTCCTCGTGCCATTTGGTCGTTCTCTCTCTTCGAGAGAAAACACTGTGCGACACGTTACAAGTAAAAACAATAGCACTATATTTGGAATTAAATGTAGCTACTGTACTCTTCAAAACAATACTTGAGAAAACAGTTTGATTCCTGGATGTTTTTTTTACTAGCGTATAGGGATCTTCGTACAATTCCCCCAGTAATTTTAAATTCTACTTGGGGAGACTTTCATCCAGTAGTGAATAGATCGTGGTTGATGAAGACGGTACAGTACTATCGTTACTTCACGTTTTAAATCACTGTGGTTTGGCGGAATGCCTCCATTCGATTTAGCGTCACAGAATGCCACCACGATCTTCTCCGACGTGGTGATTTGCTGCCGTCTAGTGGACTATTGAGACATTGTATACTGTATAAGTGATAACTCGTACAGCACAAGTAAAAAAACACACGGAAACGTGTACAAAAAGCATTCAGCCTTTGCGCAGTGTATGCAAAAAATTTGCAGTTCCTGATGAAATTAATTGTTGGCACTCTTGCCATCAATTACGGTAAGAATTTGTGCAAATGTTACCGACTGTCAGGCAGCAGTGAGACACGGACAACTTGGCATGTTCTGTTTACGTGACAACCCTTACTAGTTGGCTGTGTCGGGTGGTGGCGGGTTTAACGACACATTTAGATATTTACGCGATCTAACCCAAAAAACCTCTATTATGGACACAGACGACTGTTGGCTGGTTTTGTTCTCATGAGGACTCATCAGTACAGGAGAGTCACCAATGCTCACTGCTGAAAATCCTGCCTCTGGGAACCAAATATGTAGACTCCCCATTTCCACACTCTGGTGCAGATTTACAGATCATGAGATCCATTTACGGATTTGATCATACAACACATTACAGCAGCCTATAGCACAGTCGTGATTTGTTGTACTGCACGGCTCTCCGATGCGTTTTCATGAATGCTCTGCGTGCTGCTATGGCATGATGTCTGACATAATTCCCAACGTGTTTGTGAGCTTCTTTTGGAACGCAACAACGATGTCAGGAATTGAAGAAGCTCCCAGTACACGGAGCGAAAAGGTCGGACATGATGCAGAACAACACGCAGCACAACCTGAAAACACATTGAAGAGCCACACAGCACAACTGAAGAAGAAAAAAAAACCTACACCGCTGTAACTGGTGTCATGTAATGATATTTTTCAACATTTCCCAACAAGTCACATTAGAGTGTGCATTTCTATCATTGTAACAAAGCAACCGTACCCTTGTGCCCTTTTCCCATTTTCTTTATTGCCTCAAGCAGAGCACAATCTGTCACATGTGATACCGAGAGCCAGTTTGATAAAGCGTTCTGGAATGTTTACCATAATCAGAGTACAGTAATGGTGAATCATTTTCAATACTATTGCGGTTATATCACTGTTATTTTTGTGTTGCACTTTATATGAATTGACAAAATATTGCACGACAATTTTCTAAGCATATATAAATGCGATGCTGTATAAACTTACGACAAAGTCTGCGCGGTTAATATAGCTCTATAATGTGCTTCAATTGGTGATTTTGTAGGAGATAAATAATTTGCAATGCCTTTATAAAATGTGTCACGTGTAGTTTTATCTCATCTCTCCCGATGTCTCTCATTTTTCCAAACTATAACAATGCACTCTCAATTCTACCAGTCTATACATCGCGTTCGGCATGGCTCCATTTTCTGCTGCTAATTGGCTATGTCGGGTGGTGGCGGCTTTAACGACACGTTTATATTTACGCGTTCTTTCCCAAAAACGCCTACGTGTTATACATATACCACACTGGCGGAGTGTCAAGACTCACTTGTATAAGGGACGTGCTCCATTGGGATCTTTGGCCAGTTCCTTTTTAAGGATTACTTTGCATATAATAGGACAATGGGAGTACCTGGAGAAACCCCACCACACATACGAAGGGACTACAACTCAAAAGTTCACAATGATGGGTTCAAAAGTCCACACGAGTGAACCCCCTTGATTGTACTGTATATCTCCTGGCACCAACATGTTTAGAAATGTCCCCTGTTGGCTTTGCTTTAGCCCTCTTCAATTTCTTAAAGCCATACTTAATGACTATATCTTTTCCTATACGACTATACACGTATGTTTTATTTTCATGGTGTTTTTTACAGCGTTTCAACCTACTTGCCTAATCCGATTGTATGGTTGCCTTTGACAAAATCACCCTTAATGCACCCAATGTTGTTGGTTCTCAAAAACTAAGTAGTGCAAGCCAATTCAGCACTTGTTGGATAGGTGACCACCAGGGCTTGCCAGGTGAAGTAGGAATGGAGCTGTGAGGTGGCCAGGAGATGGCAGTGTTAAGCGTCACGCCTATATAAAATGCGATTCTCTCCAGGCACTGAAGTTTTTTTTTATCAGGGATATAGTAGTTCAGTTTCCATGGTGGGAGCTTCTTTAGGAAGGAACTCAATTCGGTTACTGTAACAAAAACAATTCTCAGCAGCACATGGAGCGAAACGTCAGACATCATGCCAAACAACACGCGGTACAACTCGAAAGCACATCGGAAAGCTATGCAACACAACCGCGAAAGCCTAGGGGCAGGAGTATTAATGGCATTGTCCAAACATCCCAATGCACTACCCTTTTGGGGGTTCCTAGATATAGGACTGCGCGTGTACAGTGGATCTACCTAAATTATAAATCACCCTTGCCAAACCTGTCTCGTGTGCAATGGTTAAAATAAAAGAAGGGTACGCCTTAGCATGGATTTTGAATTTAATGCAAAGTTACACGAGCGGTATGCATTGTGTAATTACGCGATATTTTTTTGTTCTCCCAAATTCAGTTGCCAGTTCGACGTAATATTGATCCGTGTATTATTATTATTTTAGTGTCGCGTTGCTGGCCCCAGAACAAGCCTCGAACAAAGCGGTGAACCTGCCTTGCAGGCAAGAAATGCGTAGGGCAAAGCAACTGGAGCACGAAACAACACATCGATGACTAGTGGAGCATGACGAAGAGTGGCGGTCCAGACACGCACAGCAGCAACGACAATGCCCTCGCCTGTGCTCCGCTCTGCCGTCGCCCGTTAAATTAATAACGCTCGCAATTCAATAGCTTTTGTTCGAACGAAAACTACAATATTTGGTACGTGCGGTGGCTTGAAGACTGCGGGTGCTTTAATGGGTGCGCTTCGTAAATTGTGTATACAGCACTGACGATTCCACGACAACGTTCATCAACAACGCATACGGCGAAAAAGTTGGTTCAGTCACGGACAACGTTCCGGCGTTATTCCAATCGCAAGGGCAATAAACAAACATTCATATACAGTCGCATATACACAAATATATATATATTTTTCCCCCCAGTTAAATCCCACTTCTCTGTACAGTATATCCCAGTTTTACATACATATGATACCTCTTGATATTACAATATGCTCAATAACCCATAATAGAGTTGTTTTGGGTTAGATAAATAACGTTAAGGTTCATAACCGTGCAACAATCACAATAATTTAATAATATACCCTCGGATCATAAGTACTGTATAAAACTAGACATTATACAGACTATAGGAATAGGTTTTACCCTTTTAACTGGCACAAAAACTGACACCTTTATTCAAGGCATCATGTTTGCAATAACCACAACACAAGCAGTCGAAATGCAAACAAAAAAGACAACTCTGATAATAATATGCACTGTCCTTGAATTTGATTGGTCCACACCCGAGACGGCTTTTCTTAGAGCCTAGTCTCCATTGGTGTTGGACCACAAGACGCCAAAAGGCGTACAACTCAAAAACAGCGCACTATCAGAGTATTGAGGGCTCGGGGTGAGCATTAACATTATGAGACCTCCTTTGCCAGTAACAAGATATAGGAATAGGTTTTACCCTTTTAACTTGTACGCCTTTTGGCGTCTTCTGGTCCAACACCAATGGAGACTAGGCTCTAAGAAAAGCTGTCTCGGGTGTGGACCAATCAAATTCAAGGACAGTGCATATTATTATCAGAGTTGTCTTTTTTGTTTGCATTTCGACTGCTTGTGTTGTGGTCATTGCAAACATGATGCCTTGAATAAAGGTGTCAGTTTTTGTGCCAGTTAAAAGGGTAAAACCTATTCCTATATCTTGTCTCTGGCAAAGGAGGTCTCATAATTCTACAGACTGTAATATGAACAATATGTAACTTAAACGTAATGGAAGAGGGTAATTGATAGGCAGAGAGATGGAAAAAGGAATGGACATGGGCAGATAGAGTTGTAGGCAGAAAGAGGGAGATATGGACAGAGAGAGAGACATGGGCAGAGAGGGCAAATGAACAGATGGACATGGGTCAGATAGAATAAGTGGCGACCATCAATCCCAGCATTCCGGTGGTGTTGAGTGTGGTTTCATGGATGGTCCAACTCTACCTGTGACTGCCTCCACAAAAAAAATATCCCAGACCACGCCCAGGAAGATGATAACCAAATTTAAGCCCCTCGGGACGATGTGGAAACGGCAATCCAAGCAGTGAGGGACTTCTGGGTGAATTCTTGATGAAGTCCCTTCATGGCGGGATCTGCAAGGTGTTTGTTGGTGGTCTAGCAACATCATGGACTTGATGATCCTTTATGTAAGGTCTGGAATCATGAGGGACAGCATTTTGTCCCTCGCAGTGTCGCACGTGTTCTCCTTAATCACGGTCCATTACATCGGCCCCACCTGCACAACCATTTAAAAACAACAGGCTTAGAATGTACCCCATCACCCCTGTGTCTGACACATGCACCACAGTCCTAGATTCTGAAGGCAAGGCAGTAGCAGAACCACAAAATGTACTCACCCATTCAGCAGAGAGATTGAGATAGACTGTCATCAGGAATAGATGAACTTCATGATGATAATGCAGAAGCAAGTGTGAAATTTTGATTTAAAGCTTTCGTGACTGCAGGGATTCATATTATTGGTTCTTTATTCGTTCATGAGGCTATCCACATATACAAACACAGAGACAATTTCAACCGAGAAGATGGATTCTGGCTTAGCAATCATTGGAAGGATTTGATAAACCATTTCGGGTCTTAATTCATTGATCACGCTAAAGGTGGCTTTCAGACCGCATCCATTGTTTTTCGTCTCCCCCCTCCTCTTTTCCGAACATAGATGGACTCGTCCATCTAAACAAACTGTCAAATCGCTCTCCGTGGTGCTAACGTTAAAAAACGCCACTTTTTTAAAATGTTCTTGTTGTGGTTTTCACACCTGATGATGATTGCTTGTGTTGCAGTCGAAACGTCGTGAGAATTTAATTGTTTTATATTTTTATTATTTTATTGTTTCCCTTCTACGTGACTTTACCGAAAGAACCAAGAATAAGTGTGAAATTATTATTTAAAAATGGTTTTGTCCCTTGGACTGACAATTTGCAAGCAATTAGGAATGTAAACAGATACGTATTGTGCAATACAAAATTAAGTATCGTATTTTAATAACATACACAGCATAATACATTTCTGGCGTGTTGTGTACTCATATGTATGGATTTCGTGAAATACTCTGGTTTTCTTCCACAGCAAAAAACACTGATTAAGCCAAATGTTCCAAGTAGAGCCTTATTGAAAGACGGGAAGCTTTCGTGGATATAGAACATTAATCATCTAGATGGCACGGTGGTTAGATCATTAGGCTTACAATAGGAATGTTGTACGTTCAACTCCCGTTTGCGAGTCAAATCTGCTTTTCAGTACTGTACCACATCGTGGAAAGTTATGTTCTTATAGAAAGACTGGCTCCCACTGTGAGAATATGGCATTTTCAGCTGCACCAACAAATATTATCACAAGCCCAATACTTACACTTTGAATAGTATTACATATTCCATTTACACCTATGACCAAATTACTCGGAATGCACCAAATCTCGTTACATCTTGGAAGCTAGACAGAGTTAAGCCTGGATAGTGCTTGGATGGGCGACCATCATGCATAACAGGTGTTAAAGGCTGCAGGGCTACGTTGTCGGCAGCACAACACCATCAATTGTATTGTACAATGATCCCACGTCTTTCCTCCCCACCTTTCAGCAACCCGTACCGACAAGTGTGGTGACGTACGGTCAAAAAAAACTCCCACGATCTGCATGCACAACGTCTTGAGACCCTCATCCGCCAATAAATTGATTAAAAAAAAATGGCTATATATGTATACGGTACACTTTGGGCCATTTTCCACTGGTTCAATCTAACTGCAGGTGAACTGGCAGAATATCCACCCAATTGTTCGCTTGTATATGATGGATAGGTGATGACAACCAAGCATGCCTCTAGCAATGTCACTCGAAAATACGTCAGCATGCACCGCCCATTTGGTCAGTATGTGTAGAGGAGATGCGATGCAAGTAGTTCACATCTACACACGTTTAAGGTGAACCATCTTCTGCGCTGCATAAGATGACACACCGATGCCCAGGAGGCCAAGCAGGATGGCCAGACGGTTCAGACGGACCTCGGCAGGCTTTGTCATCTCCACTCCGGCGGAGACCTGGTTCTAATAACGTCCCCAAAATTTTTTAACGCTTTTCTTGTTGTTGGATCCACTTTGAAAGCACTAGCTTTTTTTTTTTAAAGCGAGCATTTGGAAATCTAATAATAGCATGATGTAAGCAGTTGGATGGGACTCTCAATAAAAGATAATGACATTTTGGAAAGCGACCAATATTGTCCATAATAGATGTTTTATTGGGTTGTTAAACCCGCCACCACCCAACGCAGCCAATTAGGTGCGTCACAGAAACAAAACATGCCAATTCGTTACTCGTAAACATGCGTCTGTCATGGTCATCTGACCTCAGGTATAAGGATGACACTTAGACTGAGATGTCATAGAAGGCACAGTATTCATGGAAAGTTTTGCCAACATTGGTCCAACGTTTCATGTTTACTGGTGATATACATGATAAGGCTAGTCATGTAATATGGAAAATCTAGATTGATTGGAAAAAATGGTAGCACGTTTAAATGATTGCACGTTAGAACATGTTTGCTATCAAGGTGTTTACTGATTGTGATCTCTAACTCTTTTACGATGTTTAACTCTGAATTTGTTATACGCAAACCTATTTTGCTCTTGCTGTGCTCTTGCTGTTATGATATTTAACTCTGCGTATTAATATATTAATATATTGCACCATGACCTTTGTCACTTCAGTGTCTCTATTTTACTCACGTCTCTCTTGAAAAATAGACGTCTGACCTCAATTGAATTGAAAAAAAAGGATACTGGATGAGTGGAAGGAAATAATTAAGGTTTTAGCAAGATGGCCTCCAGGACATGTACAGTAGCATCTGCCATGTCCCTGTATGTTCACGTTACATAGATTAAATGTAATTACTGCTTATAGGGAGTGACCCAGGGACAAAAGCAACACGAATATTGTATTAACCTGTGTTAATCATAAACCTCATCAGCCGTAATTTATGTAATGTTGGGGATGAAGGATTCCCAAAGCTATCGCCATCTCTCACATTATCGCAATACAACGATTCATGTCGCTGCTACACACAACCTGGTCTCATCGCTCCATCTCCTCCGTGGACGTTCCCGAGAGCGTGTTCATTCCCTCGGATGCCACTTTATAGTTATTCTCAACCACCGGCTATAATTCCTTCTGGCGGTCTTTATTTTGGTGCCAGTAAAGTCAGTAAAGTGAATGCAAATGGCAATTGAATTGCGTTGGTGCAATTCATATTAAACGCGCATTACTCAAACGTAAATATTTCCCCTTCAGTATTTACATATTATGTCTGTATATTCAGCATTTAATTTTAGGATATATCGTGTGCTTCCATAATGATCCAGATTAATTGCATATGAGACTGGGTTACAAGCACCAATATCATTGCACGACAATTCGTTAATAAGCAATAACATCAAATAAATGACACATTAAATTCGGAAATAACATGCATCATAATACATTTTTCTTATAGTATTTGTTTAGTACCTCAAAGTACTTTTTATTTTCCTTTTCGAAATAAAATCAGGAAGTAGTTTAACACGTAGGTTTCCGAGACCAATATTATCCATCCATAAATGTGTCTTTAAACCCACCACCACCCGACAGCCAATCAGTAAGGTTTGTCACGTAAACGAAACGTGCCAATTAGTTACTACTTCAGTAAACCCATAACATTTACAATTCGAGTACGTTTACTTTATCATGGATACAGCGGTTATAACTTAATCAATCGTACCTGGAGGAGACGAGAGTAGCTTGGAGTAAGTCTCCACAGTCCAAATGCCATGGTGTTGACAGCATAGAAAATATACTTGTTGACGGTGTATTCTGGTTATTATTGTATTTTTCTCATATTTCGATCGTGCTTTGTGTTCTTATTTATCAATGTCCTCATGCGGAATGGAATCTGCCCACAAAGCTGAAATGTTTTTAAGTTCCTTCGATAAAATCCTGGACATGTCAGTCTGACTCCCTTCAGCGAAAGCGGTGAAGTGTGTGTAAGACCCCTGTGCCTAGGCATGCGCATGCGTGCGGGCAAAAACTGGGTGCAACCACGAACCAGCTATGCCGAAGCAGAAAAAATATATTAAATGCACCAGAATTTTACACGCACAAACGAGGGAAAACTTTACCTCGGCCCATAATTCTGGAGGGATGGCCCTTTGGTGGAGTTCTCGACACATTCAGAAAGTGGCGACTCCAAATCTTGCCCAGGAGCGGCCTCAGCTCATGGTTTCTGTAGCGTTGATAAAATAAGCACCGCATTTTGGGAAGTCCACATTGACTGTCGTCTGGAAAAAATGCTCCCCATTACACGTAGGTTTAATTTTTCCATGAGTGGCTCCCTAACAAAGACACAACTTCGAAGGGTTCTGAACCGTAGATCTGCCTGGGACACTCCAGTACTGTGTGTGCGGTTGCAATCAAGATTTGAGTCTGGTTGATGTCTTTTTGAGTGAAAACACACATTCCTGGTCTCGTATATTACAGCAATTTAGCTTCATCTCATAATGTGTTATCTTACGATCAACTTAAATTATTTAAAAGTAGAGCAGGAACGTCAAATATATATAAAAGCAGTAAATGTATGCTTAATAGAGCACACTGAAGATAACGATATTGAATTAGTAAGCATAATGAAGACACTGTAATATTAGTTATTATAATATTTGCTCTTTCAGTCAGGTAATGAAATGTCAGCTATGAATTTCTTTCACCTTATCAACTTGACGTTTGTGTCAGTCCACACATTCATCCAGGCATGCACGCAGAGCCAACGTGTTTGTCGAATCCCATCGCTGATCACAATCATGCAAACTCGCCCATCTGCCAGCTAAATCGGATTTGCGTTCATTTAAAGCGTTCCCTCCATTGTGTACTGCCAAATTATTTTTAACGTTTTAAGGGATATGGGAATGCAAGTTTTGTTTCAAGTGTACTTTTATTATGATAATTTGTACATTGTAGTTCTTTTATAGATACACAGTCATGCGTGCAGTGCTCTGTCATTCCAAATTTGCAGTGAATAATGTTAAAAATGCATGGATAAAATATTGTACTATATTGGGCATTGCATGCCTCCTACACGTAAACAGTACAGTATATGCGCTCATTGCACACACTGTGACTGCAGGGCAGTCCACATAATAAAGTTAAACTACATAAACTACAAGGTTAATATATAATATAATATTTCCAGTTGTGTAAAAAATCAATGGTATTGTCTTTCAATGCTTTAAAATAAATTAATTGAAACGTGAAAAATTGTCACCAATCCTCACCGTCCTGTATAATGCAACAATCAATCCCTCTGGCTCCTGCACATAAGCTGGTCTCATCACTCCACATCCGCGGTGGTCATCCTTTTTCAGTGTGTTCCCTACTTTGGCTGACATTCCATCACCAATCTCGTCCATAGGCCATCATCCCCTATCGTAACGTGTCCTGCCTAGGACCACTAAGTATTTTCTCAACAGTCATGATGTATAAAATTAGCACTTGTTCTCTGATCCGTGCGTTCTTCTTTCTCAGTGAAATTCCAAATACACCGTAGGCTCCTCTGTGCTTCTTTGTGTATTTAGCATTTTTTAACATCTTCTTTGTCAGAGTCCACGTTTCTAATTTTTCCATGTCGTGGCAGGTAATACAGTATTCACAGATTTTAATTATGAAGTTTAATTTTCAAAAGCACTACCTCCTGCTCTGTCTCTCCTCTTTACTTCAACATTTTGATTGCAGACAACCTTCAATAATTTATCTAAATATACATACAGTTGCTGTTGTAATTTTCAGTTGTTAAAGTTAAGATTTCTAAAATGGTTGAATTGGGACGAATCCGGGTAAGACACGTTCTTAATATGTTGTATGTGTAAAAAAAATACACGTTCTCTAGGGTATTATGGATAAAATTATGAAATAATTAACTTCTCTGATACATTACTGAAGACGGAACAGTTTAAGGATTCAGGGGTTAGAGTTCGTGGAGCAGGGGCTTGGTCAGAGGCCAATGCAGCGGTGAGGTGACTGTTTAACATTGCCAAATTCATTAACATTTTGCATAATGTATAGATTTAGAATCAGGAAAATAATCATCTTTCTCTCTCTCTAAAATGTTAAAAGCCTTAAAAATATGGGGATTACACAGTAATGGTTGAATTAAGGCTGTTATAATAAAACAAAACTAATCGGCACAGCACCATAGTAAATTTTGCCCACATTCCTGAACATGCAGGAATGCCCAGTAAAGTTTAGCATGTGTAAAAAATATAACTGTTTATATTAAATGTAACATTCAGTCATAACATAAGGTGAATATCCCACATATACCCCATACAACCAACAAATCTACTAAAATATATTGGATTATTATGCCACTCATGAATGTATCCAGCCTGGAATCGAGGACTTTTGAGGTTAGGCTTGGTGGATCACATAGATAAGTGACACTCCCAAATCCGTTGGGCTCTGATGTAGCAGGTGATGGCAGCACATAAAGTGGTATCGGGAACCCATGTGTGAGTTTGCTCTGGGTACGACAATTTCCTCTCACGTGCTAAATACTCCTTTAAAATGAATTTGAAGAACACTATTAAGCAGGACCCTGAATAAATATGACACTCATAGGGGCTTTCCTCAGTAAAATATAGTGCATTAATGTTATTAAATAGATAGATAACGTTTATAACCAGGTAAGAGTAAACTACGGTAGAAGCTGTTCTGATCTAAGCAACGCATCCTTACGTTACACTGATTATATTTGGTGACACTGCCTTGGCTATTGCCAAAAATGTCACCTGTTATATATTTTTCCTTTTATAAATGTTATTGACGAATATGTTGAGTTATTTTCTTACATTACACTGGTGGTCACTTCTGATACAAGCATACTTCGGATATATCCACGGCAGGTCTTGCTCCAAAGGCGTGTATTCATATCCAGAATCTACGGTGCATGTATAGCCTGCAACACGTGTATCTTAATGTTCATGAATGTGTCCGCAAGACACATTCCATTTGTACAGTACTATAATGTAGTAAAAAAAACTCAACACATTCGCCAATAACGGCCCCTTACACAAAGTAAAATAACACGCTGGCGAACAGTGGAACAACACGGACGCCCAGAATAAACGCCTAATTCCAGACCCAAACATTACACCTTCTTGCATTCCTCGAAGACACTGGTAGAACCATAAATAGCATCAGAACATCAACAGGCACTTCTTTATAATTGGAAATTTAAATACAGGCCACATTAGTGCGAGTGAGGCCATGCAAGCCAAACAATGGACCATATAGCAAACCACTATAGTCTGAGCTCCTTCAACGGAGGAGGAATAGCAACACGATACGAACTCTCTCGTGACGCCCTCTTGTGGCAAGCAAACGTAGGCGTGGCATTTAGCTCCTGAACACATTGCCACCCGCACGAATAGCATAGAACCGCATAAAAAAATAATAGGCGACGTTTCAGGCAATGGCCCTTATCCATCACTGCCAACGCAGTACCACCAAATAATTTGTATTGTATTTGGGAAAGGTGATATCGTGGACTTAATTCAGGAGTCCAATGGCTTGCCCTGGGCCGTCAAGACAAAATTAAATGCCTCCACCTGGTGGCAGCACCACGAATCGTGGAAGTTCTGAAGTAGAGCACAGATGGACACGTCAGAAGAGCTACAAACATAGCAAGGTATTAAATATTCAGTGACTGCTCTGGTGAGGTTAGCGATGAGATGGCAAGTCCTCCCAGGTGTTCCCTGAAGCTATTTTTGTTTTCTGCGTCTCACTAATAACACCATGGCAAGGACATTGTTTTGCAAGAGATGCAGTCACCAAACTGGTTGTGTGTGGTACACATACATGTATGCTTTATTTGGAAGTGTATGGTCCATTTAGGGTTGCCACTAGTCCTGGTTTGACCTGGACATCTCTGGAATTTCCATATGGTGGCGGGAATTGATTTGTACCGAGATCTTGTGATTCTGTTTTGAACTTTATTTAAGTAAACTGCACAGTTTTGATAGACTGAGGCGACTGAGATATTATTTTGTCCGGGTTTGGTTTGTGGATAAGGGAGCAACCCTCGGTCCATTCTATAATTAAAATTAATATACTGTACATAAACACATAAAGAGCTGGATGCAAGGGTTGGTGTACAATGTATGTATCACTTCTTTTGCACCGTATGTGCCAATTGGATCCGTACCAATTGGATCAAGGTAGAGATCTGACATTCTCAAACTCGCTCAGCTTCTGGGTCACCAGATGGCAGTACAACACGTGCATTCATGAATCCATCCGTACAAAGCTACGGGTGTTAACCCCTAGTATATGGATGGTGTGTTTTTTTCCCAGGTCCTCTGATTTTCTTCCACACAACAAACTCATCACCACGGTATAATGAAATTGGCCAACTATCCCAAGTGTAGCACAGGACCCTCCCGAGAACGAGCGTCGAGACCAATTTAAGCGTTAGTGAATAAGTGAATGTGATCCAGTACTTTATACATTAAAATAATATTGCACACTCACGCAAACACAGCACGAATATTCAGAGACACAGTACCCCCACCACCTCCCACACAATGTAGCCCGCCTGCTATTTGCGAGCACCTATTAAGACCCGAACAACACACGTGGGGCCAGCGTTGATATTGACACACCGCACCAGGTACTCGTTTAAGACGAACGCGGACATATTTCACTTTTCATTTATTTTGGTATAGTCCTGTGAGCCATTCGGCTCTTGAATCGGCTGCAACCACAACAAACAAAAAACAAAAACACGAACAAGAAAACATCTTAAAGTGACTATGTGACTGTGCAAACAGAAAATTCATGAAAAAACAGCAACATATTCCTGAGAAAAGCACCGTACACCAACGCTGTGTGCAAAAAAATCCCAGTGGAATGCAAGTCAAACAACAACAACAACCACAAGACAACTTAGATTAAGGCCATCAGTCTAACTCCGTACTACAACAAAACAAACATGTCCAAACCAAAAAACGTTTTCGAAATCACCAAAAAATAAAGCCATAATTGCAGCGTAACAGTGATCACAGGGACTGTGACCGAATTTTTACAATAAACTACATAAATAACATGTAACACCAAATCCTAGAGCCATAGCTGGCTGCATGAGTCACTCCACAACAACAGAAGCATCAGTCGGAGTATCAAATTTTTAAATGCACATTTAAGATCACGCTAAATCAAAATACAGATAATACTTTGCAGCGGTCATCCGGAGTGAAACATTTTATTTTATTTTACGCCAATGAATAGCATTGGCAGCTATGGGTGTACAACTCTTCTAGATCAGTTTTGAGAGAAGATCTCATTGGTAGCGATTCAAGTTGCAGTTTATTGGCAATAGTATTCCAGACCCTGGGGCATCAATAGCAAAGGCCCTTCCTCCAGTTTTTGTACGACAATAGGGAATGTGAAGCTGGTAAAAGAGCGAAGACCTGAGGTCAAATTTGTTCTTTGAAACAGAGAGGAGATCCAGCAGGCAGTCCGGGTTATAACCAACTGAAGATGATTGCCGTACAATAAAACCCAACAGCCGCCACCAAGTGACAGTGGGGTCACCACAGTGCCTGTGCCAGGCTAGGTGCACCGCCTCCACGTGCAACGAATCGCACGCGTTACACAACCAATACCAATAGCCGACATTCGCCACCGAGTGACGGTGACGTCCCCACGGGCGCCTGTGCCAGGCCAAGTGCACTTTGAGGCTGCCACGTGGAGTGTCTAAGGGCTCGCTGACAGAGGAGGCCTCGGGACAGACCCTGCAGGTGCCATGGGTCGGCTGACTGAGATACCCCCCCCCACTACTGTGCAAACTTGTTTGTATTTTATACGTCCGGCGCTCCGCTCGTTGTTGTGAGCGTACACAACACACAACAACACAGAGACACTGAAAACTCACACCACAGTCTGACTCCTCTTCAATTCCTCTCCTCCACCACCACACCACCACACTCCGCCATCCCCATCACCACCACCGTCATCCTCTTCAATTCCCCTCCTCCTCCTCCACACACTCCCCCATCACCACCACCACCACCGTCATCCTCTTCAATTCCCCTCCTCCTCCACACACTCCCCCATCACCACCACCACCGTCATCCTCATCAATTCCCCTCCTCCTCCACACACTCCCCCATCATCATCACCACCGTCATCCTCTTCAATTCCCCTCCTCCTCCACACACTCCCCCATCACCACCACCACCGTCATCCTCTTCAATTCCCCTCCTCCTCCACACTCCCCCATCACCACCACCACCGTCATCCTCTTCAATTCCCCTCCTCCTCCACACTCCCCCATCATCACCACCACCACCGTCATCCTCTTCAATTCCCCTCCTCCTCCTCCTCCACACACTCCCCCATCACCACCACCACCACCGTCATCCTCTTCAATTCCCCTCCTCCTCCACACACTCCCCCATCACCACCACCACCACCGTCATCCTCTTCAATTCCCCCCCTCCTCCTCCACACTCCCCCATCATCACCACCACCACCGTCATCCTCTTCAATTCCCCTCCTCCTCCACACACTCCCCCATCACCACCACCACCGTCATCCTCTTCAATTCCCCTCCTCCTCCACACACTCCCCCATCACCACCACCACCACCGTCATCCTCTTCAATTCCCCTCCTCCACACTCCCCCATCACCACCACCACCACAGTCATCCCCATCACAGCTGCACCCACCCCCTAGTGCCGTGCTCAGTTGTCAGCGACGGCCGCTGCGCCCAGCAGCAGGCGCACGTTCACTGACTCGGCAACGCCTTTTGACTTGCTCGGAACAGCAAGCAGCGGCAGCAGCAGCAGCACCAACAACACCACCACCACCGTCGTTACCTCCACACACACACAGAGAGAGAGAGGGGCCGGTGTTGCGGAGAGTTCGAGCCACAGCAGCGATATGGACGGCGACAACAAAAGCACGAGCGTCGTGGTGAGGCGGCGAGGCGGGGAGAGGCCTCGCTCGGAGGCGGCGGTCTCGCGGGTGGACACATCCACGCTTAGCAAGGGCGCGGGGATCATCGACAACGACAATAACAACAACAGCGAGCAGAGTCGAGGATTTAATCGCCTCGCCCGTGGTGTTTGGCCTTCACTGCCGCGCCGCATTCTAGTCTGGGACGTGAGGGTTGCTGGCGGGTTGTTGTTGTGATGTATAGGAGGAGGAGGGGGGGGGGTGTCCCTGGTAATGGCCTAAGGAAGGCTGGATGCGGTCGGAGGGGTTTCGTTGTTGTTGTTTTTGTTGTTATACAGACAGGGGTCTCGGTGTGCTCTGAGAGAGTCGGGGTTGTGCGATGGCCAGGGCCTGGTGTGTGGCGCTTAGAGGGCTCGGCTAGGTCAGGTGTGGCCTGCGGGGCTTTGGTTGCGTCGTGCATTGTGTTATGGCTTTTAGGAGGTTGGATTTGGTGCGTTTATCGCCTTTGAGAGGGAAGAAGATTGGTGTGACGAGAGGTCTGGGTAGGTCGGGGCCGGGTTTGTGCAACGCAGGGGCCTGGTGTGGCCTCAGCAGCAGTGTGTGGCCGTATTGTAGAATTGTTGATATCGAGTAAGATTCGGTATGTATATTATGTCTGTCTCGCTATATGGTTTCCCTTTATTGAGATCAGTTAAACGCCGTAAATATTGTCGGAGGCAAGGACGCGGCACAAAATACAATCCCAGGATTTGTGGCCGCCTGATGTGGGATTATTTGCCGTCTGACAATGACCCAGTCCCCGCAGTGTTGCAGTAATTCTGTGGTAAAATTGTGTTGCTGTATCCATCCCTTTCTGTAAATGTCGACGTTAAAAGGGTTTCGTAAAACACCATTAAAGGTGTCACCCCCAACCTTGCAGTTTCTGTATAAATTACCGCAGGCGAAACATCGCCTTAAGGTGGTTTATGTAGCTTGGCCACATGCATCTTAGACGCTTAGGATAAGTAGATGTTGTGCCTAGGCTTCGGTGGAACAAACACAGTTTGGATGTGGTGAACACAGCCATCCTATCCGTCGAGTTAAGAAGGCCAGATAATCTATTTTTTTCCCTTTTCAAATGGCTGTCTGTTAAACTATGGACCGCCCGGAGGTTAACATTGTGGAATTCGCCAAATACCCGGCATGGTATGGAGACTCCACCCCCATGACACAATGCATTTGTCTGTCTGTCTGTCATGGGTCATGATCACGAATTGATTTTAATAATGGATTACCATGTTGTTGTGAATGTATAATCTCTTAAGAGTGCTTTGAGAGTTTACGTTAACAAACAACGCACAGTATACGAATGGGAAATATTCTACAGGACTGTAATGGAGTTCGCACCAGACGTATGCACATTTGGTGCATGCATTGTGAGCGTAAGAGTCAAATGTAATTTATGAAACTATGTGTTTGTTCCATGCCTCTCGAATGCCACTAAACAAGATTTCCCCCTGCATTGTGATAATCATTTAATATTTTAAATTGACACGAAAGTGTTCACTGGCTAATAATGCTGAACTGTATTTAAGTCATGTTTGATGCGGTGCTCTTATGTTAGCATTGCAGTAATGCATTCTTCAATAACCAAGTGGCCGTTATAAGGAGACTAAATGAGTTTTGGGTCCACACCGGCGACGGGGTTTGAAACAATGAGTGATGGGGGTTGTTAAAGCAGCTGGTGTCGCGGCACCAACGCGGCGGCTATGGTTCACGTTCATTAATACTGCATAGGTTGCGCATTAGCCAGGTTCCAAAACAACAATGGGACAGCATTAGTCATTCGCCTATAGGGTAGCGTAACAAGCCACGTGATGCACATCGACACACGGTATACCTGTGAAATATTAGATGTACGCTTACTGCTAAAGGGAACTCGAACAATAACTAACAGCTCAATTTTTTTAAAAATGAGGTTATGTCACTGCGATGATATTGTATAATCCCGTGTAATTTAGTCTCATCCAACAGTGGATTAATATTTTCTGATAGTGATGATGGTGACTGTATAATGAATGTAATGTAAGCATGCACAGCGATATGAAATGCTTGTGTACTAATGGTATTATTTTTAATGTGCACAAGGTCATAAAATGTTACTTTAAATGGGTTCACGAAATCATTTGCAGCATCATAGGATTGTAATTATGATATCGTGAATTTTTAGCTTTTAAAGGAAAAGGCCCTCTATCCATACTTATTGGAGGCCCCCTCTGCAAATAGTATGAACAAAACCCGTTCTGTGAATATCAATGATGAATAGATGATTATTGTAGTACCATTGCAAAATGCATTGGCATGCACGCGAGATCATGTTGCCATGTCACGGCTGTGACTCATAGAATGTTGACACTAAAAAATGTTTATTATAAGTTAAACTAAAAAAAACAAGCACTGACTTTTACATATTGGAGGAAGCACATGACTGCTGTTTATTATACTTGATATTTGTATTGCTGTTTTATTGGCATGCCACAGTACAGTAAAAATGTGTGACAAGATATTTCAAATGACAATCTGATGTATTTTTCGACATCTTTCAATTAAGTATCTACTAGACGGATTTGGTTTATATTTCAGATTGATTTTACAATCAAGGCCAATTTTTTTCTTTTTTTTTTCCTGAAGTTGCGCGCTCTGCGTCATGTCATGAATTTCAGAAATGTCTATTTACAACTCTTAGAGTGTGCGGTTTAACATATCCTTGATGGCAGAGAAAGCCCCGTGAAAGTAGATATGACAGTCGTATTTGAACTTATGAATTATTGTTTACATGCCCATGTGTTTTTTTTCCGTGGAAAACACAATGTAATATATTTTCGTGCAGTGCAGAAATTAAATACTGGGTTGAAACAATCAGCTGACCACACTGATAATCCAGTTTAGTTTAAAGTGGCTGAAACCTGTATTTAAACCCAGGGGCGGAGCCAGGATTTTCAGCCCGGGGTGACATTCAACAAATTTTAATTTCAAGAATGATTAGAGAGTCAGGCTGTTGAACTAGACGCCATCGGTTGGCGACACACTCTGACAATGCAGTTGCACGGAGTCCGCCAGACCGAGTGTCGTACACTTATACGCAGAATGTTTCAGATTTTCGATTTTTTTCGGGGGTGACAGTTGTCTACCCTGGCTCCGCCCCTGTTTAAACCAAGGATCTCAGTGATGCTGGCGCTCAGTGCTTTGACACGGCCGTGATTAACTCTTTGAGCCACCTAGCCGCACCACAGGTGTCGGTTTTTTCCATGTCTCCTGGTGAGTGGTGGTAATCCCTGGTGTTTGGTCCTATCAGGCACAGGAGACGGCCCACCTGGAGGAGCAGCTGCAAGGCTGGGGGGAGGCTTTGCTGGCTGCAGACCGTGTACTTCGCTGGGAGAAACCGTACTTCCCAGCTCTCGTCGTTTCTGCAACAACTTTAATCTTCCTGTAAGCTACGTTAGTGTCAGTTTGCGTTCAATAGAAATCCAACTCTCCTGTGTAATATTTAGTGAGAACCACAATGTTCTGTCGTGGTATGTTCCGAACTACACATTTTGTTGTACAGTACTTTGTGAATGTTAATGAGTACCACTGTGGGGACGTTGACAGTCGTTGTCCTTTCTAGATTTAAAGCTTTTGTGACTGCTAGGATCCATACTCTTTGGTACTTTACCCAATAGAACCAAAGAGTCGTTGTCCTCTATGGATAGACACATCCTTGCCAAAGCAATGTGGAATTTCCACCACTGTTTCAATGTTGTAAACAGGATATGAGCGCAGTACTTTGCTCAGCTGAGCAGGAAACCACTTAAATGTGTTTATATTTCAAAACATTTTAAATAGGAACCTGCATGTCATTGTATTTATATAATCACTGTGTACAGTACAATTATGGATATCTGACCATCTCACATCCACCCTGATCAATTGACCACCCACACCCAGTGCAGTACTTTTGCATGGTGCAACTTGTAACTTTCTATAGATATTAACAAATACAACCTTTTCACTTACAATAATGTATATTTAATCTCGGGTATATATTTACTTCTAAAGCACAGTCAAGTATATTCCTATGTCTAAACCAGTTTGTGCTTAAATTGTCCAATGACCTATTTGTGCACGATAAATAACCATCGTTTTTATATACAGGCGGTCGTCGACTTAAGTTTGTTCGACTTATGTTGATACACACTTACAGAATGACTCCAACTCAGGCGCCGGTTCTGCATACAAATGTCGCCCAGTCAATCTGCCTCCCCAACGTGATCCGGTGCAAAACCTCTGTGCATTCTGAGTAATATTTAAGTATTTTTTCTTCTTTGGTTCTTTCGGTAAAATCACGTAGAATGAGAATAAAATAATAAATTGATAAAATAAAATAACACAATAAAATTCTCACGACGTTTCGGCCACAACACAAGCGGCCTTCATCAGGTGAAGTCTCGTCCCTTCACCTGATGAAGGCCGCTTGTGTTGTGGCCGAAACGTTGTGAGAATTTTATTGTGTTATTTTATTTTATCAATTTATTATTTTATTCTCATTCTACGTGACTTTACCGAAAGAACCAAAGAAGATGAATCCTTGCAGTCACGAAAGCTTTAAATCGAAATGTAAGTATTTTTATTTGTTTATTTAATCCTTAAAATTGTTTGATAAAAGGAAAGGTCATTGTTCTCATGAAGGTGTTAAAAAGATTGTAGCAGTCCAAATAAGCCAGGAATTGCAAAGAATCAAGGTAAGAACTTTCTAAACACTATTATTTTTCTTTGTATATCATTGGTAGTTGATTAAATATGCTATTTGTGATCATATGTATAAAAAGTAGCATTTTGGAGCCTTTGTCAGGAACGTAACCCACGATTATATCATTGTTTCTCTGGGAAAATCAGTCTCGACTTGCGTTGTTTTGACTTACCGTCACCTTTTATAGTAACGTAACCTGATGTAGGTCCGAGGACCACCTGTATAAATGTTCACCTCCGTCCCCAGCAAGTGCTGTATGCAACATTGAACTGGAACTGATTATGTACCATATAAATAACTGTGTTCATTGCTGTTTCAGAGTGATTTACTGGCTGGACCCATCTGTGCTTACGGGCCTCTCAATCGTGGTGATGTTGGTCTGCCTGGCAGATTACCTTATTCCAACCCTCACTGCTAAGTTCCTCAGTTCAAAGCAATGGTGGGTGTACATCTTTCACATCCTCAATTATATTTCTGGATCCATGTGTTGGCTAAAATTCCTTATTGCTCAATTTTTGACTGATGTCTGCATTTGTGATTATAGAGTAATTTTCCAAAAATTTACATGGACAACGCAAAAGCATAGTTGTACGGTGTTGCCCAATAACATTGCGGTATGAAATGTTGGTACAGTGGTTGGTTGTTTCCAGATCCTTAACCCTGCAGCTGATAAAATGCATGTTACTTGAAAAGGAGAAGCAGTCAGTTAAAATAAATGGGGTTTTTTGATGTTGCGGATGAATAACTAAGCCATGTGTGCCAAGGGATCTCCAACACAAGAGTACATCTTGAACATTACTGTCAGGAATCCACTATACTACTCTTGTAACCGGTCTGTCACACTATTTGCCTATATTTTAAAACAATGCCAATGCAGTGACTTTACCATAGTGCTAAAATATTATGCCCAACTTTAATGCTTTTTATTTCATTAAAACACATTGGACAGCCCAGGTCCAGAGCCTTGGTACATATCTACAAGATGAGCCATTTTTTGGGGTTCCATCTTTAAACCAATCAGTCAAATGCCATTGTCTGCAATTTAAGATTAATTGGTTGCCTCTTGTCCTGTACGTGTTAGGACTACGGAACAGCAGCAGCGCTTTCATGAGATCTGCAGCAGTCTGGTGAAGGCTCGCCTGTCTGTAGCTCACTGGGGACATCAACTGTTGGCACTTAAAGAGGAGAAGCCCAAAGTGGTATGTCGCAGTTGATTAGCAAAGATCCTCACGCAAATAAATAATTCAATATAACGTTCCCTGATAATGATAACATGTGTTTTTTATCCCTTTTAGTAAGTTTCTGTACCCTCTTAAAGTGAACATAACCTATTTTAGCAATGAAGCTGATTCGAACCCAGTGATGGATATTATTTGTGTAACCTGATGATATCCTACAAATAATGGTCAAGTTCAAGAGGCCACTAAGACCTCACCTTAAATTCCTTCCACTAGATTCTTTACAAAAACATTTCCTTCCTCAAGTACAAGTGTGGAGATTTTAAAATACTGAAATAAAGTTTTAAAAAGTGCAGTGTTAGAAGTGTTTTATATGTTTTAAATACCTCTGACTTGTAGCTTTCTCCTGTGCCTTTTTACAGTACTTCATCTCCATTACTACTGTCCTAGCTCTGGCTGCTTGGATTGGTCAGCAAGTTCATAACCTTCTTCTTACTTTCCTGATTGGTACGTCTGATAAAAGCACAAACTGGGAATAAGATGGCCTTCATGAGCTAATTTTGCTTTATGAATAGATATATTCAGTAGGTAAATGACAAATTGTGCATCTGAGATTGAATGCAATCTCATTATTTTATGGACAACTCTATTCAAGAATCAATAAAATGTTATATTATTATTTCATCCATTTGTATTCTGTATATCCAATCTCGTCCATTCCATCATCCTAATGTAAGCTTTAAGTTGCATAATTTTTAATGGATGGATTCTTACACATGACATACATATTTTGCACGTATCATGAGGGTAATAATCTATCAGGGTATCATTAAATGCCTATATGATTCACAAGTTATGTATAGTATAATGGCCTTCTGGTGCACAATGGGATGCATGTATTATGAGTGTAAAATATTTCTATGTATGCATAACTTACCTGATTTTATGTAGTTAAAACCACAACAATGGGCTGCTTGGATAAAAAGGTAAAACATTTGTCAAAATATCATTGGAAAAGATTGTTTAAACCCATTTTAACATGCATTTTAACTTGTTTGTAAACAATTATTGTGATGTCATTGCAGTGACTTTTCTGCTGCTCTTTCCTGGACTCACCCAACAAGGGATAATCTGCAGTTATGTGGGCATGGCAAAACGAGAGATCAACAAGCTCCTTAAACGCAAGGAGAAGAAAGCAGAATGAAAACCCTTTCTCATTGCTGCACTGCTCTGGTATAATTAACGTAGAGTGGACCAGTCTACTTGCTCCAAGTTAGCCTGCAAAATGTAGTTGTACGCTATAGCAGAACATTAATGTGTTAGGATTTTGTATTTACTGGTGTGACCATGTGTAATCTATTTTGAGGTTTGATGCAAATGCACTGTGCATCAATTTTGCATGATGGGTTTGCTGCCTAGAGGTTGTTTAAAGAAATGGCATTTTAATAAGCTCTGACTGAAATTTTGATTTAAAGCTTTCGTGACTGCAGGGATTCATATTCTTGGTTCTTTCGGTAAAGTCACGTAGAAGGGAAACAATAAAATCATAAAAATATAAAACAAAAATATGAAACAATAAAATTGTTTTATTGAAACAATAAAAATTTTTATTGAAACAATAAAATAGTTTTATATTTTTATTATTTTATTGTTTCCCTACTACGTGACTTTACCGAAAGAACCAAGAATATATGCTCTGACTGCATTATAATGATTAGTAGTTGTGTGTCTACATGTTTCCGAAACGTCTTCAGAAAACATTTCAAGGGCGCTTCAACAGTGGGACTATGATATATTTGCTCTGTAGATGTAGAAACGTTTAGATGTTCTACAAAAAACTATATTATGCATGGGGTGAATTCTCAACCACATACTTTGGTGTCACACTGGAGATTCTTGCACTAAACGATCGGTGTTAACGTTTTACTCTTTGCCATTCTTATTATTCCCACAAGTATTTACCAATGTATTTTTTAATTTGTCGGTCCTTTTGCATAGGTGCTTTTCTAGAATAGAATCTTCATTTTAAGTAGAAAATTTGCTTTCAAAGCTTTAAATACACTGAACTAAGAAGCCACAGATACAGTAAAACCGCGATGTAATTTTGGCGTGAGAAAACATATAACGTAAATGGATGAAAGAAAAATACAAATAAAGATTGGTTTGCAAATGGTGTGTCACCGTAAAGTCCCAAATGTTAAGTGGCGAATCCAACACCTACATCCCCTCCATTGGTCACGGGGGAGGTGGCAAACGGCCATCATCCCTTTCAGCTCCCTCAGTCACACATGTGCAATTGGGCAGACATATGCATGTATTTTCCATTATCACGTGGATAGCCTATAACGAAGGTGTTGTATGTCTTCCAATGCCTATGATATATCCAGCCTTTACTGGATTTAATTATTGAACCCACAAAAAATGCATTACCTGAAATACTAGATCAGAGTACTGAAACATTGTGGGAGGACAAAACTATTGTGGTTTTGAGTCCAGAATTAGTCATCTAAATGGCAACACCTTACACATGGCATTTTGGTAACTAAAGATGCAAATTGAAATGTGGTTTAACGAGTGCAGTTCGAAGGAAATAAGCAATGACCAACCATAATAATGGAAGCTTTTTTCTTATTAACTTCAGATTTTGTTCCAGTAACTTATTGGCAGTGTTTTTCAGTCGGGGATCCCTGCAAGTCACCCTTGAATGAACATTAAAATGCTAATTTTATAAGCCAAGTTGAACTAACAGCACCGGCATACAAAACTTACCTTCATTTATAATTTTAATATATGCACAATATCAATGTCAGTGCATCTTTGAACAGTATCACGAGGATGGAGATGAATTTATTTGCTGGTTCTGTTAAGTGAAACTGCCCGTAAGTGCACAATTGTACATGAGGGAAGTTTGAAAAAGGCACCATGTGTATTAAATTTATGCTTAAAGAATGATGTGTGAACACAAGCTTATTTCCATGGCAGAGTACATATGTTTCGCTTTAATTCAAATATAGCGATTCCGTTGTGAAAGTAGTGACCATGAGGGCACTACGGATGGTTGAAATATAACAGGAATTTGGAGGTGCAGATTCGTTATAAAAAATGTAATGCTAGTGGAATACAAAGTAAAACGACTACAGTAGACGTCAATCTGCTTTGAAGGGCCATTTATCGGTTAAAATAAACGTTTTGGTAGTGTATATATTGCTGTTGTAAGACCGTAATAACAATTGTGGGGCCGTTTTGTAATTGTCCTCAACTTTCGGGAGCAGAAATGAGTGGTGAGCCAGTGAATTTAAGTCTGACTTAAGGCGTAAGTTGCGAAGCTGTTAAATTACATGGCAGTCTCGTCTTGTAGAAGGTCAAGTGAAAATTCCAACACCAGTAATTTGGAAACCTCGAGGGCAAGGATTAATTTAACCACCGCAGGGAAATGCGACAAACGAGACCGAATGACCTCGAATTGAAACCGCTCAACTTGGTTAAATCGTCTGTGCCCAGATAGAACAGAAAAAAATCACTCCAGAGCAAATAGATTCCCTGCATTGAATCATTGACGGGAGTGTGGAGCACACAATACTGTATCGACGTATCGGTAGTCATCGCCTTACGAACATCCGCACTTAAGAACGAACTTCCATAAGGTATATTTCTTTAACCATCCGACTTGCCAACTCGCATTAACGAACCAAACTGCGTAACTTTTTTGTTCAGTGGAGCAATCCCCTTGATGTAATGGGTCGCAGCATGCCGCTGGAAGTGTGGGTACGTGAATGAGTGTGGGTACGTGAATGAGTGCCGGTACGTGAATGAGTGCCGGTACGTGAATGAGTGTGAGTGTGGGTACGTGAATGAGTGCCGGTACGTGAATGAGTGTGAGTGTGAGTACGTGAATGAGTGCGGGTACGTGAATGAACGCGGGTACGTGAATGTTTGTGTGGGTACGTGAGTGAGTGCGGGTACGTGAATGAGTGTGAGTGTGGGTACGTGAATGAGTGTGTGGGTACGTGAATGTGAGTGTGGGTACGTGAATGTGAGTGTGGGTACGTGAATGAGTGTGGGTACGTGAATGAATGCGGGTACGTGAATGAGTGTGTGGGTACGTGAATGAGTGTGTGGGTACGTGAATGAGTGCGGGTACGTGAATGAATGTGGGTACGTGAATGAATGTGGGTACGTGAATGAGTGTGGGTACGTGAATGAGTGTGGGTACGTGAATGAGTGTGGGTACGTGATTGAGTGCGGGTACGTGAATGAATGTGGGTACGTGAATGAGTGTGTGGGTACGTGAATGAGTGCGCATTGTGGGGAGCGGTGGTGTAGTGGTTAGCGTGCTGCGCTACGAACCTAGCAACCCGAGTTCGATTCCCGCTCACGGCCAACACCAGTCACGATTATCTGAACCGGTTATGGGCCTCCCCTAAGTCGACTCAGCCTTAAATGAGTAGGTGGTATGGATCCTTGCAGTCACGAAAGCTTTCAATCTAGAATTGATAACCTCTACGGGGAGGGTTTTCACCTATCTGTTAGAGCTTTTAACAGACAACGGGACAAGAAGTCACAGCTCATCGAGACGCTGACCTTCCTCAAAAGATGCCGCGACCACAAGGTAATACCCATCGCTTTCACACTCACTTCTGCTGCTGTATCTTCTCCGAATTCTAAACAGATTCTGCTTAAGGCCAGCCAATCTTTAATCTCAGAGAGGATAAGGCTACTCCGATTTGAACTCGATACTTTAGACAGGACTCTCCTACGAGCTCATTTAATGTTAACACAAAAAATGTCACCTTATGATTGGAATCACGTAGACAACATGACTGCTTCTTCTGCTGAGTCACTGTCAGTCAAATGTAAAGCTAACTTGATTTCTAATTTCAACCACCTATCAAAGAAGAACCCAGTTCCACATATAACAAAACTAGATGTTAACTAAATCGTCATTAATCAGAGTAGCACCCCGATTTCGGACAATCTGAAAACAGTACTGGCGAGGGGGCTACATTTTGCTGTCACCCCAAAACACATACCAGTAGATGATATCATCTCTCAGGTCGATGTAGCCCTCAAAGGCGTAGGACACATCCAAGCAGACGTTGCGAGAGCTGAAATAGCCACTATTCTTAAGAATGCTAAGAAACCCATTAGTAACAGCAAAAATGAACGCTCTGAACTCGCGAATTTAAAAAAACAGAAGTGATATAGTCATCCTCTCAGCCGATAAAGGCAACGCTACTGTTATTATGGATAAAGATTCATACAACAACAAGATCCAGAATCTGCTCAACGATGGAAGTTACTCAAAAATAAAAAATGACCCTACCAATAGCCTAGCGATAAAAAACAACAAGATCATCACAAGTTCGACCTCCCTAATCGACCCAACTAAACGTCCCTCCCTAAAACCTTCTGCTGCAAGACCCCCTAGATTCTATGGTCTTCCCAAGATTCATAAAGAAGGCACCCCACTACGACCCATCGTATCCACGATCAACTCCCCTACCTATCGACTAGCCTGTTTTCTGTCAGATACCTTGCTGCCTTTCACTGGCAAGACCGCCTTAGCAGTACTTAACTCAGCCCAATTGGTCTCTATGGTCAAAGACGTTGTACTGTCCCCTGACGATATCCTTGTCAGCTTCGATGTGGTCTCTTTGTTGACCAAGGTCCCAGTACCTCATACCATTGAAATAATTGAAAATTTGGTCCAACATGGACTAGACCCCGACACACCTGCACTGGTTAGGCACTGCCTCAACAATACCTACTTTACTTGGAATGGCTCCTTCTACAACAAAATGAGGGTACCCCCATGGGATCCCCCTTGTCACCAGTGATAGCCAATATTTTCATGGAGAAATATGAATCAGACGCCATCCAGACTTCCACCCTCAGACCTTCCCTGTGGAAGAGATATGTGGATGACACTTTCGTCATTTGGCCACATGGCCTCCCAGCTCTGAACCTTTTCCTACACCACATCAATTCCAGACATCCCGCCATCAAATTCACCATGGAAGTGGAGAAAGATGGCAAGCTACCATTCTTAGATGTTCTGTTTGAGAGGAGACCTGATGGCTCAGTGGGGCATTCTGTCTACAGGAAACCCACCCACACAGATTCCTACTTGAAACCTGATTCCCACCACCACCCAGCCCAAAAGAATTCTCTCATCAAAACTTTATACCATAGGCTCATTGCATTTCGGACCAACACCACCTGACCAGTGAATTAAAACATGTACACCTGGCCCTCAAAAGGAATGGTTACTCTGACCGTACCATCCGCCAAGCTGTTTCTCCCTCCATACAGAAACAACCACTTGATACTCCGGTCAAAGCCATCACACTACCATATATAGCAGGCGTTACTAAAAAGATTTCCAAAATTCTAAACAAACACAAGATCCAGGTCCGGTTCAATACAGTACACAAAATTCGTGATCTGATCCCATCCGTGAAGGATGTCATTCCTGACTTACAGTACCCCGGGGTTTACAAATTGAGTTGTACCTGCGGTGATTGCCATATCGGGGAGACAAAGCGACATCTCTGACCGAATTCGCGAGCACAAATCAGATTTGAAACACGGCAAAACGAATTCTTGTGCTGTGGCTGATCACTGTTACAACGCTGTGGGTGATCACGAGGCAATTCAGATCTACAAACACAGACACAATTTCAACCGAGAAGATGGTTTCAAATTAAGCAACCATTGGAAAGATGTTCTAAATCGAACTAAACTTTAAACTAATTTCAATGGTACAGTATATTTTTCAAGTAGTGGTACCCCAAACTTTCGCAGCTCTTATAAATTCCCTTTTCACACCATCAATAGGTAAACTCCCCCCCCCCCCCGCGCCAAACGGCAAGTCCACCGGCACGTACACCACCTCTTTTCTAAAATCGGCCAATCAAATGCTAATTTTTATGCTAATTTCTTTGTCAGGACACCTTGTTTGCTCGTACACAGTTTAAAGGTCCGCTGTCTGAGCGTGGTTGTTTCACTAAATTCTCCTGTTTGATTTGTACTAGGTGCCTCGGTGAATGTATATGCTCTGACTTTAACATAGCTATTTCTGTGACCAGTTACAAGCTAATCACTCAGCTATTTCAATGCTAAATTCTATGCTAATTCCTTTGTCAAGGGGTGCCTCTGCGGATGTGTATACTTGAACTTAGCTATTTCAATGAGCCATTTCAATGTTAAATTCTATGCGAATTCCTTTGTCAAGGCGCTTGGTGTTTTTCTTCTCACACAGCTTAAAGGTCGTGATCTAAGCGTGGCTTCTTCCACTCCAGCGCTGTCCTCCAGACAGTCTCGTCCCTTCACCTGATGAAGGCCGCTTGTGTTGTGGCCGAAACGTCGTGATTTTTGTTATTTTATTTTTTACCTACGTGACTTTACCCAATAGAAGCAAAGAGTAAGGTGGTAAGGTGTGTAAATATTGCCACTGGGGAGACAAATGCGGCCGGGCGTGGTGCTGGCCACCCTTCGTGTGCCTTTATAGGCGATGCTCGCGAATAGCACGTTCCCCCAACAGACTGTTAAAGCGTGTGTACGTGCAATTGTAGGAACTCATTGTGTCCTCTTCCGACAAGCAAGCAAGCCAGCAGCAAGTGAAACTAAAAACGGATATTTGCTTCTATTCACGTGACTTTATTTCACGTTTTACTTACTATACAGCATTTCTCACGGTGGTACATGCAACACGTTAACACTTTATTATTTACGAGTGTAACAATGCCTCCCTTTTTGTTGCTGTGCCTTAAACGCGTTGTTAACACTTTGACCGCGTGTACGATGCGGTCCATTTGCGTTCCCGACTTACGAACCGCCCGACGAAGGAGCCGACCCCGTGCGTAAGTCGGGGCCTTTGCCCCCTTGAAAACAAAACATGGAATCGATTCTCGTAGCGTGCACGCGGAATCGTTTCTTCGCGATTCCTAAAAGGTCAATCCGTTTCACGTCGCTTGAGTTATCGCTCCACGCGCAGAGAGAGCGCCACTCCGCACACTCTCTCACACACACACAAGGAGGCCGAGAGGACACCACCACCACCTCTCTCGCTATGCTCACTGCCGCCGTAGCGCGCTGCTCCCGCCGGGGGCCCCTGGGCTCCCTGGCTTCGCTCGGCAGAGCCCTTGCCGCGGGGCAGGTGCGGCGTGAAGCGGGCTGCGGGAGGCCTGGTCCGGGCTGCGGGTGGGAATCCAGGCGAGCGGCGTCTGCCTCCTCCTGGGAGCGCGGGGAGAGGACGGAGTCGGCGGCGATGGAGGACGCCGAGGAGGAGAAGAAGAGACTCGGGAACCTCTCGAGTCGCTTCGCGGCGCGCTCCTTCTTCAGGAAGAGCGCGGCGACACACGAGGAGGAGGACGGGGAGGAGGAGGAGGAGGAGAGGGTGCGGGGAGGCCGTAGGGATACAGCGTACTGGTTCCACGTGCAGTGCAAGCGCCTGGCGCGGAGCGGACAGGTGCGGCTCGCCACGTGGGCTCTGTACCGTGCGTCTGGGGTGGGGTATGGTGTGGTGCGAGCGTGCGGGGTGGTGTGAGCGCGTGGTGTGTTGGGTGGTGTGTGGCGTGGTGTGTGGGGTGGTGTGTGCGCGTGGCGTGGTGCGTGGCGTGGTGCGTGGGGTGGTGCGTGGGGTGGTGCGTGCATTTGAAGAGCAGTAAGTGTTGCGGTTAGCGCGCTGCGCAATGAACGCAGCGTCCCGAGTTCGATAGCCGCACACGGCCAACACCGGTGACGATCATCTGAACCGGTATCTGGGCCCCCCCCCCCCCAAAGTCGATTCGACCGCAAATGAGTGCCTTGTGTGAGTGTGTTAACACCGCCACTCGGGAGGCGAAGGCGGCCGGGCGTTGTGTTGGCCACCTACCTCTTCGTGCGCCGTGCCGGCCTTCGTAGTGGCTCGCTAACAGCGCTTGCCCCAAAAGTCTGTTAAAGCTACACGGGGGATCTTTGTTGTTGTTGCAGCTGGAGGAGGCGCTTCGTCTGTTTGAGGAGACGGGGCTGAAGCAGCAGCGCCTGCAGCCCGAGGAGTTCAACTTCACCGTGCTGATCGGGGCGTGCGCACGCGCCGGCCTCACGCGCCGCGCCTTCCGCCTCTATAACGACGTGAGCGGTGGCGGCTGGCGCCCGTCCCACACAGCACAGGGCCACTTGGCTGCACACCAGTAGTAGTAGTAAGCACCAGTGCGGCTAAATTACATCAAGCGTGAATGTTTGCTGTCACCACAGCATCCATGTGTCGTCCTGCGCCAAGTTCCACATTGCCACTGTTGGCTGAGATTCTGTTGGTCCCCTGGTCGGTGGCCCCCTCTAAACAGATCCTTGAAAATATTTTCCCGAGGAATTGGTTTGACCTCCCATAATCTCATGCCTCACCTAGTTAACCCATGGTGCCCTCTACTCTTTTTGATACTTGTCCACCTTCGGTACATTGCTGTGAGCCGCTATTTCTCCTGATAGTCTACCGTGGTGTTCCGTGTCTCCCAGATGAAGAAGCGTGGGCTAACCCCGAGCTCGCACACCTACACGGCGCTGTTTAACGCGTGCGCGGAGTGCGGACGCCCTGAGCAGGGCCTAGCTTTGGCGGAGAAGCTGTGGGCCGAGCTGCAGCAGAAGTTTGGAAGAGCGGATACACATCTTTTCACGTACCACGCCCTGCTCAAGGTGTACGCACGCTACGGTAGTCTGGCGCCCGCCATCAACGTGCTCAAGGTACTCGCCACACCAATCGTGACATTCTTGGAGTAATATAACTTTGTTTATTAGGAGCGAAACTCAATTAACATTCACAAAAAAAGTATTGCCATGCTGTACACCGAGTTTTCATCCTGAAACGAAGTCTTGCTAAGTTCTGGTGCTTGTGTAATGACAGGGTGCCACCTGTCGGCCTGAAGGGGTAATCGCGGTTATGGGCATGTTACGCAATGTCTAATTATGAGGGGAGCGTATCGGGGGTAAAGGTGGAAGGCAGAATCAGTGGAGAAGCTCCGGGAACCTGCTCGAAGGTTCTGGAAGGGGGCGTGACCGGAGGCGGGGCTTGGCCGCGCCGGGGTGTATATAAGGGAGACCGAACCAGGGGTTTCAGTGCTGTTGCGGGTCCTGGGTCCTGGCTGCGTCGCTGCTTGCCGTCATCTCTCTTCATCGTCCGGCCACGTGGCCAATCTTCTGCAAGGCTCTCATCGTTGATGTCGCTGCGCTAGTCAGACAGTTGTGTAGTTAGACGCCGACGATGGGGTTGTGTAGAAGGGTCAGCTAGGTGTAGCTACGTAGAACGTTACATGGATGTATCGCTCAGTGTTGTGCTTAAAGTGTGAGAATAAATACGAAGCCTTCTACACGACGTGTCTCGGAAGTCGCTCACTACACTTGAATGCCGCACAGGCTTCAAACTAGGTCAGTGGATCTCGGGGAGAAATGTCGTTGATGTCACCACACCTTGTTGTCGATTTCTTCTGCTAGGACCCATAATCGGTAAAACATTAATAACCCCACAGTCATCCACATTTACAGTATCCCACCATCCAGTTTCAGGGCTTCCTCATGTTGATCAGTCGATATCTCCTTTATGGGCTTCTCTTACTGTCTCAATGCCTCCACTGTCTGGCTTTAGGTCTTCCCCTTGGTTGCAGGCCTCCTGAGTGCTACTTGACTACCCATCTCCAATGCCTATTGGAGAACAGATCATTATATTGGTCGTTGTTGAATACCCACAGCGCTGCATCTGTGTGCGTCCACTTTCAAACCCTATTCTATCAAAACATTTCTGGTTGCACATGTAACTAGCTAGTGTCCTAAATCAGATCTGATTCCAGAGACGTTGCAGTTTATGCTCCCAGTAAGTGTAGCACCAAGTGTAAGGTGGAGATGTAACTGATGTATTGGATGGGAGATGGGGTGGGTGAATTCGTTCACCCAAAACCTGGGGGGGAGTGGGGTTCACAGTCAATTGTAGTGGAGCACCTCCTGGTTGCTGGCTCTGCTGCTCATATGAAATCTTACCTTTGTGGGATGCCTCCTGACTTGGTTTGACTTTGTTGTTTGATTGCCAGGAAATGGTTGGCAATGGTGTGGTCCCAACCTCCACCACGCTGAGCTTCCTGCTGGAGGCAGCCAGGCGAGATCCCTCGGAGGGCTTTCGCCACGCCCTGCAGGTTTGCACCACAGTTATATTGTACACACCACACGACCGACCAGTACAGACGCACAACACAAATACATACACAGCAACATCAATAAAGACACCGCAGTTCAACAACGACAACAATTGGCGTTCGCCACTCAGTGGCGGTGACATGACCAGAGTACTTGTACCAGGCTAGGTGTACCTTGAGGCCACGGGACAGACCCAGCTGTTATCAGTTGACTGGGATGACTGGCAGATGCACCACTTGTGTTCCCCACTGTGCCAACTGTGTTGCTAAACACACACCTACACACTACCATCAATACACAGGCATCCTAGTTAAAATCGAAGACTACCCACACACACACACCACTACCACCAATCACACACACACACCAACACTACACACAACACATCCCATTAAAAATAAACATACACCATTATACACAAACACCACTACAAATAGACAGATGCTATATTGTTTCGGAGTAAACAAAGATTGGTATAAGTGATTTGACGACATCACTGTTATGGGTATGCATGTTGAACTTCTTTTGCACCGTACGAAGCCAACCGTTTTATCGGAGGTGTTGGGAAGGACAACTAAACACACAGAAGGGTAGTGAGTGGAGCTGGTTGTTATACGTGTGCCTTTGTGTGATTTGTCGTTGTAGCTGTGGCGCTGGATGGAGCGTGTCGGGGTGGCCCCAAACCTCCACAACTACAGTTTTCTGCTGTCCGTTGCTCGGCAGTGTGACATTGGTGACCCGGCGGTTGCCACTGCTCTGCTGCTAAACGATTCCAGTGAGAGTAAAAATATCCGGAGTCTTCCAGTCCGCAGCCAGACGGGAGCCAAGAGACGGACTTCTACGAGTGCGGCAGTGGCAAGTGTCCAGGACCTTCAAGGGCGACTGTTCAACTCTCAAAGAGCTTGTTCACATCCAGATTCTGTGCGACAGGACAAGAGCACAAGGGGTGCACACGAGTGGCAGCTCACCCACGAGCACACACCACAGACGAGAACTGACCAATTGTCGACGAGCTGTGCATCTAGGGAGCGAGCGCATGTTGAGGAGTGTCCCGAGCAGATGGCAATCGCACAGCGGCACTCTGAGCAGATTCCCCAGCACTCAACATCTCTGGCACTTTTGCCCGAATCGCCGGGCAGTCACCTCGAGTTACCGGGCAATCTGCTGGAGCCAGGCCGGCGCAGCACCAAGGGCCACGTGCTGTCTCTGAGGGCGGCGCCCGACCCTGCCGATCGGCTGGCGCTGCTGGGCGGTGTGGCAGGAGTGCTGGGGGCTCTACGGAGGCATGGCCTGGCCCCCAACGTGCTTATCTTCACACAGCTCGCTATGCTGTTGCCTGCTGATCAGGTTCGCATGCTGCTGATCCGCACGGACAACGGCAAACACTCAAATTATTCATCATTACGCTTAAAGTTTGAATGATCCGTTGACGGTAATAGTTGTCCCAATTGTATCAATCTTATGCCTGGGTAGAGTGACGGGGCAGTGGTTACCCGCTGCACTGTGAAATTAGTGACCTGAGTTTGATTACCAGTTATGGCTGACGTCAGTGGCGAGGGATAAGTGAACTGGTTCTGGACATCACTTTGACCAACCCACACTGACCAACATGCCGATATATAGTTAAACGTGCCCCATGACTGACACAGCGTCGGGAGGCATTTTTCCATCAGCGAATTGACAAAGTGCTGCAAATTATTCATTTTTATCCTTTGGCAAACCATATTTATTAGAGATATGACTCACCATGATCCCGAATTGTGGCAATTCATCACATGCCACTACTCTTTCACATAAACCCCGTGCCTCACAAGACCACGCTGCACATTGCTCTCCACGTCTTGTAACTCGTGCATTGCCCACTCGGCCACGGTTGCCCTTGAGTTTCCCCAAACTTCCCCCCCTGTGTGTCTGGTATTTCTCTTTCCTCACCTTTACGACTCGGGCAGTTTGATCAAGACGAGCGGCTGCTGCAGGAGGCGAAGGCCTGCGGAGTGGAGCCAGACGTCACCTTGTACAACGTCCTGGTGGGGCGCAGGAGCCGCGCCGGCGACCTGGCCGCAGCGCGCGTAGGGGCCGCAAGCACAAACACACGCACATCCTCGCCTGTTTACACGTACATGTCTGTGTATGTTGAACTTCTTTCGCACCGTATGTAGCCAACTGTGCTAATCGGATGTGCGGGGGAAGGACAACAAACTTAACACAAAAAGCAGTTCAGCCTATATGAGTTAAATTTTTCTGTAACTTAATTTTGTAGTTGTACTGTGATCGGTCTAAAAAATAATCGTCCACAGCCAGCTTTTGCCAGCAAGGAATTAATTTAACGTTGATTTACGTTTATGCGTTTTCTATTGCTCGCGTGATGAGGCAGTTTTTGTTTTGCTTTCTATTTGTTCTACTTTGTTTTGCGTTTGTCATCTTGGTGACCAAGCTCGCTCCTGTAAATCAGGCTATCCTGGGCTCTTGAGTTCTCACCTGGTCTAAAACAAAACTAGAACGACACATACGTACACTGACGCAAACATGCGCGCCCGCACGCCGCCTACTAGCATGGACACATGCGTGCACACACACACGTCACACTTAAAAGCTTCCATGCAGACACGCTACCTACACACACACACGAATGCTGTGATGAAAGCATGCACACACTATACACGAATGAGCGCTGACATGTACACATGCACGCACATATCAACATTTCCGTGCACTTACACGTTACGTCGCATGAAACATTTTGTGCAATAGGTTGATGGAACAAGAGACAGAACCAACTGGATAGAACGTACAAAGCAGACCGTACGAAAAAAATAATCCATTCTCCAATCTTGACCCCGACTTGCGACAATTTGTCAAACTGCATGAGTGGATACAGAATCGTTATGTGCCTACTACACACGCATGCCCTTGTCTATAGCATGTGTGCGCGTGCGTGAGCGCACGAGTGTGCCTGTTTTTACACATACGCTTGCCCGCTCATGAACGCGCACTTGCGAGATTGCAGGCGTTGGTGGGGGAGCTGGTGCGGGAGGGGCTGTCCCCTGACATGCACACGTACAGCGCGCTGGCCGCAGGCTGCCAGCGCGAGGAGGACGGTGTGCAGCTGCTGAGAGACATGAGGGTGCGCACCTTGCTACTGCTGCTGCTCACGATCACGTGCACAAGGACGAGCGTAAAATCGTCAGCTGTGATCAGTGCACTGCTAGATGAAGACATCCTGCCCTACCCGACAATGCTTTGACATCTCACACTGATCTCATTACGGTGGATGTCTTCTCAGGCGTGTCCACTCCTTTGGTTGCCGCTCTGACAGAAGTTTTGACCCACCAGCCATCGTCCCTTCTTGCGATGCGTTATGCCCAAACCAAATTTTCTTAAGTTAATTGGAGCAACTTTTCCCGCTGCAATGATTCTTATGTAAACATTTGAATTCGTGTCGCTAAGTTGAATATTGACCTCAACACTGGAGGAAATATCTTGCCGTGGGATCTGATTTTATTGCCGAGTGCTGTGTACGTGTTTGTGCATCTCTTAGCTTGGTATTTTTATGCTTTCCAATCAAGTTTGAAATCGTTAATGCATTATCTCTGTCCATCTGTCCAAAGCTTTGCAATAAAAAAAACCCAGTTCTTAAAGTATCCTAAGTGGCCAAGGGAATTGGCATGTCATCTTGCGTAGTTGTATGTGATGCTCCGTGTAACTTGTTATGCGCTTTAAAAACATACCGCTATCGCCAATTTGGAGGACAAATGTTTTTTGTGAAAGCGTTGTAGAATCCATGCGCGTGTGCGATTCTTGCTTGTTGTTTTCTGCTTCCTACAGACAAGTGGCTTGACTCCGAATTCCCACGTGTGCGGGGTGCTCATCTCCGTGGCGATCCGTCGTCTCGACTACTCGTACCTGACTGCGGTGCTCAAGGAGATGGCTCGGTCGCACATCGCCGCCTCGCCCGCCATCCTGAGGCAGCTCGACTTCGCAGCCCGCTACCCACCCGGATACGATCACGTCAGCACACGCAGTCCACGGCACCACACGCCGCACACACCGAATAAAAAATAATTCTATTTATATAGTGCTTTTTATCAACGATCTCAAAGCGCTGTACATGACAGAGCAGCAGTAGCAGACACTCAACATGAAAATAATTATATTATAACTAAATTTTTAAAATCTATTTACTAAGCGAACGACAAGTTTAATAAGCGAAAGCATGGGGGATAATATGCCTGTGTCGGAGAATTCAGCCCCGTTACAATTGTAGTTTGGATATTGGGAATCTTTGTGTTGTGTGTGTCTCTGACACAATGTCAATATGTTTGTCTGTGTGCAGTACAGCGCATCGAACGCCTATCTGGATAAGATCGACGGCTTCCGTGGGTTCTACCAGCTCTGGCTGAAGCGCACCTCTGCCGTGGACGACACAGCGCAAGTCCGGTGAATCTGTTGGCGTTGTCAGCCAAGAGACAATGAAATATTCCCCGCGAGAGATCATTCCCACACTCGGCTGTAGTGCTGTGAGCTGTATTTCCTGTGCCAATGACGACTGGACAAATATGCACCCCCTACCCCCCCCTCACCTATCCGGCTGTCGTACGTGGCACAAAGCAGTGGACATCACCCTACCTCCATGTGGGAGCTAACAAAGAGAGAAGACACTCGTGGAAATAATGCATCTTGAACTCGGCGTTGTTACAATTGCCACTTCATCATCGCAATGAAAGTAGTGGCCAAGTGAGGTGGTGGTTGTTTGCAACATTCGCGTGCGTCCACTCATCCCTGTCTTGACACTGCACGAGAGAGCGGGAAGTGAGCATTACGCTGCCATGTCAATAAAACCCGACTGCATCTAACGCTTATGAGTTGTGTGTTGCCAAAGAGAGAGCGTGAGTATGGATGTGAGAGATATCGGGTGTGAATGCGTGTAAGAGGATCATTACATCTCCTGCCGCGTCTCTCGCGGAAGACTACACCATTGATCGCATTCACCAGCGATGTTAACGTCCACGCAGCCGTGAAGAGGAGGTGGTGGGGGCAGGCTCCGTGTCGTGTGTGTGTGCGTACCAGTCGAGAAGGGGTGCTGCCCGTGTACTTGTGTTGCATCAGATGGTCCCGTTGCCAGTGTCAGGATACGCAGAGTGTGCGTGCGCATGCTACAGAGACGCGTAGTAGGGATGGCGACTGCAGTGCTGCTAATAATCGTAACTTTGATCGGCGCTACTACTCACACCCCTTCACCTGGGACCTGTCCACCTGGGAAGTGTACTCGGGGTGAGGATCTCGGTGGTGCTGGGAGTGTGGGTCTCAGAAGGGCTGGGAGTGAGAGTCTTGGAGGATTTGGAGGTGAGAGTCCGGGAGAAGGTGGAAGCGAGGACCTGGGAGTGCTGTCTCGAGAGGAGGCTCTTCACGCCACGGTGCGGGCGCTGGAACGAGCTGCTCGTTTCCTGGAGGCGTCGCGGGAGCTCCTGAACTTTGACGGCGTCATCGGATTCCGCATGATGCACGGTGGGTACTCGCTCGCATCGTAGCTCAGGGCAGGGCCACTTGTAAAGGAAATGATTACGCTGACCACAAGGGCTCTTGTCACGTATTCATGCACGCTTACGATGTTTTGATACACAGGCTAGAGGGAAACAGTTATACATTTGGATACAGAGCGAGAGTTACCATTATATTTATTAGTCACCATTTGTAGATTTAATACAGTCGGCTTAACTCTTTACCAGTTTTGTCATCTGTTAAATTAGGCCTTGGCTCGGAGGGCATAATAAATAGTCAATGTGGTGAGCACACTGTGAAATTAAATCGTAGACCCCCGTTTAATTTCATAACTGGAGCTAAAACAGGTAGCAAGCGGCACGTGCCCTGGGCCTCGCCTACCTTGGCTATGAAAGGGACGAAGGCGGGCGATCGTGCTGTTGGCCCTTCATCGGTGCTCACGCATGGCACTTCAAAGTGGGGCCTCTCCTTCGTCTTTGTGCGTGCGCAGCTCAGTTGGCGGACGGTCTGCAGCTGGAGGCGGCGCTGTGTGGAGAGCGTGGTGGAGCGCTGCGCGTGACCCCCATGGTGGAACGCGTGCGGGAGCTCGCACTGCGCGTGCACGACCTCAGTTCAGACGCCCTGCAACACGCCTGCCTCTCTCTGCCCCATTACTGCTGGAGTAAGCAAACAGCAGGGCCGGGCCGTGTGGCACGGTCCTCCGCACCAGACTCTCCACCTTCAACACGTCCCCCACAATCGCTGCCAACTGCCAACAACGCCACCACAATCGCCAGCACGCCCACCGCAATCGCTAACAGCAGCACCATGATCACAAACAACACCACCGCTTCCTGCGGTACGAGCAACAGGAACAGCCAGGCTCCGTGACGCCGTCTACAACACCACTGTCACCACCATCTTCGTTATCGGAAATATACAGCACACTTATCATTTTATCAAGATGACTCTTTTTTCCCTGTGTGCGTGTGTGTATGCGACATCTCCAGGGATGGCCCCGTTGGCTATCTCAACTTTTTGGTCAAACACAGAGCCAAGTTCCCGCTGCTCGCAAATGCCCCTTCCAAACAGCCGGCGGCATTCAACTCGCATGGAGGCGGAGGAGATCGCAGAGAATCCACTTGAGAGCTCCATGGAGTTTCTCTTCCCTCTGCCGAGCTCGGCGTGCATCCATGACGAAAACTCAAGCGACAGCTGCCTCAGCAGCCTGCTGGGCACCGGGTACTGGTTGATAAAAGTGCTTGAGTATTTACTGATATCCATAATTTCACTAATTTTCGTACAAACGAAATCCCGATATTGGTTACATGACATAATTTTGATTTGAAACTTTCGTGACTGCAGGAATCCATACTCTTTGGTTCTTTCGGTAAAGTCACGTTGGTATAAAATAAAACAAAAAAAAACACGTAAATAACCTCTTGTTGTAGCAGCTCTCTCGCTGGTTCACAGTTCAACTGCTGGATTATTTTTTCCGCCTGAGGACGACCGCTTGTGCTGCGATCGAAACGTCGTGACGTAATTTTAGCAATGAAAAGACCAGAATTGCCTAGTTCTGCTGGTTGCCAGTTTATAGACGATGTTTTTAGGGTTCGTTTGAAAACATTTATTTTCTCTTGCGTATCTGTCGGTTTAGGTTTGTTTGCCTCTTAATTTTAACGTTCAGGGTTTTTACTGCGATTCTGTTGTAAAGCGCTGTGAGGCCTTGTGTTAACGGCTCTACATAAAACTGAGTTTTAGCTTACTACCAACATTTTCAATCAGGCACGTTTGGGTCAAGACTTTTGACTGTGCCGCCGATATCACCTGCTCGCCTCTCATCCCCTCTTAACTTGCGAGCCTCCCCCGCTTTGCGCAGCCTCCCCTGCTCCCCTGGCTAACGAGCCCGGCACTATGCAGTGGAGGGTAACGATTGTTGGTGTGCGTGTAGGCCCCGCATGGCAGTGTGCTCCGTGCCGACGCCATGTGCCCGCTGGGCGCGTGCAGGTGGATGCACAGGCTACGCGCTCTCCCATCAGTTGCTCTACCTGTTCGTGGCAACACAGGTAGACACCTAACACTCGCCACAAAGACAGAGATCCCCCCGTGAAGCCTCAACAGGGTTTTGAGGCAAGTGCTGTTAGCGAGCAAGGCCGGCTCGGTACACCGAGGCAGTATGTGGCCAGCACCACACCCGACCACCATTGTCTCCCCAGTGGCGATGTTTACACACCACCACCAGGTACTCATTTGAGGCTGAGTCGACCGAGGGGAGGCCCAGGGCCGGTTCAGATAATTAATCAGCACTGGTATTGGCCATTTGTGGGAATCGAACTTAGGTCGCCGGGTTCATAGCGCAGCGCACTAATCGCTACACTGCCGCTCCCCACTTGCCAATAAGACATGCACACAAGATAGCCTTTGCTCATCTCCAATCGGGTCCATTGAGAGATCAAGTCTATTTTGCAAGGGAGATCTGGGGATCAACTAAAATATCAAACCAAGAATTACAACCTTTTGTCACTCCACTGCTGGATGAAGGCCTCTCCATGCTATGTCGGTACTGTATGTTGGTGCATATTGCCTGCTATGATGTACGTGTGTAGGGTGCATAGATTCAGCAGCACTGGTTTGTCACAAGCAAAACGTTGGACCAATTTCAACATTCAGTGTTTCACCAGCAGTGAGGTTTGCTTGAAAAAATGCTGGTGAACTTCTAGATGTTCATAGGTGTTGTTCGTAGTTCGACACAGAACTATCATATATACATACACAAGATAATCATTGGCATTATTGTGGAGAACACAAGTAACAAAAAAAACTGAGCAGGTGTTTGCCTTGCTAATCTTGTCAAGGAACATAAACCATCACGTGGACCCCGGTCATCCTCGCGGAGTCTTTTGGCTTGCCATCGAACAAAGGCGGTTTCGGATGCGCTTCTGCGTCCGTCTGGAAGGCTCTTCCGATATTAGGAAGCCACGGGAGCTATGCACTTTTAAATGATCTAGATTGAAAATTAATGTCTCTAGAACTGCTATTTGTATTTAGTAATGTTGTCATTCCCCGCACACCTCCGATTAGCGCGGTTGGCCATGTACGGTGTGAAAGAAGTTCAAAGTGCAGGACATACAGATTGACAAGATGCCTCCGTCACGCGCGTGTCCTCCATGTTATAGGTTTTTTGGGTTCGATCGCATAAATATAAATGTGTTGTTAAACCCGCTACCACCCGACAATTGTAAATGTTGTGGATTTGCTCTCCAACACACCGGTGTGCTCGACTCGTAACGAATTGGCATGTTCTGTTTACGTGACAAACCTAACTAATTGGCTGCGTCGGGTGGGTGGCGGGTTTAACGACAAAGTTATATACTTACACGATCTGACCCAACAAAACCTATAACATGGATGATATTGGCCGCGAAAGCCTACGTGTTAAACTGACGCGTGCGTTCCTCAGATCGGCTGCCCCTGGTCTCGGGGCCCGGACATACGGGCGCAGCAGGGAGCGCTGTGCGCGCAGATGATGCGGCACAACGGGGCCCTGGCCGCACTGGGACTCCCACAGCCACAGGAGGACCTCTTCGTGGAGAACAGTACGGGAGCGAGCCACTTTGGGCCCGGATGTCGATGGCGCCCATTCGCTAATTGCCAACGATCATGAAATTTGTTATGGGCTTCATCTTCTTGGTTCTTTCGGTAAAGTCACGTAGAATGGAAATAAAGTAATAGAAATAAAACATAATAATTATTTTCTTCTTTGGTTCTTTCGGTAAAGTCACGTAGAATGAGAATAAAATAAAACAGTAAAATTCTCACGACGTTTCGGCCACAACACAAGTGGCCTTCTTCAGGTGAAAGGGACAAACCTGTTGGGACGACAGAGCTTCAATAAACGCTGTTAAGATGCGTAGCGCCCTTTTAAGCTGGTTGAGCGAAAGTCAGGCACCCAAGCAGTAGAATTTAGCATTGAAAAAGGTTGAGGGATTAGCTTGTGACTGGTCACAGAAATTGCTATGTAAATTCAAAGCCTACACATCCACAGAGGCACCCAGCACAAATCAAACAATAGAATTTAGCATTGAACACATACTTCACCTGGAACGGAACTTTCTACAAACAAACTGAGGGCACTCCAATGGGCTCCCCCCTGTCTCCGGTTGTAGCCAACGTATTCATGGAAAAATTTGAAACTGACGCCATCCAGACTGCCAGTCTACGCCCGACCTTATGGAAAAGGTATGTGGATGACACTTTTGTCATCTTGCCACATGGCTAGCCTGCTCTAGACCAATTCTGCGACCACATCAATTCCATACACCCAGCCATCAGATTTACCATGGAGGTCGAAAAAGATGTTAAGCTACCCTTTTTGGATGTTTTAATTAAAAGGAGACCTGATGGTTCAATGAGCCACTCTGTCTACAGGAAAGCTACCCATACAGATGGGATGGATGGTGGTGGGAATTCGGTTTCAAGTAAGCATCTGTATGGGTAGCTTTCCTGTAGACAGAGTGGCTCATTGAACCATCAGGTCTCTTTTTAATTAAGACATCCAAAAAGGGTAGCTTGCCATCTTTTTCGACCTCCATGGTAAATCTGATGGCTGGGTGTGTGGAAGTGATGTGGTCGCGGAATTGGTCTAGAGCAGGCTGGCCATGTGGCCAGATGACAAAAGTGTCATCCACGTACCTCTTCCATAAGGTCGGGCGTAGAGTGGCAGTCTGGAGGCGTCAGTTTCAAATTTTTCCATGAATACGTTGGCTACAACCGGAGACAGGGGGGAGCCCATTGGAGTGCCCTCAGTTTGTTTGTAGAAAGTTCCGTTCCAGGTGAAGTATGTGTTCAATGCTAAATTCTATTGTTTGAATTCTAAATTTGAAGCTTTCGTGACTGCAAGGATCCATACTCTTTGGTTCTATTCGGTAAAGTCACGTAGGTAAAAAATAAAACAACAAAAATCACGACGTTTCGGCCACAACACAAGCGGCCTTCATGCCGCTTGTGTTGTGGCCGAAACGTCGTGATTTTTATCTATTGTTTGATTTGTGCTGGGTGCCTCTGTGGTTGTGTAGGCTTTTAATTTACATAGCCATTTCTGTGACCAGTCACAAGCTAATCCCTCAACCTTTTTCAATGCTAAATTCTACTGCTTGAGTGCCTGACTTTCGCTCAACCAGCTTAAAAGGGCGCTACGAATCTTAACAGCGTTTATTGAAGCTCTGTCGTCCCAACAGGTCTGTCCCTTTCACCTGAAGAAGGCCACTTGTGTTGTGGCCGAAATGTCGTGAGAATTTTACTGTTTTATTTTATTATTGTATTCTCATTCTACGTGACTTTACCGAAAGAACCAAAGAAGATGAATCCTTGCAGTCACGAAAGCTTTAAATCTAAAAATAATTATTTTATTTCCATTCTACGTGACTTTACCGAAAGAACCAAGAAGATGAATTCCTGCAGTCACGAAAGCTTTAAATCGAAATTGTTATGGGCTGCTAGAGTGTGGAGTTGTGGACTTCATCAGTGGATGGCTTCCCACAGGCAGACTTTGCAGCAGTGAGCATTGGGGACTGTGCAGGCTTGGTCCAGATGTCTTGTGACTGCCAATGAATTGACCCCTACCATTGTTTTTCCTTTGCTTGTTAATTCCTGAAAATAGGTATTTTCCCTTTTTTTCTGGCAACAAAAACAATGCTTGTGGTCAGAATGCAAACTAAAAACATACTCTGATAATATATGCATTGTCAACATGCCAAACGGCTTCCTCTGGTCTAACACCGTTTTGAGACGAGGCTCTAAAGAAAGCTGTCTCTGGTGTGGACCAATACGTTTCAAAGACAATGCATATATTATCAGAGTATGTTTTTTTTTGCATTCTGACCACAAGCATTGTGGTTAATGCAGACATGATTCCTTGTAAAAGGTTTCAGTTTGGTGTTTTAACATCTTAACACCTGTTTTTGTTGCCAGAAAAAAGGGGAAAAACCTATTATCATATTTTGGTACTGACAAAGGAGGTACCATTATGTCGTTGTTAATTCCTGTTTTAAATAAACCTTATTTATTTTAGATGGATGATACGAGTTCACATGCTATTGAAGAACGGTTTCTCGTGAGCGTATGGGCTCGTGAAAGATCAAAAACCAGAAAAACTATGAGAAATGTTCGAAAATATTTTTTGTGAAAGATTTAACAATAATGATATGTAATAAAATTATATTGCTTACATTGAATTACAAAAACATTTAGTTTTAGAAAATTAAATGGGGGTCACGACATCTGGACCACCCTGTACAGTACTGTACTGATGAGTCATAATGAGGACGAACGCAGCGCTACAGTTGACTATCATCATATCACTGCTGCTGCTGTCGGTCAAATTTATTTTCTCACATTTATTTTGACGGGGACGTAGTCAAGTGGACCACAATGCACATATCCAGGAATCGCTGATGGTGTTTGCATAATACACATGCAGAGTGCTTTTTATTGAACACGTTCTTGTGCTTTGTTTGACACCATCAGTTGGCCACACTTGACAACTCAGTGTAAACATTTAGCCTGATTCCGTGAGTTTTCAATTGCTCAATGACGTTACCAGTCCAGGGTTACTTACATTGTGTTATTTTGCATTCACGATAACCACATTAAAATCCCAACAAAAGACATGTCATGGTTTGTCACACATACATATAAATGTCTTGGAGCACTACACTCAATAATTTCACGTTTTTAACCGAGAAAGAGAGAAGCTATTGCTGAGCACCACTGGACTTGCAATCCAGTGGTCACCGGTTCCCTTCGGAAAACGGTTACCGGTTATCTTTTTTTTTATCAGCACGAGTGCAATCATCTGTGGTGGTGAGGCGAGAGAGTCCTCGTGCATGCAGTGGCTGCTTACCCGAATTTGATTCTCACGGCAAACAGGTGACGAATATTTGAACCGGACTTGGGCCTCCCCGAGGTCGACTCCGCCTTAAATTAACTTAAACATCAGCACTCGGGAGACAAAAGCGGCCGGGCGTGGGTTGGACACCCACCCCATCATGTGCCTTGCCTCCTTACCTGCGTTCATAAGTGCTCGCTAGCAGCACCTGGCTCAGCAGTCTGTGAAAGGCTGTATGTGGAATATTTGTCTTTGTCACGCAGTGCTGTTGTGCTCCATGGCGGGGAGGCGCATGGGGCTGCAGGCTGCGTGGCTCGGAAGAGTCGTGCACATGCAGCACCCACACAGCGGCTGCTTCAAGACTCCCGCAACACGAGGCAGTGAGATACTCTACCACACACCCAACCACTCACACCTTGGAAGGCCACCACAGCATGAGGGGGGGGAGGGGGGTTGAGAGTGACTGGCACAACACACTGCGGCCTTTTGTCTCCCCAGTGGTGATGTTTAAACTTTGCACTCATTACGCCTGTTGATCCAGGAAAGCATTTCAAGTGGTTCTTACCAAGTTTTTGGCAGCATTTACATTTAAGGCCGAGTCAACCTAGGGGAGACCCAGGACCAGTTCAGAGATTCGTCACTGATGTTTGCTCTGAGCAGGAAGCTACGTGTTGGTAGCACAGTGCACTTATCACCACCGCTCGCCATAAACTGGCAGTTCCCCACATGCACGCGATCACTGCCAGAGTTGATATGCACACTCCTAGGATTTTAATTTACAACCTTCCAACTGAAAGCCGTGAGCTCGAATGCCTGTGCCACTTGGCCAAATTACGTGGCAAATTGCTAAGTACAGCGGTAAAGATAAAGGTCCCCTCCCCCTTATCTTCATAGATTGTTGGGTCAAGTGCTGTTAGCAAGCATTTATGGAAGCCAGCATGGCACACGAGGTGTTTGCCAGCAAAGCACGCAACTTTGTCTTCCTAGTGGCCTTGTTTACACATGGCACCAGGTACTCATTTGAAGGCTGAATCGACGGTGGGGGAGGCCCAGGACCGGTTCAGATAATCGTCACTGGTATTGGCCGTGAGCAAGAATCGAATTCGGGTTGCCAGGTTCGTATCTACTGCATCACATCACAACACACACAGCATTTTAGGAAAATGCAAACCAAAACACAAATGGCTGTTGTAGGCCACATGCTGCCGACTATCCCACAAGAGTTGTAACCTTCGGAATTGAGAACGAAATATACTAAAGAATCACTGCCATGTGCTCTGTCACGGTGTTCTTGTGATGACTCTGCATTAATGTATTAACATACACGCGATATTGAGTGGTATAATAATACACTGGACCGTAAATTGAAAGTCTTCTTGCCCCATCAAGACCGCTTTAAACTCACATAGGACAGCCAGGGATGCACAACCTCGGTTCGTGTCTGCAAGATAACCATTTGTTAATTGGTTTGTCTCCTTTAATCCCGGTTCACCACACACAGCGTGATGTCCTGCACTGTCTCGACAGGTTCCCACAGGGAGCCTGTGGGACTCGAGCGGCTTCACAAGAGGAGAGAGAAGCGGATCGATGGTGAGTTTAATCCAGCAACACTCGTCTCATCATTGATGCGCGAGCCTCAAAATCTTTCCCGAGTGAATATTATTACCTGTGGGAGTACCCACAGAAACCTCGCGTGTGTGTGGATAACACAAAACAAATGTGTGTCAAAATGAAGACGTAAACATAAATCGAGTTATTTTTATGTAAAAGTCTCGCTTGTTTAATTACCGTACTTCACCAACTCTGCCACTTGTCACGTCCATTGTGAGACCACAGAGCAACCGCACAGGACCCAGCTTCGCCACACTCACCCGGCTGAGACAGAATGAGGGGCGCTGTGGTGCACTGTGGTGATTGAATGAAATTCGTGGAGGGAAATAAAAAGTGGCGATGTGTGTGTGTACGGTTTCATCGGTGCCCGCTAACAGCACTTGCCCCCAACAGTCTGTTACAGGCTACACGGGGGATCTTTGTCTTTTGCATATGGTTAGCGCGCTGTGCTACGAATGCGGTGACGATTATTTGAACCGGTGCTGGGCCTCCCCGAGGTCGACTCGGCTTCAAATGAGTTCCTGGTGCGGTGCGTAAACATCGCCGCTGGGGAGGCAAATGCAGCCGGGCATGGCGCTGGCCACCCACCCGCTCGTGTGCCGAGCTGACCTTCATAGGTGCTCGCTAACAGCCCTTGCCCCCAACAAGTCTGTTACAGGCTATACGGGGGGATCTTTAGTATTTTTGTCCGTGCGTGTGACCGTGTGGAGGTGGCTGCTCAAGCCACAAGACTGCGGTCGCCGTGGGCCTCCTGGGTTGCTTTGTGCGAGAGTTGCTGCCCCTCGTTTCCTGCGCCGCGGAGCCAATTCCGCCACGGAGCGGGCGTCGAGGTTGGATGGATTCCCTCCTCGCCTTCCCCAGCGATTCGGCTTTCCAGTCGCCAGGCAGGTTGTGGAGTAAACGCTAAAGGGCTCGTCGGAGACGACCGCTCGGAGTGAGGGTTTTCTCGAGTAGTTTTAAGAACAGCGCCAAATAAATGTTGATTGCGATTAAGGTTTCAGTTGGGGAGAGACGCTCTCTCACAAGTATTTCAGAATCACAAGATTTATTCATACTGGAGGAATCTGCCGATGATCTATGAGGCTCTTTTTCACAGATGTCCAGCAGGGGCGGGTCAGAACGTTAGAACAGCAAACGATACAAAAACACGATAGGAGGTGCAAATATATCGGAAAGGTAAACAAATCACTGAGAAAATTCGCTTATTAGCTTCTGTTTGTTGGCGAAGTTGTCACAGGGTTTCCAGTTCCCGCGACCCACGTGACACACTAAGCGATCAACACCGGTTTGTCACGTGGACACACGTACACACACGGAACACGTGCACACACGCACCTCCGTTTAGCACGGTTGGCTACGTACGGTGCGAAAGAAGTTCAACATACGCGCACACTGAGATCTTAATTTGAATTGGCTATTGACGCAAGACAGAGCATTAATTGCTTTGCGCCTCACATAGGAGCCTGCTCAACAATAATTGGGCGCGCGCAACGTGGAACGAGTTAATTTGTTTCGATTTAAAGCTTTCGTGACTGCAAGGATTCATCTTCTTTGGTTCTTTCGGTAAAGTCACGTAGAATAAGAATAAAATAATAAAATAACACAATAAAATTCTCACGACGTTTCGGCCACAACGCAAGCGGCCGTCTTCAGGTGAAAGGTACAGAACTGTCGGGACGACAGAGCTTCATTGAAGCTTTATTGTGTTATTTTATTATTTTATTCTCATTCTACGTGACTTTACCGAAAGAACCAAAGAAGAGTTAATTTGTATTTGAATGGGGAGTCAATTGGTAAACAGAGAAAGATGGTAGGGTGGTGGTTCGCGAGGACTGGACTTTGCGAAACCCTATCTTTGAGTGGACATCTGGTTAGTAAAACAAATTCGCTGTTTATATCTGGTTATTAAAACAAATTTTGCTGTAATAAACGATTCACAATAACACATTAATGCTCCACAAGAGCTTCAAGCCACAAAGTTGCACAACAATGATGCAACATTAAAACAAGTTAGCTGCATAGTTGAAGCTGCCTCGTGTTTGATAATTGTTTTTTTTCTTCTGGTTTTGCTTCACCTTAGTTTGTTAAGACTTTGTACACGACGCTTCTCCACTTTCTCCGGGGGGGTAGGAAGTGACAATTACTACGATGTGCTTCTGTGAGCGTGATGTGTGGGCATTTGCGACTGTGGATCGATTCGTTCGTCATTAAACGCCCTGCAAATGTCTGCTGTGGAAGTGCTTTTTTCTTGTCGGTCTGATGTGAACAGCTCATTGAGACCGAGTCCGGAGAAACAGTGTCATACAGCTTATCCGTTTTGCTCACAGCCAATGCACAACACACTCTGAATGCATTTACTCAACGTGACAACATTAACAGACACCGATAGGTACAGAACATATCCAAATGTTTTATTAACACAATGTTAATATATATATAAAAAAAATATATATTTCATTGATTTTGATCCATGTTTAACTTTTTGTTTTTACTTATTCTCGTTTTTTTTTTACAAATATACAGGGTTAAAATTGAACGTTTGAAACGTAAACCTCAAATAGTACCCAGTTACAAAGTGTACGGATTATCTCCCTGGGGTATTATTGTGCTGGTCAGAAAGGCGCCATCAAATGAGATGACATTAAACACTTTAGGAATCATCCTTGACACTTTCATCACAGATTTTCTCAGTGTACCAGACATCATTGGTTTACTGATATCACAATGCACATTTCACTACACGAAAACATACTGTTCACTGGACACAGCAGCATCATATGGTCACTTTACCACAAGTCCAAACCGCAAAGGCAATTTAGAAGGATGCGTTGCAACGGCAGAGCGTGCGACTCACAACAGTTTGTGAGTTTAAGTCCTGGTTGGGGCACGATTCAAGCAATGCACCTTTCATATGGTGAGACTGGCCAGACAGGAATATGGGTTTTCCACCACCGGCTCAGAACTGCAAATGACAACGTGCACTGTGCAATGCTCAATTAAGAGAGATATCTTTTACTGAAAGTGAATTTAAATAAAATACTGGAGAAAGAAAATATCAGTTCAAATAGTCATATAAATACATCCTCGAATTAAACAAATCGCCATCCATTGACGTGGTGATGGATTTCCACGGCCCGTGTCCCACATATACCGACAGAACCAAGGCTTCAGGCAAAGAAGCCCCCATTTCAGCAAGTGCCCACAAACAAAACCATGTTATCTGGCAGAACGACGTCACAGTTCCAGCTGCAACCATGATCAGTAGTGCATCTTCATGTCAAGCAGTGCGAGTGTTCACCTCTCGCCTGCTATCTACTCATATATACCAGCCGTCTTGAATTAAATTTCTAAACAGTAATGCAGTCAGTTGCTGTTAAGCAAAAAAACAAAACCAGTCCAGATTTAATATCGGGTAGAAACCTGGGATTCACACCCAGGAATCTCAGCTGTACTGCATCACCACTGACACGAACACAAAATTGTTCCCATAAGCCATCCAGCTGCCTCAGATGAATAATTTCACTATTTTATGGCATACAATTTTAACACATTTTTAAGTTTTCGTGACTGCAGGGATTCATATTCTTGGTTCTTTCGGTATGACTGCTTGTGTTGCAATCGAAACGTGATAATTGTTTTATTTTTACTATTTCATTATTTCCCTTCCACGTGACTTTACGGAAAGAACCAATAATATAGTTATAACACGTATTTAACTTTACACAGCAGCCACACAGCATCTGGTCACTTTTAACAAAAACACAACGGTTGAAAGTTTTTTTTACATTTCTTTCCATACACATTATTTGTGAATGAACTTACAAACGACTATTTCGTGTGAACTTTGGATTGGTGGTGGGTTAACCCCATAGAGTTCCAGGGAGCTTTTGTGCCTCATGAACATTTATCAACTGGAAAAGCTTAATGTGTTATGTAATCTGTATCAAAAATTCCTCCAGTAAGTCACGGACAAGACTTGGATCCCATTTGGTTCACAGCATTTGCCAATCAGTCCAAGACAAGATATGCACCGTGCAGTTTGAACAAATAAATCCACATCCATGAATCAACAAAAAGGCTCTTACGAAAAAAAACGTTGTATCTTGTTTTAAAATGCTAGAAATCACTATCAACTGGTCGCGTTTACGTTGTAAACAAACTTCAGTGCTTTCAGGAAGGCAACGTGAAATATACCAACTGCTGAATTATTCAAATCGCAGGTTGAGTGTCTCCATGTTTTACACCTGCCACAGAGTAACTACACGTGATCCTTGGGGATGTAAATGCCCTGAAAGAAGGGGCTCTTATAATCACCGGTGGGCCACCTGCAGGGAACAGTCTTGTTTATGTGGAGCCGGTAGATGATTACTGAAAACACTGAAAGCTATGAGTCAGATTTACATCTTAACAAAGCAGCTTTGGAGATTTCCTCCATTGTTGGCAAGACATTGACACATTGTCACCAAAAATCAGATGCAAAGCAAACATTTGTTCACACGTGAACTGTACAGTATAACTCAAGTGTCAGTGGGATAGCAGAGGTGGAGACTTGTAGTATTTGTACGCTGGAAACTCCCTTGTAGAAACTCTTCAGCTCCTAATGTTTATCCTGACCGACTCCACCTTTCGCCACCTCCTAAAGTCACCTTGGTTCCTTACAGGGTCTGTTGGCCCCGGTTAAATGAATGTATAACTTCTTTCGCACCGTACGTAGCCAACCATGCTCATCGGAGGTGTGAAATGAGTGCTCTTGCACTCGAGTGTAAATGCTAACGCACACAACTACCATTTTGCACAAAAAGGCGGTGACATCACCGCGGTGGTTGTGCCAGGCTAGGTGCTGTGGCACACACACAGTGTTTAGGAGGAAAGAATCCCGTTGGACCACACAGAGATTTGTCAAATTCACTGGGCTGCGAAGTGGCCACGAGATGGCAGTAAAGCAAATGGGTTTATAAACCCAATGCTGTGGATTGAGGGTTACACCCTTACAAGCATGTGTTTTCTCCAGATACTCTATTTTCTGTCAAATGCAAAACATTCATTAAAGTGGAATAGCCAATTATGCTAAGGTAGGAGAAGTCTTAAGACTCAGCAAGACAATCTGGATAAATACATGACATGAAGTCTTGGGCTGTACTCTTACATTACCATTCTGGACACATTCCCACTTCTTTCCGTTCTGAGGAGACGATGGTGGCTTCACACAGCTGTGCCAGCCGCTAATCTCAAGCACAGCACAACATTCTATCTTGGCTGTCTCCCCCATAAGTTGTACTTGATAGAACAGACATTCGTGTTAAATACTGCACAGTATTCGTACAAAATACACTTCTATTCATCAACTTAACATCCTGAAGGTGAGGTGACATGTCCAAAACGTATGGGAAATAATATAGTCCACAAGTAGTTATTTTATGTCAGTCCGCTGCTGGAGGACAGGCTATCTCGTGTCATGAGGATCGTGGGGGGACATTGGCATACTTCACACAGCTGGTCAGTGTGGGTTGAAGATTGGTAACATAGATGTGTATGCCCAGGAGTACAGTACAATAATACAATTTGCTGCACTCCCCTTTGCTCCCCAACACACAGCCCCACAGCGGCCTATAGCAATTCATAATAAAGTTTTTTTTTGGGTTATATCGCGTAAATGTGTTAACCCGCCACTACCTGACAGCCACTTAATAAGGTTTGTCACGTAAACAAAACGTGCCAATTAGTTACTTCTTCAGCGCACCAGTGTGTTGATCCACTATATTTACAATTTGAGTACGAAGTTTCACTGGGAATTACACCCAGCATCATTTGGCGATGTTGCCATAATTGGTAAAAAGTAATATTGGTCACGAAAGCCTACGTGTCAAGCCTACAGCAACCTATTATCCATTGTGGTCTCCCATCCAAGCTTGCGCCAGGCTCGACCTGGCTGAGCTTCTAAAAATTTACAATTTGGTCAAAGGCATTGTAAACTGTAAATACAGTACAGTACGTACAAAATTCAGAAAACTACATTTGGCCGGGTCTTATAACAATCTAATATAAAAAGACTAAAAAACTAAATAACTTTGACAACGACTGTTAATCAGGACATAAAATCCAACTCTTAGGCTAAGTGGAATGTAAATGTTTGCATTGTGTATTCTGTTGTGTACTTGTATTTACATGTGCTCAAATAAATGATCACAAAATGGCAACTTACAGCTAGGGCTCAGGATAAAGTAATTATGAACATGTTAACAAAAAATATAAATAATTCGCATTTGGGTTTTTGCACAACATGGATCTCAACCCGCTCTCTCACGCATTTTCGGGTCATACATCCGAGAGCTGTTAAGCACAACTTAAAACCTAGTAGAGGCAGACCTCGCTTAGCGCTCAAGGTGCGTTCCTGGAGAAGTGAGCGCTAATTGAATCGGCGCTAAAAGGGGTCATTATACCATTCTATATATGGGGATGCGTTCCCGAAAGCGTTATTTATTTCGTATAAGCATTATATGAGGGCTTCATTGGGGTATCGATAATAGCACGAACAATAATACAATGGGCGAACATTATTTCATAAACAAAAATAATAATTTATTTTCACATAAGTATTTTTAACTGTACACAAGTGCATTCTACTGGACTCCTCCTACAAGGCAGCGGTGGGAGATGAGATTGGAGGAGCTGTTGCGGTCCCAATGCGGGTCACTCTCAGAGAAGAGCTCCAGGACCTCTATGAGCTTCGCGATGGCCTGAGTCTAAATTTCAGTGGTGAGGTTTCTTTTCAGTGGAGCCTGGGACTGGTGAGTTCTCACCTAGCTAAACAAATACTGTACTGTAATAACATCGGATAAAAACATAAAAAAAACAGATAAAAGTTTTATCGTGACTATGAATCACAATCATCGAGGTTCAAAGAGCGCGACAATGAATCATCGTTCTACGGCGTAGCATTAAGCGAGGTCTACCTGTAGTCCTCACCCTGAATTAAAATAGGCTCAGATTGTAAAACGCTGTCATTCCCTGCTGCTATACAATTCTAGAGCGGCTGTTGCTGCCATTACGCTGGCTGCTTCTGCTGCTGCTGTTGGGCAAATGTGGGTACCCTACAAACTTTGTGATTCGCTTGTTCACCTGCTTGGTGAATGGCTCCATTGGCCCATCTGTGTCCACGTCTATAATGTTCAACTGCACTTCAGGCTGCACAAACTCTACGGTCGCCACCGTCACACTGGGGTGGAGGCGCCTATAGTAAACACAGCGTACAGCGATTCCACAGGTATAGCAGATGAACACCACGGAGACAAAACACAAGACCACCAGCTTTTGAGTGTCCTCGCCAAGGAAAACATAATACACCATGATCATGATGATGATGTCGACGAGCACAGCGAAGTGGTAGATGACGCTCCTCCACAACGTCCTGGTTTTCGACACATTGAACCAGGAAAAAATCTGTACACATACACAAATATTAACATTAGCCAAGCAAATCATGGGGGCAAGTGCTGCTCGCGAGCGCCTCCGAATGCTAGTGCAGCATACAATAAATGGTTAAGGTAAATGATGAACTATCACTGCCGAGAAAAAAAATATTAATAACAAAGCGGGAAATTGAAAGTGTAAAGACCTTTCATCAGCTGTATTCAGCTGCATGACAAAAAATGCATTGAAACACATCAATAGATTTGAGAAATTAATAACATGTCAAAAATATAAATAATATTCCTTTACTCAGGTAAAACCTCAATTATTCTTTAAACAGTTTTTTTTCAGGAGGGACCTATATTGGGATGTTTTCCCCAATTAAAAAAATGAGCATTTGCCACTTGAGATGAACCAGGAGTATCTGGAGAAAACTCAAAACTCTGAAAAAGATCAATTCACCTCGCAGTCCAAACCCTACAACAACTGGTATTCTCAATATCCAAGCCAGACTCAAACCCTGCTTAGTTTATAAGATCCAACAGGATCGGGCGATTCGGTTGTTGCAATACATTGCAAAAACAATGGTGAGGAAAGTTGGTGCAAGTGCTCGTTTGTGATGTATGCATGTTGAACTTCTCTCGCACCATACCTAACCCTCCGTGCTAATCGGAGGTGCGGGGGAAGGACAACTAAACACAAAAATCAGTTCTCAAGAAATGAGTTTTAAATTTAGAGTTAAAAGTGCATGGCTCCAGTGGCTTCCTAATATATGAAGAGTGTTCCAGACGGCTGTAGAATCTCATCTGAAAACGCGCAATGCAGTGGCCGTCTTTGTTCGATGGTTAAGTCAAAAGCCGCTGCTAGGATAACCGGAGTTCGCACAATGGTTTATGGTCCTTGACGAGATCAGCAAGGGTTTGTGGTTCATTTATGGCCAAGCACTTAGTGTGTAACGAGTGCGACCTCATAAATATCACGAACCCATATGACGGCCACGACGCTGTTGTAGACGAACTCCTTCTTCTTCGAAGTGGTGAAATCAGTGTCCTGCAGGCGGGCCCACACTAGCATGGCGAACCACCACAGCGCCACGTGCACGGCCGCCATGGGGCCCACGGCCGCCACGTAGAAACCCAGCGTGACGACGCGCGGCGCCACCAGCAGCAGGTTCCACAGCAGGTAGACGAACGAGGCTAGGTAGCCCTGCAGCTGGAGCTTGTTGTTCAGTGAGATACGCAGCGCTTTGTGGTAGTCGAGCAGTATCCAGGAGATGGAGAAGAGGCAGACGACTGCACTGAGGCCTGCACATGTCATGCACATGTGCAAACGTACGCATGCATGTGCATACATATTTGCACAAATGTGCACAAGCATGGTAGTAGACATATATACACACACGCGCACATACATGCAGACACATGGTGCTACTCACGAGGAATCTTCCTGCCGCCTTACACAACCAGATTTGTTTTTGTTAATTTCATTCAAAAGCAAGATGGATCACTGCATCGCAAGAAGTGCCACAATTTGGTGAGCCCTTTGTCATCAGCCCAACAGTGAATGGCTGATGATGTTTAACAATTAATGCGGCAACAACACGAGAGAATCCAGCCATTAGTGAAAGGGGAGAGCCGTTCACTTTTTGGGTTTCGTCTTTCTTCATGCATAAAAGTGTGCAGCACAAGCGTAGTGAACGCACCTTCCATCAAGTTGACCCGCTCCGCCTGCACCATGCGTCCGATGAGCAGCACGAGCTGCGGTGCGTTCTCTATAAACGTCTTGAATAGGCGCAGCATGGTGATGTCTGTCGAGCGGTAGACTGCCTCAGCTGCCAACCCCTCGCCGCCATCTTGTATCGCTTTCCAGCCCTTGCGGAGCGCCCACACAAATCTGACAAACAAATTGCGACATTGCCAATGGGGAATATTCACGAGGCATGTGTCATGAGTCAACTCCCGCCTCATAGCGATTCAACCAATGGGATGATAAACCGAACACACAGCGGAGAGCTGTAGCATTTTCAATTATTGCACAAAAATGTGACTGTATGGGCAGTGAAGCATTTTCACAAATTGAAAAATATCACCAGGTTCATCTTGAACACGAATGCATATATCTATCAAAATCTCACTTTCTGCTATGATTAAGGGTAATTGCTTAACGCAGCCTATTATTTGTGTTATAAGACAATTTAAATTATGAAGGTGTAAGTCTTATGTAGCTGTTTTATTTGAATCAAAGTTATTTTTGCATTTGAGAATTTTACTTGACTGGTGTCCACACAGCTTGTTGCAAGACCCTCATGTAATCCACAAGGAATGATTTTCATTTATCCAGAAAACCCTCACCAAGTGGAAACCTTTTTTTTCCAAGAACACCTTAGGTTTTGCCAATTCCAGCTGTAGAGAACTTGTTTAGAGGTTATTTCAATTTACATGCTGGCCAAACATGAACGTCTTGTAAGAGGTCAAAGTATCCACACCTTACCCCATCACACATGACCTGTTAAGATGGTGGTGTTACCCATATTTACACTGCTGGAAAGACAGTCAATGTGACACCTGTAAATGAGGCCAAGCTGCAGGCAGTGCAGCACTTTGACCACCCATGAAGGTCGCGGAAATTCCAAGTTTTGATTCGCGCGTCGCTCTTTCCAGTCATCGTAAAGCCACGCCAGGCTGAAGAACTGCACCACGATGTCGGCCGTCAGCCTGCAGGCCAGCAGCAGGGAGGCCGATACAACATGGCTGGCAAGGTACAGCTTCGTGATGGTGTTGATGTCGGTGCCGAGGTCAAGCAGTGTAGAAACGAGCCCCACGCACGCCCAGAAGAGGTCAAAGTAACCGAAGTGGAACCGGCGCAGGCCCCCTGGGCTGCTGGCGTTCGTCATCTCAGGAACAATGCCTGTGGGACACACGCACGTGTATGGTTTAACAAGAGACGCAACTGGAAAGTGAAGAACGTACACATCTGCGTAGGTTTACACGGTCATGGGTGAAAACGTCAGCTCAATTCAGTCTTCCACTACTATTTCTATTTTACCAGGTAAGGCTCACTGAGCTATATAGCTCTTTTTCAGAAGTGACCTGGCCACAAATGATAGCTCAACAAAGTGGCTTATCACGTGGACATTTATAGCAACCAAACACTCTAAACGCACGTTGGTTCTGAATGAGGGAAAAACTGGAGGACCCCGGAAAAAAAAATCCACGTGATCACGGGCAGAATATTCAAACTCCAAATACACAGCAAGTGTCAGGGTCGGGATCGAACCTCGGATCTCTGCACCAGAGAGATAACATCACGCCACCGAGGCGCCCCCACCCCCCTGAATAAGCTCCTGTCACATGGAGCGAAGGCATCGGACACCATGCCGAACAACACGTGGAACAACCAAAACACATCTAAGAAGAACATAACACAAACCGGTGACTCAGTCCTTTACAGAACAATGTTTTTCATATACAAATATATATATATTTATGTCCAGCCTATGGCCACATTATCAAGAACGCGCCCGATCTCGTCAGATGCTAGAAGACTTTGTGCCTGGGTGGTTCCTGAACGTAAGAATTCATGTTAATACCAGGTGTATGTACAATACTGTAGTCGTGTGTGGCAGTGTACACGTGTGTTGTACAGTGTCCTGCGAGTACAGCATATACGATAGCGTTGCACAACAGAAGTCTGTATTTTGGACAGTATACAGGATGGCCCAAAAGTCAGGACACACAAGGTCCATTGTCTCTCAGCCTTGCCTTCTCTGCCTATTTGGGGCGACTTCACTGTGTGCTTGTGCCTGTGCTGGTCCGCTCTGCTTGAATGTCTGTGTGTGTGTGTGTGCCGTCTGTATCTTGGATTTCATACTTGGCTTGCAATTTGGAAATCTTTGAGGTGGCGTAATCAACCAGGCTATGCATTGGTTGTGTTTTGACCGACCGTCTGTGTTGCTTCATGTGGTTTCCGAGTTCTCCTGAACTCTGTCTGTTTGGTGTGCTTCTCTCTCTGTGTCCCCTGTTGTGTCGGTGTTGGTTCTCCCTGCTTGGGTGTCTGTGTGTACATCTGGGGTTGTGTGTTTCCCCTCTCTCTTAAATTTGGCTCTTCTGTGCCTGATGATGGCTGCTTGTGTTGCAACCGAGCCGTCGTATGCTGTTATTTTTTATTTCTTATTTATACGTGACTTTACCGAAAAAAACAAAGATTAACGCACAAGGTTATTTAATTTATTTTAACACCAGCATTAAATACGTATAAATGTTTATGATTAAAGTGAACATTGTATATATTATCATTATTTTTTTCTTCCTGTGGGTCAACTTCAAATTCGTCTTTTACAAAACTCTCCCAAGAACCCTGAAAGAATTGAAACAAAACAACTGATGAACGTAATAGAAGTACTAAATTAATTTCTAAATATATTAAATGCACGCATTGATGTGAATGGAAGTCATTTTGAAGATTTTGTTAAAATATATAAAATAATATATTAAATAACCCTATGATTAGTTAATATATAACCCTGTGTCCTAACTTTTGGGCCACCCTGTATCCTGTCGTGTGTACAACAATACTGTCGTGTACAGTGAGGGAAAAAAGTATTTGATCCCCTGCTGATTTTGTACGTTTGCCCACTGACAAAGAAATGATCAGTCTATAATTTTAATGGTAGGTTTATTTGAACAGTGAGACAGAATAACAACAAAAATCCAGAAAAACCCATGTCAAAAATGTTATAAATTGATTTGCATTTTAATGAGGGAAATAAGTATTTGACCCCTCTGCAAAACATGACTTAGTACTTGGTGGCAAAACCCTTGTTGGCTATCACAGAGGTCAGACGTTTCTTGTAGTTGGCCACCAGGTTTGCACACATCTCAGGAGGAATTTTGTCCCACTCCTCTTTGGCAACTCGAACCTTCAGCTCCCTCCACAGATTTTCTATGGGATTAAGGTTTGGAGACTGGCTAGGCCACTCCAGGACCTTAATGTGCTTCTTCATGAGCCACTCCTTTGTTGCCTTGGCCGTGTGTTTTGGGTCATTGTCATGCTGGAATACCCATCCACGACCCATTTTCAATGCCCTGGCTGAGGGAAGGTTCTCACCCAAGATTTGACGGTACATGGCCCCGTCCATCGTCCCTTTGATGCGGTGAAGTTGTCCTGTCCCCTTAGCAGAAAAACACCCCCAAAGTATAATGTTTCCACCTCCATGTTTGACGGTGGGGATGGTGTTCTTGGGGTCATAGGCAGCATTCCTCCTCCTCCAAACACGGCGAGTTGAGATGATGCCAAAGAGTTCCATTTTGATCTCATCTGACCACAACACTTTCACCCAGTTGTCCTCTGAATCATTCAGATGTTCATTGGCAAACTTCAGACGGGCATGTATATGTGCTTTATTGAGCAGGGGGACCTTGCGGGCGCTGCAGGATTTCAGTCCTTCACGGCGTAGTGTTACCAATTGTTTTCTTGGCGACTATGGTCCCAGCTGCCTTGAGATCATTGACAAGATCCTCCCGTGTAGTTCTGGGCTGATTCCTCACCGTTCTCATGATCATTGCAACCCCACGAGGTGAGATCTTGCATGGAGCCCTAGGCCGAGGGAGATTGACAGTTCTTTTGTGTTTCTTCCATTTGCGAATAATCGCACCAACTGTTGTCACCTTCTCACCAAGCTGCTTGGCAATGGTCTTGTAGCCTATTCCAGCCTTGTGTAGGTCTACAATCTTGTCCCTGACATCCTTGGAGAGCTCTTTGGTCTTGGCCACGGTGGAGAGTTTGGAATCTGATTCATTGCTTCTGTGGACAGGTGTCTTTTATACAGGTAACAAGCTATTAGGAGCACTCCCTTTAAGAGTGTGCTCCTAATCTCAGCTCGTTACCTGTATAAAAGACACCTGTGAGCCAGAAATATTTCTGATTGAGAGGGTCAAATACTTATTTCCCTCATTAAAATGCAAATCAATTTATAACATTTCTGACATGCGTTTTTCTGGATTTTTTTGTTATTTTGTCTCTCACTGTTAAAATAAACCTACCATTAAAATTATAGACTGATCATTTTTTTTGTCAGTGGGCAAACGTACAAAATCAGCAGGGGATCAAATACTTTTTTCCCTCACTGTATACACAACAGTATTGTTGTGTGTGTACACAATACACAACAGTATTGTTGTGTGTGTACACAATACTATTGTGTATACTGGACTGTGTTTCAGTAGCGTGATGCAGTGCGAAGTACAACAGTATATACAGGACAGTATTATTATCTTATTTTTTTTCATTAACTTTATTTTCATTTTTATTATTTTATTGTTTTTTTCTATCTACGTGACCATACTGAAAGATCCAAAGAACAGTATATATACATACAAGTGACTATATTTATATACAGGACAGTATATATACGCACACTACAGTGTATATATACAGGACAGTATACATATACATACACACGACTATATATACACGACAGTATACAGTATACACATAACAGTGTATATATACAGGACAGGATACAAACACACACGACAGTATATACACATGACAGTGTATATATACAGGACAGTATACATACACACACGACAGTATATACACATGACAGTATACATACACACATGACAGTGTATATATACAGGACAGTATACATACACACGACAGTATATACACATGACAGTATACATACACACGACAGTATATACACATGACAGTATATACAGGACAGTGTATACATACACACACACGATAGTGTACACACATGACAGTCTATATATACAGGACAGTATACATACACACACGACAGTATATACACATGACAGTATACATACACACATGACAGTGTATATATACAGGACAGTATACATACACACGACAGTATATACACATGACAGTATATACAGGACAGTGTATACATACACACACACGATAGTGTACACACATGACAGTCTATATATACAGGACAGTATACATACACAGACGACAGTATATACACATGACAGTATACATATACACACGACAGTATATACACACATGACAGTGTATACAGGACAGTGTATAAATACATACACACACACACGACAGTGTATACAGGCCAAGTACTCTGGCTAGGTACGCGACACGAAGCTCGAGGCCAACGACGCCGTCGCCTCCTTCCCTCTGCCAGATCCCCGACTGCTCTCGCCTGGTGGTGTAACACCTGAGGCTGTAGCAGGTTAACAAACAACCCCTCACACGTCTCAACCTCCCCTAAGGGGACCACCACCACCATCTCACTCAAACACCTCAGAGCGATTGAATCCCTTTACACTATTTAATTTCCAATTTAACAAAAAAAACCATTGCGTTAACTACTGCCTTCAAGCTGACACACACATATATATCGGTGTGCTATATGTGTGTGTGTTTTGCGAGAGGCAATATAAATGTTGTTGTTGTTGACGTCGTTTTGTACAGCGGTGTGAGATGCAGTTTGCATGAACGATATAAAACGTATTAACGTAGCAGCACAGTTTACACATCACCCACACGAAGGAAGAAAGTAACCCCGGACGTGCTCATGCAATGCCTGTGGTTCTCTCTGTAACATTCACCCCGCCTCATCATCTCCAACACCAACATCTCCATAAGCGTCTCAAGAGCTGCAGCATCAACAACAGCGACATCACGAATTAATGCATGCGTGGAGTCTGCAGAGAAAAACTTGCTCAACATTAGCACCGTATTCTTTTATGTTATTTAGTGCATTCGTGTACACCCCACGCAGAGAGGGGGATATCGAAAGCAGCGCAGGCGAGCTTAGGGCGAATTTAAAAATTGTTTTATACGGAATTGACGAGAAGTCAGAAGATGTCAGAAGGAACTCACGCAAGGCGCTCCGTCATGGCGGTCGGGAAGCCAGTGTGACGTCATCCCCCATACCCCCCCCCTCGTCCCCCCCATACCCAGCCCCCCCCCCGTCCACCCCCCCCGTCCATACCCAGCCCCGTCCACCCCCATACCCAGCCCCATCCACCCCCATACCCAACCAGCCTCGTCCACCCCATACCCAGCCCCGTCCACCCCCATACCCAGCCCCGTCCACCCCCCTACCCAGCCCCGTCCACCCCATACCCAGCCAGCCCCGTCCACCCCCATACCCAGCCAGCCCCGTCCACCCCCATACCCAGCCAGCCCCGTCCACCCCCATACCCAGCCCCGTCCACCCCCATACCCAGCCCCGTCCACCCCCATACCCAGCCCCGTCCACCCCATTCCCCCCCCCCGTCCACCCCCATACCCAGCCCCGTCCACCCCCATACCCAGCCAGCCCCGTCCACCCCCATACCTAGCCCCGTCCACCCCATACCCAACCCCGTCCACCCCCATACCCAGCCAGCTCCGTCCACCCCCATACCCAGCCCCGTCCACCCCATTCCCCCCCCCCGTCCACCCCCATACCCAGCCCCGTCCACCCCCATACCCAGCCAGCCCCGTCCACCCCCCTACCCAGCCCCGTCCACCCCATACCCAGCCAGCCCCGTCCACCCCCATACCCAGCTCCGTCCATCCCCATACCCAGCCAGCCCCGTCCACCCCCATACCCAGCCAGCCCCGTCCACCCCCATACCCAGCCAGCCCCGTCCACCCCCATACCCAGCCCCGTCCACCCCATACCCAGCCCCGTCCACCCCCATACCCAGCCCCGTCCACCCCATTCCCCCCCCCCGTCCACCCCCATACCCAGCCCCGTCCACCCCCATACCCAGCCAGCCCCGTCCACCCCCATACCTAGCCCCGTCCACCCCATACCCAACCCCGTCCACCCCCATACCCAGCCAGCTCCGTCCACCCCATACCCAGCCCCGTCCCCCCCCATACCCAGCCCCGTCCACCCCCATACCCAGCCCCGTCCACCCCCATACCCAGCCCCGTCCACCCCCATACCCAGCCCCGTCCACCCCATACCCAGCCCCGTCCACCCCCATACCCAGCCCCGTCCACCCCCATACCCAGCCCCGTCCACCCCCATACCCAGCCCCGTCCACCCCCATACCCAGCCCCGTCCACCCTCATACCCAGCCCCGTCCACCCCATACCCAGCTCCGTCCACCCCCATACCCAGCCCTATCCACCCCATACCCAGCCCCATCCACCCCATACCCAGCCAGCCCCGTCCACCCACATACCCAGCGTGGGGAAGTTCGCTACATTGAAGTTGCGCAGTTGTGACTCGAAGAGACGGAGCTTCGCACGGGATGCTTTCATGTGCACATACAGCTGTGGTACCAGCTGCTCTCTTGCCTTGTAGTCTCCTGTTCAGGGTGTTGAGATGAGATCAACTAAAAAAGCCAGTTTCTGCCAACCATAAAGGGTCACTGATCTCATGGAGAGGTCTTGCCCTTTTCTTTAAAAAAAACTTGTCGATATTTGACCTCGGGGAATAAAACCGCTGCAGCACGGAGCCGCGACTCGGCCAGCGCACTTCAGAGTGGTAGAGTAGGTCCCCGTATTCAGCATCGACATCAGAGACGAACGCTTGAAATTCTCTGTGGTAAAGCCCTCGTGCCCGAATTATGTTGACAGTTTTCACAGCTGTGTTCATCACATCGCCAAGCTGGATTATCTTGGCACAGAGGGCTTCTTGGTGGATGACACTGCATTTTGACAGCCTCACCTCCGCTCTCCCGCACCTTGGCACTCACCATAGAGGCCATGCCTTTGCGCCCGCCTGTCATTGCTGGAGTCCCATCCGTTGTAATTCCACACAGCTCGTCCCATTTAAGTCCAGCCTGGTCAATTGCATCTGACACAGCTTCAAACATGTCCTTCCCAGTTGTTGTCCCCTTTAGACTCCGAAGATCGAGTAGTTCCTCCGTAATGCAAAAATTATCAACTCCCCGTAAAAAAAAAAATTAACAGCTGTGCAGTGTCCGTGGCATCTGTGCTCTCATCACATGCAATCGAGTAAAAATCGAAAGCGCAAAAGCTTTATCTGACACTTGTTGTTTTAAGTGAGCCGACAAGTCTTCAATTCGCCGCACAACCGTATTTCTGGACATACTAACATCGTTGAAATCCTGCATTTTCTCCGGGCACATTATTCCCACGACTTTAGTGAGGCACTGTTTGATGATGAAGTCACCGTCTGAGAAAGGTTTCCCGTGTAGGGCAATGAGTTGAGCTACTTCATAACTGGCTATTGTTGGATTTTCTTGAGCTTTGTTAGCACGGAAAAAAAAAAACCTGCTGTTGCGTTAGCAGGCTAGCTGTCATTTGCTTTACCTTCACTTTCTGCTCGGCGCCAGTGTAGGACGTTTCGTTTCATAATGCCTGTCGTACATTGTACTCTTTCATCACGGCAACACTCTCATTACAAATCAAACACATTCCCCCTTGGTTTCTATGAAAAAAATATTCATTTTTCCACCGAGTCTGAAATTTTCTGCACTTGCTTGCAAATCTTGCGTCTCTTCGGTTCCGGCATTTCTGGTGACCCCGAGCAAATTTCTTCTTCGATTGCTTTTGCTTTGTGGAGACGCTGCCTTGTTCAAGACAATAGCGCCACCTAGTTTTTAAACTAAGAAGTTCAATACAGTGGGCCATAGTCCATTATATTTTTAGACTTTTGATACGGGACAATAAAAAATGGATGGCGGGCCGCAGTTGGCCCGCGGGCCGGAGTTTGGACACCCCTGCTTTAAACTATTGTCATTGTAGTGTGTATTTAATGTGCCGCTGCACTCTGATGTTGTAGCAGAAAACATTTATCAAGTCTATTTAATTAAAGTTGCGCATTTTGATGTGACGTCACATTTCTCAACCCCCCCCTCTAGGTGCGTGACATCATTTATGGACGGCCCCTTACTACCCAGAAACAAAATAATAAAAGTATTACAGTGGAATAATTGGTAACAGCAGGCGGCCGTTTTGCTACCTGGTACAGTAACCTCGGCTCTCCTTCAGGCTTGAAATCTGAATGGTCTTACCTGGTTCATATCATTCCCTTGGACTTCATTTAGCATTGCTTCCCTAAGTAATGCAGGTGCCAGATTTACATCACTTTCTCATCCTTATTGTAAATGTAAAGTATTCGTGTATGTTACATAGCGACTTACTTGTACACTGTTTACCTAAACATGAATACTTTGGACAAAAGCCAAAACATTGCTGTGAAATCTTCAACATTTCATGTGCTCATTACATGTCCACATTTGCATCTTTTATTGTCTTAGAAGTCAATCTTTGTGTAAAACATGCTCCCATCTAGCAATAACCATTTTTTAAATGCATCATATATGCTTGGGCTTTATCATGGGACCTGTATTGCCAGCAACGGTAAAACTTATTTTTATTTTTCATACTTTTGTAGTGACATACCGCCGACTGTTGTACAGCTACTGCAACTGCAGGTGGGCACTTGGCGCACACGCCGTTGAGCATATACGCGGTGTGTGTTGGCGGCAGGGCGGAGGAACTGGGGCAAGGGTCACGGTAGGCCTGAGTGGTGGCGTGTACGCAACAATGAAAGGGGAGGACGGTGCCTCCTGCGACCACCTTGTCTCCGACAGTGCATGTGTGCAACGCACGCCACCCACACAAGCCTGGAGCAAAAGAGGAGACACAACGCTACACTTTGATACTGGAAAAAAGGTCCGATGATATAGGTCGCACCAAACTATAAATGCTCCGATCAGTGCATTGTCTTGGTACTTTTTGCCTTTTGGCATTCTCTGGTCTCACACTGGTGAGACACGGCCATAAAGAAGGCTGTTTCTGGTGTAGCCAATCAGTTTCAAAGACTGCCCATATATTGCATTTTTAACACCTGTTGTATTGCCAGAAAGGGTAAAACCTATTCTTCATATTGGAGAGGTTGCTGAAATTACCTTGCGTGGAGACCCTGTACCAAATGACAAAGCAGAGCATGTTTTACAGTGGTAGCAAATGACAATATTTAATGGCGTGCTATTAATGTTTTGTTAATCCTGTTTTCAATCTGCATGATAGAAAAATGTAACACACCAATTTTCAAGCATATAGGTTTAATATTCAAAACAATAAAGTTAAATTTACAAAACATACATTCATTCATAAGGTATCTTATGGCGAGACCATACTGCAAGTTACACACAACACTCTTACTTGCTGTTCCAGAAACAATATGGACTGTTAAAAAATATCCATAAAATGTTCTCTAGCGTTACATTTCAAGAATCACAGGTATGCCACCTGTGTCAGCCATTATCTCCCAAAAATTCGTTGGGGAATAATCGCAGAAATACTTTACAAAACAATGCTATCGTTCTCTGTATGTACACAAGTGCTGTTTAAACTGCTCTTTATACAATTATGAAGGTCTGGTAAAAAAATAATAATTAAGGAGGAATATCCATTTCTTATTTAATAAGCAAAGACATACGTGCAGTTTACACAAAGCCGATTGTGACACGAGATAAATTGTCTGCAATGGACGTTTCAGAGCCCCCTATAAGGGGGACTTTTCCACTGCAAAGAAACGGGCGACTTACCACTGGGGTAGACACATGCACTGCTGCACTATCCACAACCACTAGCTCCTGTGGAGCTCTGTGCTGGCACTAACCCAGTCAGGGGGTGCACTTCAGCCTCTCTTGGCCCCTGTGTTTATTACAAATGTAGTGAAGGGAAACTATGTACATTTCACAGCTTACAATATATATAAAACTCCCTGCAATAGCACAGAAAGCATTCCTGGTGAACTCCACCCTAAACTCGTTCTCAGCACAAGAAATCAAGTACACACATGCTCTCCCTTCCTTATATGCATTAAACACTGTTACAAAACTACTGTAATTTGAGACTGACTGCATACGACCGGGTTTAGCATGTTTCTACTTTGAAGGGCTACGTCGAGATAAAGCACAGATGTCAACGTGGACATACTTTGGTCACATCCCAGTGGTCTTATACAGTGATGTACCCAAGCGCAAAACCTCCAAATTGTGTTCTTCATGTTTTAGCTTTGTTCTTTTATTACCAAAAATTATTGTAAACAAAAACGCACGCCGTATATGTTCATGGAGCAGCAGGTGTATGCTTGTTGTCGCTGAGCATGACAATCTTTTTTGTTGTATTTACAAGTCCTGGATTACAGCACCTACGTTTTAACATTGGCCTTGTATAGTGTGTCATGAACGTACAACAATTTACAGGCGTCTTCACCGATGGCTTGACCTTTGTACAGCATACCTGGCAGTGTGGATCCCAGGCTCTGAGGGTATTTTATTATTTAGAAAATTGTAAGTCTTGGAGTGAAGTGATGTAGACAAATTTGGTAGTAGTGGCAAGAAGAGCATATTCCAGCTTCTGTTGAATTATCCAGAATTCTTGATTGCATCACAATCCTTCTATTAAAATTTCTGCTAAACAGATCAAGTTCAGTTTCAGTCTTCTCAGATCAACATAGTTTTCTTGGCGTTATCAAGTCTCGGTTTTCTTAGGTGTTCAAATAACGATTCTTTGCAAGAGCTTGTATTCTTGTCTTAACAGTTCAGGGAATTTTGCATATACAGTATAAACACGCTCGGGGCCCCTCACAACCGGCGGACTTGCAGCGGCATGCTCGTTTGCACGTACTGTACACCTTGCCTCACAGCGGTTCCCATCACCACCGGGATGGCCTGTGGAGAAAGTAAAGAGATCAATGTGCACATGTGCACGTGTTCGCGATGCATAGTCTGGTATACCGAGCCCAAGCAGCCGAACCCTACTGGTGCCCTCTCAGATGGCGCAAAGCCAAGCCAGTGAATCTTGCGGCTGTTTACTGGGCACAGCAATACACGCCTGTGACCTCGTGTTTTTTCTAGGTGAAGGTTGGTGGCCTGTGCATATTTGTTAAAAACCCAACCTCAGCAGGCTAGGCAATGCCCAGGAATCAAAATAAAGTCATTTTGCAAAAGCGTCTGTGCAGATATTTTCACGATACCTCTTTTAATGCACGAGTTTCTCCATACGCGAAACGGTCTTTAAAAAAGAAATTGGGCCAAGCATCCCAATGCAGGATCCTCCCATGTAACAGTTCCAAGACTCGGGGAGGGGTTTCTGGCTAAATTACTTTATTCTCATTATTATTACCACTTACAATTGTGGGCTGTGTTGTCTGGATGAACGTTGTCTGTGGTTGCACAGGAATCAACTTTATGGGCTGGTTTGTGGATACGTTGGTCACTATCTGCAAATAAATGAGACCGTGTGGAATTAATCACGCAAAGCAGAAAAGATGTTGATGCATACAAGCAACTGGTTCACATTGGGAAGAAGTTTTGGGAAAGACACCACGCCACAAAAGAGTTAGTTTGGAACACACTAATCTCTACGATGCCATTGTTAGTGCGCACTGTCATTCATAATACCTGGGCAGTCGCGCTTGTTGGAATGAATTTAACCTGTGAGAAAATGCCAGAAAATGTATTGACTCACCACCATTGCAAAGGTAATATAATAAATAGCATTAACGTATGTATGTAAACATTCCTTCACACCATACTTGGCCAACCGTGCTAATCGGAGGTGCGGGTTAAGTAGAAACTAAATACAGTTTTATGCCTCTTCATGTGCATTTAACATGAACAGGCAAATACAATAAAACCACATCACTCCAATATGGATCACTCACAGGGCCACGCCAGTCTGCAAAATTAGTACAGGGTCTAACACGGGATGTGAGCAATCCTTGGAGTTTTACTGTGTTTGGGTAGGAAATGGTGACATGCCATTTATACGAGGGGGTAATGCTAAATCCCCTCAAATGTCTGCAACCTACTTTCTGTACTACCTGCTAAATGCTACCTTTCTGATACAACATTTTTCACATCACTGGATATTCTTTGACATTCATATTCCCGCAGGCCTCAAAATGTTCTTACTGGTTATAACTCAATGTACAATTTCACCTACATGTGATTTAATCATCATGATTCGCAAACAATTCATTCCTATGTGCACATTTTGAAAGTGCATACAGTAAAGTGCAAGAAGCTATTTCAAGAGATGAATCGAATAACCACTACATTGCTTAGAGCACACAGTACGGCTTTACTGTCCAAGAGACATTTCAACAAGCGAGCGCGCTGCGTGAGTTAATGACATATGGGGGCGAGTGCCGCCACGGGCAGGACGGTTGCCCCGCTCGGCGTACCGTAACGTTCTCCTGCCCCTTGTCCTTGACCTGCTCCTTCACCCCCATCGCCGTCGCTGCCGCTGCCGCCACCACCACCGCCGCCGCCACTTTTCCCTCCGTGTGCGTGGAGGTGGCAGTAGCTACCTGCTGGGCCGTCACCTTTACCGCCGTCTCCGGCACCGCCTCTGCCTCCACCTCTGGCTGGGTGCTCGCTGCAGCCAGCCGGGGCACATCAAGGGGACAAAACACACTCATGGTCAAAAGCGATCGGGCAAAGCAATGAGGTTGGTTAAGATTTATTGCCCTTGCCAAAACCGAAACCAAATTAACCGGTGAGGAGACATTCTAGGCCTCTCTCGTGAATGTCTACTGTGGTGGACCGCTATTGTTTAGGAACTGCTAGTAAAACACGAATATTTCAGGGATTCCTTTGACTCGTAAATTTACATTAAAGCAAAAAAAGTGTTTTAGCTTTTGATAATTCATTCATGAGAGGGTAAATCTACTTGCAAACAGAACAATATTTTAAACATCCTTTACAAAATGTTGAATATATGCATTTCAGATGCAATGACTATCAGTAAAAATTAGCCAAATGTAACAGATTCGATCCAATGACAGTTAAAATCAGGTTACTCCTGCCAAAACAGCAAACAACTCGCAGGACACCATGTCACTTACTGGCTATTAAAGTGAAACAATTCCATTTTGCATAGCAGTGAGTTACTACTCATTCATTTACATGTGACTGAATATAACCTAAGTTATTTCGCCTGTTCCTGGAATCTCAGACCGAGTGTTGTGAATTTGGAAACCCAGAATTAGCGAGCACTGCAAGAATCTGAATCAAACCAAACCGGCGTGCGTACCGAGATGGGCGGGTTGAGCCCCACCTGACTGCGTGCAGGTCTTCATGTGCTCGGGCCAGTGCGCCTGCTGGCAGGGGTAGTCGCAGTAGCTGGTGTTCCAGCAGCAGTAGAAGATTGCCTCCTTGCGGCAGTAGGCGCACCACTGCTTCTTCTTGGTCTCCTCCACCACGGCCAGCTTCTCGATCTCCGTCTGCTTGCGCACCTCGCCCATGAGCCGGTCTCGCTCCTGCTCGAAGCTCTGCCGCATTTCCGCCATGGTGAGCTCTGAGGGAAGAGGATGCACGCGCACGCTCCCCTCAGCACGGGGCCCCCCGTGGCGGTGGATGCTCAATAAGTGAGCGTCAACACGGTCAAAGTGAACATGGGTTGGTGCCCGTAGCAGAACCCGTGCCAGTGGTGGAAAATGCACTTTCCTATGATAGAACAGGTCTGTCAAAAATATTTTCGAGGCCCAAGGCAAATTGCCAGATGAGGCCCCTTCTCATTCCCCCCATGGCCCTTTGATGTCCCCTTGGACCTGAAGTCTGGAGTAAAATGACCCCAACTGCCCCTCCCTTTATGGCCCTGATGACAGACAGCACTGTCTGTGGGAAGTCAATCATGGTTGTATTATGGACAGGCATGCCCTGCCCATTACAATTCCCACCACTGGCTCAAGGCTGCAAAACAAGAGGATGAGCACTGCTCTCCACACTCATTTATGGGGAAAAAAATACTTTTAAATATATATGTTGAACTTCTTTCGCACCGTACATTGCCAACCGTGCTCAACAGAGGTGTGAGGGAAGGACAAACCAAATAACAAATGTGAATATTTGTACTTTAAAAAATACTTTTAAATAAAGTCTTCAATTAACCTCACCAATGATGGGGAGGATGGCCGCAAATAATTAAAAATCGCCGATAATCCACAAATATCCATTTTCCGTGGATCTCTATGCCAAAAACCACTAATAAAGGTATAAATTAAGTTAAGAAAATTGAGTTTGTTAATGAACAAAAAAAGTTCAGTAAAGAATTGATGGATCAATACGCGTGCTCGGTGATAACACTTTCCTGCTCCCCCGCAGAAGACAAGCCCACTAGGTGGACAGTAGAGCCACGCTAATCGACATCAAACTCACCATTGTAAAGATATGCAACTACTGTACTGTATAGGAGACCACATGGATTTGGGATTTACCAAAACATTCGTTTAGTTTAAGCATGAATAAACATTTCCAAGAATAATAACTGTTTTTAGATTATTCATTTTGGTTAAGGGAAAATCCATGAGTTAACAATTTATGTAAAAATGTCGGGTTCGGAGTTAATCCGCAAATCGGATAAACCGCACGCGGATAATTATCGAGAGTACTATACGTGGTTTGTTGTCATTCACCCACACCTTTGATTAGCACAGTTGGCTACGTATGGTGGAAAATAAGTGTATTGGTTAAAATAAAGGTAGTTAAAAACAACATGAACGCTGCCAATTGGGTCAGCGCATTGGATCGCACCAGAGATTATGCGTGTGTTTGCAACGGTGACTTGCCTGCATTGTGCTTCATTTCCAACAACTCCTGTTGATGAAGCCACTGAAGCTTTTCAATTTCTATCCTTAACTTTCTTATCTGTGGAAAAGGAAATTCCGTAGATGAATACAGCACAACAATCGCAGGGATTATGGACACCCAACGTTCATACTGTGTTAGCCCATGGGCGCCCCAAATATCAGATATTTAACTTTTCCGTACCACTTGGGGTGGCAAAACTTCAGTGGTAGTGATATTTATATGTTCATTACAAACGAGTGGATTATCTCGAGCAGAATAACGATACATCCATTCAAATATAGATTTTTAAGCTAACGATATGAGATCGTGTGTGTACAATGTGTTTTTTTTATCATATATGTTATAAGTAATGGTATCACGTGACACCTGTAACCGCTGGACGTGGCTACATTTACCACAATGTTCACAAAATGTTCACCCTGATTTTAAGGGACATTTAATTATCAGGGTGTTGGAGGGGGGGACAACACACATGTTATTGGGCCAATAAATATATCTAATGTTTTGCCACCTCAGGTGCTAGAAAGTAATGCTCCAGCCCATGGACTATTGCAAACAAGGACTAGCACTCTGCAACCATTGCGATAACCTGGACACACCACAGCATTGCTTATTAAACAGCACAGGCGACTGCTGTGACACGGGAAGGTTTGAGCATTCCATTTGCGTAAGAGTGCGCATGCAAACAAAGCCCTACTTTCTCTTACCATAATAAAGACTGTCAAACCAACAGGGCAGGGAGAAGAGAACTTTCCCTGTCCTCCCCCCACATCACACCCTGGGTGCCTCCTCAAGCAAGCCACAGAAATCTTTCTCAACCAGTGAAGGCAGGCAAAGCAGCTGCGATGTCTCTGTCTGATTCACATTGGTATAAGACGCTACGAAAGGCCCAGAGAAAGGCAGGCAGTCTTTACCTCCGCTAGAGTGTTTCCAGAAGAACCCGAAGACAGATCGTTGTACATCTCCGTTACGGTGCCTTTGATGGCTTCCATCATCTGCTAACAGAACGCATTAGAAAGCAATGAGCTTAGCCCTTGCTTCCGGGCCGACCCGATAACCCGTCTAAGTCACGCAACCTGCATGGGTAAGGAATGAAGTATTTGTCAGTAACACTGCTCCTCCATTGTCACTTGAGCTTTTTCTCTACCACCAAGGCTGCTGTTTTATAGCACTATGCCGTGGTAGAGAATTACTGTAAATTTTACCTGCTTGCCTGACCAAAGAGTGAAAAATAGGAGTTAATAATTGGAAATGAAAAAAGAAACCAAAAAAAGTAAATGAAATAAAGCTGAAAAATGGTAACAGAATGACAATGGCAGACAAGATAACCCTCCTAAGCTATGTGCATAACTTCACATTTTGCTGTCGCTGTGTTTGAATTGTTAATGTATAACTTAGCTGGCATACATTGGCTTTTGTTCATTAATCTGAATTGCAATGGTTTCATTACTACTGCAACATAGAAACCAATTTTTTGCAAACTAAGACCGCACTATTCATGCGAGCAACTATTATGGAGTGAACTATCGTTTCCGAGCCTCCCTTCAGAGCCTCCCTTTCATTTCAAACCTCTACACACACCTTACCTTGCCAAGCACTGCGACAGAGACACCAGCTCTTTTTACACAAAAGAAAATAAACTCCAGAGCAACCAATCGTTCTGATGATACAAAATAACCTAATGTCATTCATTCAGATAGGTTATAATTTGTAATCAGTAGTGTACCGACAGATCGATGACTCGATTAAAATGTATCTTACACCCACAATACATGAAATTGTGAGTTTACTAGTTCACTAAAACGTGACTGCTACGGCTACTGGGGGCCATTACATTCACCATAAATGCAGTGAACTGGCTTATTTTCTTTTGTGTAAAGAGGGCTTCCGTAAACCAACCATTTAGCCCAGTTGCAAGCCAAACCCATGCACGCATCAGCAAGACTCGTCTCCCCGCACCTTGCTCGTGTACTTGGCGATGTCAGCCGCCACTTCTGCAGAGTTGCTCCCAACGCTGGTAGTTTCGGCTTTGGAGAGGGGGGAGATATTAGCACCCCCTGCGCCCCCTGCTGCTCCTCCTCCCCCACCACCGCCCCCACCCTCGCCAGTTGCAGGCAACTTCCGACTCCCGGCAGATGAGGTTGCTCCCGAAAACGAGCTGGTAACCAGGGTGACTGTTGCCGTGGTGACAGTTGGGGTGGATTTTGGGGGTGGTGCTGGCAGGATATCTTTCTCCTGGGTGGCTGCATTATAAACAAGCAAGGGGGGGAACACAGACATGGAGTACATGTTATGCATAAGGCGCAATTTTACTAGTGCTTGAGTGGCCTTGTTAACAATTCACTGAATGAAGGAACTCATGCATTACATAATTGCATACATTTTACGATTGTACTGGTGTTTTAAAATTCGATGCATTTATCTTGCAAATCAAATCTCCTACAAAGTATATCTGAACCCGTTTTACTGTAGACTGTGTAAATAAAAAAGGTCACGATGACAATAACATTACCAATGATGTCGGAGACGATTACAGAAATATTGCTGATGTTTATGATAACAGTAATGATGACAAGACGATAAAAAATGGATGATTAACGATAACGACAACGATGTACATATTTGCGAGTATATTTTCAGGCAGCTGCCTTCTGACCTTTAGTCGCCTGCCTGGTGGCGTAGCGCGAGCCCATCCCTTCTCGCTGTTGCTGCTGCTGCCTCTGCATCCGCTGGTTGTGCCACTTCTGTGAGGACGTCTGAAACTTGCCGGGGACTGCCCAGGAAGACGAGCGAGTGGTTGTTGTGGTGGATGTGGTGGCGGTGGCAGCGGCAGCAGACCCACTCGGAGAAGTACCCTGCCCTCCAGCGCTGTCCTTGGGCAGAAGCAGCCGCTGCTTCTTGATGGGACTCACGACTGCCACCGTCGCAGGGGTGGCTGGGGTGACAGATGAGGTGGAGACGATGGCTGGTGGGGAGGCGATGGATGGCGAGGCGGAAGGAGAGGAGAAAGACGAGGAAGATGACGGCTTGGGGGTTGCAGTGGAGGTTTTCTGCTTACCAGTGGATGAGGGCTCAGGGAGTTTGGCCGCTGGTGGGGGACCTGCCGAAGAGCTGGCACGATCTGCAGTGACATACGCGCACAGCACAGCCACGCTAGGAAAAGCTCTGTAATGACGTTTAAAACAATTCAACTCTTAGATCTGCCTGTGAGTATATAGTAATATTCAAATGCACTTACGAGCATGAGGCAATGTCTCTGAAATACACGTTTTGATAAAATTGTCTTAGAAACGTTTCAAAATAAACTTAAGAGTCTGCGTACAATAACATTAACTTGACAGAATATAACTCTTCTATGCCACACCTCAGCGCACTTTAACAACCCAACTTTCACAGCCATTTCTCTTGTTCGTCTTTTGCGTGGGAAACAAGGCTACAGCGCAGTGCCGCCCCCCCCCACCCCCACCACCCATGTTCCGCGTAAAGCGGCCAAAGGCACAGCACAACAAGCGACTCACTGTTGGTGCTATGCTGCGTGGGATTTGAGGGTGCCTCTTTTCGGGGTGGAGATCGGCTCGTCCGTTTCCCTGTCTCGCCATTCCTGCCCTTTCGCCGTGAAGAGGATGGTGGTGGCGCTCCCCTTTCATCGCGGCTCTCTTCCCCAAGGTCAATGACGAGCTCGCTCTCCGAATCGCTGTCCAGGCCAAGGGAGTGCGGCGAGTCTGGGTCGTCGTCATCGTCGTCATCGTCCTCCTCCTTGCAGGGCGCCGCCCGTACACGCAGGGAGCGATGTGCTTGCTTCTCATCAGCATCGCTCGGGCTGCTCGAAGCCGTATCCCTCCGTCCGGAGGGTTTCTCGTTGCCCGCTTTGTCCTGCCTGGCGCTCATATTCCCGTTCTAGTAGCCGTGCAAACGCATTCAAAATAAACGACAAAAGACACTATGATGAGATAGCTATTTTTTATATTAATTTAAATAATGTACAGCGCTTTGTCAATCCAGTGTAGGAGGAAGGTCTCCCACCACCGGCTCCCTTCCCCACACAGTGTCAATCGTCGGGGTTATTTGAGAGTACTTCAAAACGCTAATCAGCGTGGGTTGGTGAAGGAGAATATTCAAGACTGCTTTAGGTATTACTGATTATTGATATTAGCTTAAGCTGGGAATAAAACTCCTGAATTAGCAAATAGAATAAAAATCATCAATTGCATTTTACAGAAATGTTTGGACATCAGCCTATAAAGCCATGCACTGTCCTGTAGTATACAAAAAACTACCACACTGCACCGTGGGAGATCACAAGGATTGGAATTTGACAAACACTGGACAAGTAATTCCTTAACAAATTTCAGACTCCCTTAATGGACTGGACTGGCTCTTCTTATTTGCAGCAGCAGCACATGGCCTGGTCCCCACAAGTACTAATCACCTGGTGGGGGGGGGGGGGATGTGGTATCACATGAATGTCTGAATAGAATGGAGGCTCCCTTAAGAGACTGGCATGCTTCATGTTATATCTGTGTGCAGCAAAGTGTCCTGGACCCACCCTTACGACTCACCTGGCTCAGATCCTGCTTGACACCACCGCTGTCACTGGTCGCCGTCTCTCCTCTGCCAGTACTGTTGCCGCCGCCGTCCCCCCGCGCGATGGCGCCACCCCCGAGTCCTCGGCCTCTACCGTCTGCGCCCAGTGCACCCGGTGCCGAGGCGGCAGAGGCCGCCACGCGCCGTGCCCGTCGAGCCGCCAGGCCCCTCTCGTCGTCGTCCTCGGCGGCGCTGTCGGCCTCACTCTCGCTCGAGTTCTCCGACATCTCCCAGTCGCTCTGCTCCTCGGATGCCATCTTCTTGATGCCTGAGTTGGTGAGCGGGCAGTTTCAAGGAGGCATAACAGGCAATTTAAAAAATGGCAAAAGGTTAAACGTCCCGTTTTGTGTAAGAACACACTACACGTCATGCTCCAAAACGTGCAATTAATTTTTATACACTTTGGTTATCTTGAAATGTTTTCCTAGTTAACTAATTTCCTATTTTAAGCAGAAAAGTTGTGAGGTTAAGTCGAGGTAACATTTTAAACGCTCCCAATGGGAATTTGAATAATCTGCAATGACCTTGTCATTATTATTGTGCATCCACAAATATTTTAAATGAGTCTACATTTTAAGAATTTAAAACATAAGTACCACCTCATCATGGATTGTTAAAACATTCTTCAATTTAAGCTCACACAAAATACTATTAGTTAAACCACAAGTTAGCAGCTGTGGTGTATTACTTGTTGTTATCATGAACATCAGCAACGACCAAAGGCCCTTCAGAATGTACCCAAACATCACTGGTTCATATTACACTGGCCGTAAAATGAACTAGGCACCAAATGCTAAAGGTAGCTGTCATGCCAAATAACATAAAAATCATTCAAAGGAGAGGTCATCAAGGCAATACCACGATACTTTGCCATAATTTGTTCCAAAAAAATAAATATAAACTCATGTTTCATGAGCGTGTGGCTGTCTTCCTGTCTCCTCTTCAAGATTACATCTGCAATGCCATGGACATTTATAGCACCCTCGTGCACGAACGTTTTAATAGTTGCTTTGTTAAATTTGTGGTCAGTTGCATAACGCACTTAAAAGCGCAATTTCCATTTCAGCAGTTTTCTGTAAATAAAATGCAAGGTATTATGTGAGAAAAGCTTTGCTTAATGTAGTTGTTTTGCTGATACTGCTTGGCATCTGGGGGGAATACTGGACAACCCACGAGGGGAAAGCAGTCAAAATTCTGTCTGGATGACTTCAAAGCAACGCCTTGCTGCCATCTCCTGACCACCTAACAGCCCCATACCTACAATAGCCGATAATCCTGGTGGTTACTTATCAATGTACTAAGCTTTACCCTACTTGACTTCCCTGGTCCCCATGGTGCATTGACCATGACAGTAACATAGTAACTACTCCTGCCTCGCTCAGTCTACTAACACGCATAGGCGGGAGGGGGGGGTGGTTATAAATAACAGGTGGCTGTACCGAGGGAGGCTTTGCAGTTGGCGATGGTCTTGTCGAGGTTGAGGAAGAAGCTATTTTTTATTTGTTTCTTTGGCGACGGGGCCATGGAAACGGGCGCGGCGCTCTGCTGCACGGTCTCGCTCAGCGCCTCCAGGTCCATCTCCGCCTTGCTACGGTCTGGACGAGTTCGCAATCAGAACAGAGGGCACACGCATGCCGGGTGAGTGTGCTGCTGCTACAGCAGAGCGAGATTCAAAAGGGAGGCGATAGACGTCGATGTTTCGTGACGCAACCTCGAACGGAAACGAGGTGTCGTTTGTGCAGAAAGCAGGCTGGTGTTTTATTATGCATGTTGCGGTTTCGCCCTCCCTCAAAATTCTATGAATCGCAACAATTTTACATCGCGATTTGACTAATGAATCAATGCTCGAAACAAATGTGGTAAATTCTGTGCTTCTAGTACGTGCAAGGTTTACGTGAAACACTTACATACAACACATATATACGAACTGAAATGTATTGATTCTGACACGCACGTTTTAAGAGTAACAATCTATTTTAATCGATATATCTATAAAGAGCTTCACATTTTTGTAATACATCCGTGACATTAATATGCACAAAAATATAACGTGCCATCTTGTTGGACATACGAAGTAAGATTTAAAATTCTGTTATATACATAGCCGTGCACCCTGTTTCGCCTTACCCAATCCACAAGGCATTCTGGGTCTACATAAGCCTAATATTATGGTGGGCATTCTCTCATAATGACAGGTATGTCAGTGTTATTGTACATGACCAATGAAGAGCAATCGTTAGAGATTCAGTTTAAATTATTTAACCATTAAATTGGTTTGTTTTAAGAGTGAATTGTACAATCACCACCTTCAAATTTAGAAATGGGGCAGTGCAAAATTGTACGGTCCATAATTTGGTGTTCATGGCAGCAAGTTTCAGAATCCCCAATTCAAAGGATATGGCTAGGTGGTACTAAATTTGTTTGCATCCTGTATTTAACCCGGAGAAAATATGAAACAGCACTGCATATTTTGCAAACGCGAACTGGGTTACATCAAGAACAATAAGAACAGAATACTGAGAAAACATTTAAATAACAAATAGACTAAATGTATGAATACAATATAATGTGAATAATACAAAATAGAAAGGTAAATTGCACTAAACACGTAAATACATTACAAGCTACAAAATTACTTAAGGAAACGAAAGTGACTAAATTTGGCAAGTCGAGGTAATGGGAGAACATTTCACGAAATATAATTAAATGTCACCAAAATGGTTCGGGAAAAGTCAGAAAACGTTAAAACAAAGTCAATTTAAAAACATATTACGAGAGTTTACATCAAGCCTCTTGCTCATCCATGTTTCTTTAAACTCGGCTATGGTCGAGACTGACTATGAATGCTCGACTTCGTGGGAGGTGGAGCCGCCTTTGCACTTCAGGCGGGTAATGAGGGCAGCTGCTGCAACCCGTGTGCTGGGTGCGAGGGACGCAGGGGCCGCACGGCCGCTCACCCAGCTTGAGGTTGAGGATGCTGCTGGCCGGTGAGGTGCGGGACAGCTTCTCGGATTTAGGAATCACATTGCGGCTTGATGACGAGATGGAGGAACCCGGGCTCTCCACCTTAAGCGAGCCCTTGAGAGTACTCGGTGACCCTGTAGACCCACATGCAACAAAGCGTGCTATTCCAATAGAACTCGGGCACAGAGTCGTGTCACGTTAAGCAGGCACATATTAAAAACACGTTTTTATGGCGTTCAAAATGGACGCCAAGCACTACTAATAGATAATAATAATGGTCACTACCATAATTTTGGGTGAAGAAACAAACTTCGCACAGATTAATTTAGCGCTCTATTTAAAAGTCAAACAACAATCCTCATTCTTTGCCGCACACACACAAAGAGCATGCACGAGTCAGCAGAGGACACACTGTTTGTGATGTGCGGTACGCACCCCGGTCTCCCTCCGTCTCAGCATCCGAGCCCGTGGGGACTGACGACACGTTGCTGAGCGGGGAGCGCGTGCCCACGGAGGAGGCGTGCCCGCCGTAGCCCAAGGAGCCACCTGACATCCCCAGACGGCTCAGCACCACCTTGGGTGAGGCAGCCATGTCAAAGGACAGCTTTCCCCGCTCGCCCTCCTCGTCTGCAAGGCACGGGATGTTGGAGGGGAGGGGCACACACACGCACCAACGGAAGCAAGCACTGTTAAGTGACATCTTATGAATCATGAAAAAGTATGCTAGCCTAGCATGCACGAGCAACTACACAAGCAGGTTCACATGCAAAGAAACAATAAAAACGATCATCGTGCTTACAAACGCACTCGCGGAAATGCAAGTGGGCACACATGTAAACAATCACAAGGCATTTTCTTATGACAATGTGCAAGAATAAGTGCACAATACAAGCACGTAAAACCACAACAAGTCACGTACGTAAAAAAATAATATCCATAAAAACAACACACAACCATCACCTTACAAAAAACACACATGCAACAGACATGCCATTACCCATGTAAACACACTGATAAAAAATGTTTAAATCAAATGCTAACACAACACAAGCCAAGTCAATTCATTTTAGGTTAACATGTGGCACCTTTCTGGCAGAAATCTGCCACCCAAAAGAGCACAAACCATAAAATGCCGCACAAAAATAAGAACATGCGATAAAGATTTTCGCTCTGGCAGCTTAAAATTCTTTGCTGTGGATGCCTTTGTACAGTTCTGTCATTTAATAGATAATTTTAAACAAAAGGGCTATTCATTTTTATATAGGGGTCAATTCACTTTCAATTATTGCTTTCCAGTAATCCAACTGCGGTGGAATAATATGTTCATGTTGCACGGACAAATTGAAATGCCAAACTTGATGCGTGCTAATAATATCACCTGGCCATACTGTACTGGACACTTAAGCCATGGAGGATAAAATTTAAAACACCAGCTATCTATAATTAGCAGTAATTGGACAAATTAGGATTATATCTTGGTCAGCGCTGATAAAATTAGTGCTATGCTAACAATTATTCTGCTTTAGGGATCTTATCACGCCTCCGAATTCGCACCTTCGACCTCTTGATCGGAAAATATTTTTTTCCGTTCTGTGAAATTTGCCTTAGAAATTGTGTTAATGATTGTTATTATCATAATAACAGAATCAAAGAAAATCCACAAAATAGGATAATCGTGTTTATTTTATAACATGCAAACCAAAAATCGAAAATTTCAATTGAATTCTAATCTAAGTTGTAGGTCAACTCAACGACTTGGAGCTGATAAAATACATTATGCGCCATTTTCATAAAATACATTATGCGCCATTTTCATAAAATTTTACGAAGATACATTTATGGGTCCTTACGCAGGATCAGTTTGCTGTTCAAAAACAAACACTGTTGGAATACAATTGTTCAGAAATCCATTGGATGATTATTATCATTTATAATTATTATCCTTGTTTAACCAGGAAATCCTCATTGAGTCACATGACTCTTTTTCAGGAGAGTCCTACCAATGTTTTTTCAGAAGGGGGTAATGATTGCTATTTCTAATACCAATTGATGGTTTTAAATGTTATTTTATGGTGGTGAAACACCCTTTGTCCATATGTTTATTTAATTTAGTATTGCCCAAACTACACAAATTGGCAAAACATCACAACAGAGCACACGGCCGGTAAACAATCTTGAGATGAAGCAAGGCTGCTGTTCTGGTTAATTAAAGAACACTACTGCTGTTCTCACCTCTGTGGGTGTCGGTGGCACAGGCAAGCGTCTCACCTGGACTGGGCTGCATGCCGCTCCCGGGGTCTCGCAGGATCTGGAAGCGCGTATCGGGCGTGTAGGGCGTACGGTACTGCGCGTAGTTGAAGAGACCGAAACGCCGGCGGATGTTCTCCACGTACACCTCCATCTCAGACATGGCGTTATTGAAGATGCCGCGAGCTTTCTTCACCGAGAAGGGAATCTCCTTGGACATCAGGTAGCAGTTGCTGACCGGCACCCACGCCCTGCATGCAGGCGTGACAATCAACGAGGTCAACACTAGCGATAAATACACGACTACATACTTATCCTTCTCTTCGGGTGGGGATTCTCAAACTGCAGGCCTTAATTATTATATGTTTTTAAACATACATTTTTTTTTACCAGTCATCAGCTGTGTAAGGTGAAATTAGTAAATTAGCATTTAATGGCCTTTTGTTGTAGGCTCCTGCAGGGCTTTGTTGTCAGCAGAGGGCAGTGCAGAAAGATGCAATGTTGTACTGTATGTACTATGCTCCAATGTCTATGCTCTCACCCTTCACCAACCAGCATGGTGACGTATGGTCAAACAACCCCCACGACCGACACGGTGTGGGGGAGGCTTTCGTCCAGCAAAGGATTGACAAAGGTCTGTAAAGTATTATTATTGCTTATTAATAAGCATTCATTTGGTGAGACATATGTAGCAGCAGCATATGGACGTCTTGGCCGTACACCAGTGCACAATAACACTCCAGTCTTCATACAACGGTCCAAAATCTAAATTTTAATCAGCAAATCTGTTTATCAGTCTTTAATTGACGCTGTCGCCAAGTTTGATGCAATTCGAAGGTTTATTAAGTCTACTGAGACTTGCTAAAAATGTCAACATTGACCGATGATTTGGTTCCGGGCTACGCAATTTTGTGGGCAGACCAGGAGGGTGAGCGCCCGGAGCAACAGCAGCAACTTTCTTAGAAAGCCTGCCTTACAAGCCTTAGGTGGGACTGGAGCATTATCATCTTCGTCGTCTTGGACCGCCGATGGATAGTACGGCAAGTAGAGCGTTGGGATTGTGTCGTACTTCTTATGAATGCTTTAGGGTTAGGAACCATCCGACCAAGTCTAGGGCACTAGTCAGATCTGTCTCGGGCACGAGTCAAAACACGGATCCAATTGTCATCAGCCTGGGTGCTATGTGGCAACAGACTGTGAAGCTTCATGTTCAGCTGCTCATAACATTAATCTTCCGACTGCTTCGAAATCACGAAAACTGAAATTTGACGCACCCCTCAAGACTCTGACCGGGGTTGCAAATCGCCGGAAACTAAATAATTGCAAAAAATTATTTTCTTATACCAATGCACCAGTGTATCGCCAATACGTTCATATACAATACATGTTTATTGATCACAGCGTATAAGGCACTCCTGTTGTAAATTCTGTACTGCAGCATAAACTTTTATGCAGGTGATTTGTAATACATGGACAGCTCCTTTTGTCAATCCACTGCTGTTGGCTGAGAGCCTCCCCCCATACCTTGTGGGTCTTGGGGATTATTTAACCAAACTCCACAAGTGAAGGTGGGAAGCATAGATTTGGGAGCATAATCGTATTTCTCTGCATTAACCACTGCCGCTCACCAAGCCCCCGTGGCCTATTATGACCAAGCCACCTGTAATGCCCCTGATTTCGTCAGGTCTCGAATGCTAAGTGTGTTTGAGCCTGCATAGTGCTTGAATGGACGACGACCATGTATGACAGGTTATTTTTGCCTGTGGGGATGCTGATGTCTGATTGCTTAATTTAACATGTTCAAGAGATGCCATATGCCATCCTTCAAGGTATCTATCTCATGCTTTTATTGTGCAGTAACATACTGAAGTGTATGTTGCCATTTGGATGAAGAAAATTCTGCATCATTGCTTGCATAAACAATTCTGCTACAAGAGCATTCGAAAGAACAGGTCACTTGCAAGCTGTGATCTCATCCGTTGTTTACATGTACAGTATATCAACAAAGCGAACTGAACATTAGACTGCATAATATATGCTCCTCCAGAAACTGACCACAAGCAGTTCCAGAGCGATTTGATAGAAACTGCAATTTTTGATACTTAAAACAATGTTGCAATAGCATCGTCGATTCTTGAGAAACAAATTCGATATAAATGAGGCTGCAGAAATCAGGCAAATAGTGATGATTCACTGAGGACAGGGTGGGTGGAGGGTGAAGTGTTAGAATCTTACTTGCTAAGCTGTGTCCTTGGGCTGACTAAAATGGGTTTCAAGCTGGTTTTATTCAGAAATGTATTTAAAATAATGGTCAAACATTCCATAATCACTCTCTCGCAAGGTCACTGTAACATTTTATTAAAGTGTATTCTACAGTAGGAAGGTCGAAGTGATGTCACCAGAGAGCTTATAATAACTTGCTTGACCTGGGTTTTGAAGTCTTTTGTCATCTCATTCACAAAATACTAACCTTTAAATCGGACAAACTGGGGAACCCACCTTGGTGCTAGGCTTGGAAAAATTTCACTCTCCCTCCTTCCTATGGTCAGGCACTACAATTTTCTCAATTCAATTTAAGAACAGATTCTTCTCTAACCTGGATGAAGGTAACATGAACATAAACTTTGCATGAAACATAATTTGCCAATTACCATGCATGCTTTTGGATGAATACACCCCAAGCATCATTGTATATCAATGAATTGTTAAATACCTACTGGGTATGAAGCTGTTTGATTATAAATTAAATCATGCTTTAGTTTTTGCACAGCACAACACTTGTTGCACTGCAGGACTGAGAGATGGTGATGGCTTGGGAACAGCTTCATCCAGCAGTGGACAGATTATGGCTGAGGATGACACTTGCAGAGACTTACCGGTCATGCTGGCCAAAGAAGCGCACATCCACTTGTCCATCCCGCTCGCGCAGGGCCTTGGCTGGCCAGAACGGAAAGCCCTTGAGCTTGGCCCAAACCAATGGGTGCGGGATGCTCTGTGAGCCAACAACATCGACATGCCAATTTACACGCCGAAGCCTCGATATAAACTCAAACTCTTGAGTCTCTCCTGCTCAATGAGCGTGGGATGGTGCTCATCTTCTTTTGACCCTAAGTGGTGGAAATTCTACATTTCTATGGCGGACGGCAGTTTCTCCCAAGTATGACTGCAGCAGATTTCCATAAAAATGGTGCTCATTTTAATCAACCGCAGATGGATCAAAGGCCGAGGAGGAAAAAAGAGCATATGAACTTGCAGCCTTCCAATTAATGGTGGATCGATGGATTCAGTCCCGACGATTAGATAAATGATCTCAATTCAGGGTCTCGATTTAAATGAAAAATAATTTATTTTGTACCACTGAGAATGGAAGTGCCTCTGGTGGCCCATCAGTTATCTTGTTTGGGCAGAATCAAAATTTGTAGAATCTTTATTTTTCCTGGAAGAATCCGATGAGCTATGAAAGGCTCACCATTCATGTTAATGTACTCAGGGTATTTTATTGATTTTCACAATCTGGCGGGACTGCACAAGATTGATACTAATCTACGGTACATTGTTCTACTAACATGCAGTTCCTTCCTCATACACCACGTGGCAAACTGGGCATTGCGATAGCATAACGTAACGTCAGCCGTGTTTTTCATTCAAAACGTTGGGGTATAGCTGTTGCACAGTGGTTGGCAGCACTGAGCTGTTTACCCGGAGATCCAGAGGGAGAGATGGAGATGCAAAAAGACAGATGCAAAGATAAACGGAAATCGAGACACATGGAGAGGCACCAACAGATATTGAGGGACAAAAAAGAGATACAGAACTTGTTCTAGTTATTTTATTTACTTTACGTTTGTCGCACACACTGTTGACGTGATGTAGTTTTAGTAAGGATTTTAGCATTTTTTCTACTTGAATATTAAATCTCCAAAATTATGAACCTATGTGATGATTTTCTCCGTTTGGGGTTTTAGAAAAAACATGGCTACACTCCTACGATCTGCATTTTTTTACTGATTAATTTAATTGCTAGTCACATGCCATATTCCTCTTTAAATGCCCAAAACATATGTGCGCACTGCAAATTCTCATCTTAAAGGGTCCGCAGGCTTCCCCATATCACAACGGATTTGTACACGGAGGCAGCAACTTGCAAATATATGCATTGCACGTTGAACTTCTTTCGCACTGTACGTAGCCAACCGTGCTAAATCGGAGGTGCAGGAAGCAATGCATCTCTTTCTGTGCCACCAAGGGAGGGGGGCGGCATGGGTAGTAAAGTGCATGAGAAACCGTCAACGTACACATGGCTCGCAAAACCAGTTGTCTCGCTTTTGGCATGAGGAGAGGTAGCACTCAGGACACACTTCTATTTCGTTCATCTGCACACACAAGACGGTACACAAAGCAGGGAATAATTATTACATTTATAGTTGTGCAAGTCTGTATCAAATAAATAAAAGTATCCACTGAGGTCTCAGACTTTTAAGAAAAGGTCAATTCGAAAAATCTTATTTGTGTAGGTAGGTGTTCATATGATACCTCTACCCCCCCCCCCCCCCACGTGTACACAGTACAATATCGTCTGTCTTCGCATCCACACGACAAAAAAACCTACTTGTACGCATCTAACAAGTCACCTTCTCCTATGATTACAGATATTTACTAGGTTTGATGACGATCGCTTGCGTTGCCATCGAAACGTCGTGATCTATTAATTTCCTATCTACGTGACTTGACCGAAAGAACCAAAGAGTATGGAGGATTCCTGCAGTCACGAAAGCTTCAAATCAAGATTGCTGGCTCAATTAAGATGCAACAATCGGTTCTTTGTCTCGTCTGTACCGTTTGGTTTGTACTCTTTCACGTTTTTTTCTATGTATTGTAACGTCGCGTTCACCCCTCGGTCTAAATGTATCGGTTGCAGTTTTCATGAACTCTAAAACCAATTCTTATATGCACAGTTCGATGCGTGTACCGAGAGTTTAAGCACCACAAATAAATCAATGAATCAGTGCATGCCTATTAAGCATGTTTGAGAATCCGTGTAAATACTGTAGCATATTTCACCCACGTTCTAGTATATAGTAAAAAGGAAATCATAAGTTTGTAGACACATTAATTTTTAAAGGAGTTATACACGAGGGATTTCAGGCATTTTTAGAACCCAAATGCTGTGTAAGTGGTTGATATCCTTGAGACTCCAGCCTCACCTCATGTTCACAGATTTTGATGATCATTTTTGCAGTGGTGGTCAGCTTATGATTGGCTGAAAAATAAGAATTCAATTGTCACTTGAAATGCCCATTAATGTGAAAACAGATAGTGTCCTTGGACATAGAAAGGCATACTTCCCTGGAAAAACAATATGCAGCCAATGGCTCCCAATTATTATTTTGCTTTGTTCATTAAACATTCAAATGGTTCTCTATTCCAGTCTTGAGACCACTAATGAAGTATGTTATTACATATTCATTATTAGGTTTGTTTACCCAGGAAAGCCTCACCAAAAGCCTCGTGAATATTTTTCCGAACGGTCCTGCCAAGTTAAAGCAGTCGCGGGTAACAATTGCTAATCTAGATTCCAATTGAGTCATTTGCGGATAACTATTCACACTTTTTTGGCAAATTTGGACCATGATACCGGCACATGATTTTTAATGCCCACTGTGAAACTTTACAGTATTGAACAGAGCAGCAGCAGGATTACAACAGCGAACCTCTGCAAAATAGTGGCATTGTATGTAGTTGCAGCCTTCGCTAGATACTTAAAGTTAGTTTTGAGCACATACATCCATGTTATTGCTATTTTGATGTTGATTTAAACACTGAGACCTGTGTTGTTGTGTCCAATGTAAAAAATAGTGTATAGTCAAAGCAACACTCCATTGAAGGCTTATCTTTGTGTGTACTTGTCATAGATAAGCTAGTTCTGCAAAAATAGTCACTGTTGGCAATCTAGCAATGTTAAGAGTGTATTTACTAATTGATGTGTTTAAGTCTGCAGTACATTGTACTTGTATTTAAAAATAACTGTTTATATTTGGAAGCTTTTATCATCGATACAGAAGAACACGACCAATATGAGATGCAAATGTGTACGATCTACGTGGCACTATTGTAATGGATAACATAATTACAACCAAGTCTGTGGCCAACACAAATCTACAGTTTCTTTGCACACACACACAGATTATCCAGAGACTACCACTTAGCAGGCATCCACCCACACCAGGCTTATCTGGACCACTCGCTTATCACAATGAAAGTGTACTCTATCACGGGTTACAGTGTGTGACCCCCCCGTCAAGCGTTCTGTTTACAAAGGAAAGAAAACCACAGTAAAAAAGCAAGTTTGGAAATGTACTCATTTACAAACCTGAATGGTGCATCATTATATTGCAGGTTATCTTGCTAATATGGTTCTAATGGATTGCATTGGTGCACTTATTTAAGACTTTACAACAGGCCAATGATGCCATTACTTTATACGAGTCGCAACTTCCTTTGCACGGGATGCCTTGTACACTTACCTCCATTATAGATGATGCAGTTATGAAGGATCCATTTGCAATCTGCAAGGAATGCTTCCGTGCAGCCATATATTTTCTTTTTTATGTTCTGTAAAAAGAAATCAATTCCATCTTAATGTGGAATTCATATCTTCAACACATAAGCAAAGGAATTGGTGGCTCAAAATAAGCATCCGATTTAACGTGACAGTTGTGTTATTTTGCCATATTCTGGTTTAAATTCAACAGCATCCATGAAACAATGTTCATAACTTAATTGGAAATTGTATTCATTCATCCAGAAAAGCCACACCGAGTTTTAGGATTATTTTTCAGGAGGGTCCTGTCACGTCGGGGTTTCGTTTGAAGCCATGTTCAGCAAATTAATGTCTATACGTGTGGGAGAAACGCAGCGCGCCTGGAAGAAACCACCACTTGCACACGGGCAACAATATATCCCCATACAGATGTTTACAAATGGCCATTACTCTACTTTCTATACTGCCTTTTCTTGCCGAGCCAGCATATGGCACCTCGACACCCACGGAAAGGGAGTTTTACAACATGTGTGATCCCACCAATCCTCGCCTCCAGTGTTGGATTAAAGGTGTGTTAAACGCCACCACCACCTGGCTAAACACCCAGATGATAAGTAACACCATGCCGCCCTAGTGCATGCACATTCAGATTAACTTTGTAAGAAACACTGTTGATGAGGGTATAGACACTAAAAATGTATCTCTTCAACACATACTGCAAAAATTACTTTGTAATGAAATCGATTGTAAAAAAATAACATGTCTGTAAAAGCCAGTCCATTAGCAGAGCATTTATTCAGTTAGGGGATTCAACTGAAAAAATAATTATTGCACGTAAAGACACAAATAGAAACCTGCTTGAATATGTGCTACTGGGACGTAAAACAACATTTCCAACATCAGCACACACCTGCTGACACTGCACAGTGGTCAATATCTATCGCCACAGTGGGCACCAAACGAGCTGGAAATTAGAATTTCATGCGGTGCACACTAAATACAAACAAAGCGCAACTCTACACCTATTCTTAGCTCTTTCGGTAAAGTCACGTTGAAGGGAAACAATAAAATATATATAAAACAATAAAAATTCTCATGACGTTTCATCAGGTGTGTCGGTTTGCATAAATTTATTTATTTTTAAACGGTGTATTTATTTACTTATTTTTAAAAAACGTCAGCGCCACGCGCAGCGATTTGGCAGTTTATTTAGAAGGACTAGTCCATCTATGTTCTGAAAAGAGGAGGGGGAAAACGAAAAATGAATGTATGCTGTCTGAAAGCCACTGTAAGCGTGAACAATCAATTAAGACCTGAAATGGTTTATCAAATCTTTCCAATGATTGCTAAGCCAGAATCCTTCTTCTCGGTTGAAATTGTCTCTGTGCTTGTATATGTGGATAGCCTCATGAACGAATCTCTCATGGTAGCCAGATGGCTTACAAAGAACCTCTGTCTTCGAAAAGTCAATGTCATGTGAGTCTACTAAATTATAACAATGATCTGCCACGGCCGAGGTGTTGGTCCTACCGTGTTTAAGGTCTGCTTTGTGTTCACGAATGCGGTCCGAGACATGGCGTTTGGTTTCTCCAATGTAACTACTACCACAGAGGCAACTTAGTTTGTAGACACCAGGGTACTGTATGTCCGGAATCACATCTTTTACAGACGGAACCAGATCACGGATTTTATGTAATGTGTTGAAACGGACCTGGATCTTGTGTTTATTCAAGATTTTGGAGATCTTTTTTGTGATCCCCGCAATGTAGGGTAAAGTGATGGTTTTGAAAGGCTCCTCAAGAGGGCCCTTCTTCATGGTTTGAGTGATAGCTTTGCGGATTGTATAGTCGGAGTAACCATTAGCCTTAAGAGCTTGGTGTACGTGCTTGAGTTCACTGCCTATGTGTTCCTGGTCGGATATGCATTGGGCTCTATGATACAGTCTTGATGAGAGATTTCTTCTGTGATGGTGGTGGGAATCTGATTTCAGATAAGCATCCGTATGGGTAGCTTTCCTGTAGACAGAGTGGCTCATTGAACCAATGCATATCCGACCAGGAACACATAGGCAGTGAACTCAAGCACGTATACCAAGCTCTTAAGGCTAATGGTTACTCCGACTATACAATCCGCAAAGCTATCACTCAAACCATGAAGAAGGACCCTCTTGAGGAGCCTTTCAAAACCATCACTTTACCCTACATTGCGGGGATCACAAAAAAGAACTCCAAAATCTTGAATAAACACAAGATCCAGGTCCGTTTCAACACATTACATAAAATCCGTGATCTGGTTCCGTCTGTAAAATATGTGATTCTGGACATACAGTACCCTGGTGTCTACAAACTAAGTTGCCTCTGTGGTAGTAGTTACATTGGAGAAACCAAACGCCATGTCTCGGACCGCATTCGTGAACACAAAGCAGACCTTAAACACGGTAGGACCAACACCTCGGCCGTGGCAGATCATTGTTATAATTCAGTAGGCTCACATGATATTGACTTTTCCAAGACAGAGGTTCTTTGTAAGCCATCTGGCTACCATGAGAGATTCGTTCATGAGGCTATCCACATATACAAGCACAGAGACAATTTCAACCGAGAAGATGGATTCTGGCTTAGAAATCATTGGAAAGATTTGATAAACCATTTCAGGTCTTAATTGATTGTTCACGCTTACAGTGGCTTCAGACAGCATACATTAATTTTTCGTCTCCCCCCTCCTCTTTTCAGAACATAGATGGACTAGTCCTTCTAAATAAACTGCCAAATCGCTGCGCGTGGCGCTGACGGTTTTTAAATAAATAAATACACCGTTTAAAAATAAATACATTTATGCAAACCGACACACCTGATGATGACCGTTTGTGTTATGGTTGAAACGTCGTGAGAATTTTTATTGTTTTATATATATTTTATTATTTTATTGTTTCCCTTCAACGTGACTTTACCGAAAGGGATAAGAATATGAATTACTGCAGTCACGAAAACTTTAAATCAAAATTTTACTCTACACCTGCCTGGAAATAATTCGCCTAACTAGACATCACCAAACACAGAACTTTGGTGACCAAATTACCTTGCAATCTGATCAAGTCAAACCTAGGAAGTTAGTCAAAGCTAGGAACAGGTTAGGAGTTGTTGAATAGGAGTCACCCTGGGAATACAATGTGTTTTAGGCTAGGGCTGTAAGGTGGGCAGAAGATGGAAATAAAACATTGGATTCTTGAATTTATCTTTGCAGAGCTTTGAGTTATTCCCTCATATGCGTGGTTTTATCTGGATATTTAGGTTTTCTCCCACATGCCCAACACTCATCAAGGGAAGTGGCTAAATATCGCAATCCAGCACCCTACTGATAATGATAGTATGGTTCCCACCCCCAACCAATTATCTTCACACACAAGCTTGGTGAATAAAAAGTTGGAAGATGGGAGATAACTGGATGTGAAAATGATTGAGCACCACTATATGACAATGGCGATAATGCATCTAGAACGGTGGTCACAGAAAATTAACGTATTTTATTTTGATTTGGAGATTCCAACATTGCTTTAAAGTGACTGAAATTAAGTGTTTATTAAATGTTAAGTTCACGATGCAGAAACAATAACAAAGAGCAAATACCACCGCGCATGCGAAACACAGAGTTACCAGAAATAATGATAAATTAACTCTCAGATAAATTGTGGCTAAAGAAACAAATACACTCCAAATATCAATTATTTTTTTCTAAAAATTCTGTTAAGCACAAAACATGGAAAAATACCAACTAGAACCTGCCTTAAAATAACGCAGTGGGGGGCAAAGTTAAATAAGTTTCATACTTCATCACCTGAAATTGTGGGAAGTCATGAATCAGCAAAACAATGTTATTCTGCCATTCTATTTACATCGATGTTGACGATGTTTTTCAACCAGCCCAAGAACAAAAAAGGGCACAGGTCACAATCAGCCAACGCATAGGAGTCAATGAACAAATATTAAGTGTACTGTATTATATTGAACTTATTTCGCACCGTACGAAGCCAGCCGTACACTAATCAGGTGTGAGGGAAGGACAAAAAACTAAACACAAAAAACAGGTCTAAAGAAAAGTGTGTAGTTTAATAGTGACATACAGAACCTCCCAATGGGAATTAACCTCCAAACATTAATCCACCAGCATTTACTTTATACAAATTTAAGCACAGAATGTATTTTGTTTGTTTAGTAGAACAGGTTGGCAGCTGTAGGGCTGTTGCCATTACATTCCTGACGTGGAAATACTGCCACACCCCGCAGTGTTTCAAAGGAGCTATGAATAATGCAAGGTCGGCTGAAACACGCTGCCTCGCCCATTCTGGCCTCACCCGTTCTAGCGTGCTCAGATCCATGGGGTTGAAGATATACTCAGTGTAGTCAGGATGCTGCTCCAGAGAGACGGGTTTCTGAAATGGCTCCGTCTGTTCATAGAACATATGACACAAAAGTGATGACATAACACTTGTTAATAACATAACAATACAGCCCTATCTTCCCAGGCATAAGGTCACAAAGCTAAAGGCCAAAGCATCTTCCTTGATCAAATGAGAAAAGGACAAATGTGATGTTGAATTGCTCTCGTGCACCACTGCCAAGGCAGCATCAAGAAATAATTTGTTTGAGGAAAGGAGTGGAGCAAATTTTTTTGGTGGCCCTGAAGCAGTGGTGGAAATTCCAAGTTCCCATGGTGGGAAATGTATCTCTCAAATAAGATAACCACTGTTGACTTACAACAAATACAAAATGTATTGACCCATGAAGAGATTCCAAACTAAGTCGATACACAACCAAGGATCTAACGTGCAACTATATAACCGAGTGGGGCACTCAAACAGCAGGGTCAGATAAAGCTAAAAGTAAAATAAAAAAAATGCATTTGAGGAATTGTGCGCTTTCCAGTGATCGTATAAAGATGCTGAAATTTTGTAAATTAAACCATCATAAACATTACAGCACCCTGCTGCCTACAATCTTAAAACCAAATACAAGTATCCCTCGATACGTACGTTCTTAAAAAAATCACGTAAAACGAGATTTATAAATGGGAATAGCTTTTCCCATTAATTTAATACTATAAATTAGGGACGTGTTTCGGACAATCATTCCAACTTTACTCCTAACCTAAAAATAAACACCTACAGTATATCACTTTTCACAATACAAAAAAAGGTTGAATAATGAATTAATTGGAAATACCCTTTTCAGGCAACTCACTAAAGAGCTGCATGTTGGAATGACTAGAAAGGTGATTTGGAGGCGTTACTATTGCACTGTAGGGATATCGTGAACACTGTCGCAGATGGATGACGGAGCCTCCCGGTGCATCTTATTTAATGTCATGGCACGTGGCCGTATGAAATTTCGTTAATGCAGAAATTCGATTTCGTTAATCAAAAAGTGTCCATAATGTCAATTGCGTTAACGAGAATTTCGTGAAACCGAACATTCGTAAATTGAGGGATACCTGTATCCACACATTAAGGTTTTCAGGTTCATATGTATATACACATTATTTAACCACACTTATGTCGACTTAGGCTCTTATAAGGTATATTACAATTAAAATGTGCTCAACGAAAAACATCCCTTACTAGAACAGTGTAGATTTTTACAGCTTAGCCTGAAAGCAGTTTCCTAAAAATGAATTAGTCAAAGTACTCCAAAATGTTGGCGATGACCAGTTGTGTTTACATGACGATGGGGCATAATTTACGTGTTGGCAAATATTCATTTTCTTTATGACTTTGGTGGAAATGTGCCCCTGTCTCCAACGGCCAAGGAAATGTTTTACAGATGTTGTCAAGATGACAATCTGGACCATTATCTCGACTGGTGGAATAATAACCTGCTCACAGCTTTAATGTCACTCGCAGAGACTGCCTGAGAGCACGACCACAGACGGTTGTTAATTTAAAGTCAGTCTTCACTAAACATGCAACAATTCATTGATTAGACTGATTAAAAGATTGCAATACGTGCATCTACCGATTGATTCATAATTTACTCAAATAACATAAAAAAACACATGCGAGACATACATTTGTAGTTATTACAACACAAAACCAGGCAAGCAACAGACAAATCAAGCAACTATATAAGCACGACAGTGAAATCAATACACGAAAGACTCAATTGTTGAATCAAATCGTGACCCTGAATCAATACAATTTGTTGAAGCACGGGGGGATAAACGGAAAGCGTTACACAACTGGCTTATAGCAGGAGCAAGCAGACAGTTTCACAATGACAGCCAGTAGTTAATTTATCGTCAGTTTTTCATTTAATTGAAGACAGCAGCACAAAATGACCTGCTCGTGTAAAAAAAGAAATGACATGTTAAACATTAACAAGTAAATGGGATGAGTGATTACGACCCTGTCAGGCCGACTACACAGCAAGCCCCCTAAATGCTTGCACATAATGCTATCCTTTCATGGCAATGGCCAAGTTTCGTTCAACGCAATATAAAACATTACCCTGTCAATTTAATGCACTCTGGAGTGACAATGCATGTTATTCCTGCTTTCAAATAAGAGAATACACATGGCCCCCTGTGCTGTATTTTCAAATCTTAAGTAACTTATTTTTGGGGAAAAATTATCAAGTAAAACAGTTTTTTTTTACCAGTTACAGCCTTGGACACGTCATTATGCCTGCATGCACCCAAACACATTTTGCTCGAGTTAAGAGTATGAAGAGGTGAGGATTGCTTGCAAAGTCGTGTTTCAAATATTCAATTCTGAACTATAACAATTACCATCTTACACACAGACGTATTTCATACAGTTGTGCAGATTTCCAATGTTTTAAAATACAGTAGCATTGGTAAATGCTTTTCATTGTAAGCATTTTATATACGTTAATGATGCATGCATTAAATAGTGCGTATAAAGAAACTATTATTTACAAATGATGGAAATTAATTTGTATAGTGTTTACATTAGCACATTGAACGAGACAGAACAAGAGACAACACAAACAAGGCAGTGCAAGACAGCAAGACAAAACAAGATTAGAATCTTGAACTGCATCAAATCGCATTGGTGGTGATGAGAGGTGAATCGTTGCATCCCCAGTATTTATGGACAGTCCTCGATTTATGAACACCCGACTGACTTACGAACATCCGCACTTACGAACTAGCTTCCACGAGATAGTTATAGTTTTAACAGACTTGAAAATGCGAGTAGTAGTGCAATGGTCAGCACTGTGCTATCAACCCAGCGACCTGAATTCAATTCTCACTCACAACCAACACCAGTGACGATTATCTGAAAGTGTCCTAGGCCTCCCCTAGGTCAACTTAGCCTCAAATTAGTATGTATGTAGAACTTATTTCGCAATGTACGTCGCCAACCACACTAATCGGAGGTGCAGGAGAAGGACAATTAAATAAACACAAAAATCTGTCCAAAAGAAATTAGTTTTAAATCTAGATTTAAAAGTGAATAGCTCCAGTGCAAACATCGCAACTGGGGAGGTGGCTGTGCCAGCCCTCATAAGCGCTGCTAGCTAACAGCACTTGACCCAACAGTCTGTTAAGGTTATGTGGGGCGGGGGGGGGGGATCGTTGTCATTATTGTTTGTGTGCGCACAATTGTGGGGACTCATTATGCCATTGTGGGGACTCATTATGCCCTTCCGACAAGCAAGCCAGCATCAGGACTCAAGTTGTGAAAATAAACCTGATTTTTTTTATTAATGTTACTTTATTTTATGTTTTATTGACTACAGAGTATTAATTATAGTATTACATGCAAATGTCCAAAATTTCTTTTTCTTTGAGTTTAACAATGCTTTCCTGACCGTATGTGCATTTAAAATACAGTACATTGTGTTCCGACTTACGAACCGTTCGACTTACGAATGGGTTTCAGGAAAGGAACCCGTGTGTACGTCGAGGACTGCCCTAATGTAAAATGGACTTGATTTAATAAAATAAAAATCCAGCCGTGAGTTCAGTGGCTACAATTCGATTACACATCACGTTGTGGAGAAGCCACACAATGCACATTCCTCTTCTCATGCCCCTTGCCTGCCTGGCTGCCAAACAATCACCCAACGCTGCGGTTCTCACATTAATTGGCCCAGCACAGAACATGGAACGAGACTGAAGGCCATGACCCTTTTGGAACATTTTAGGGCAATCGTTGTTGGAAATTGTCACCGGCAATGCATGTCCTGTACAAACAATGGCAATAGCACAGCTGAAGAGTTCTGTCGAGCAAATGAAAACAGTTCAAAATTGTTTCATGAATTACTGGTCAACAGCACACTACCTTGCGTAGTCATGTGACCTCCGATTTGATTGAAAGTGTACATCTTGGTTGCCTACAATAGGAGAAATAATGTCCAATTGGTCAACTACATGCTATGCAACAGAAAATTGTGCTGCAACCATTGCAGGTCACGAATGTCAACGTTGATTATTGAAACATTTCACAAGTGCAATATGATGACCTTTTAGGGATGGTACTCACCCCTGTGTGTTTCATCCTCTGCAGGGCAAACTTGAGCAGGTAGCTGAGCTGGTCCGTTGTGAGCATGGACATCGCTTTGCTCTGCGTCTCTATGCACTCTGCCACTGTTACTTTCTGCAACGGACGAGACAGAATCAAAGATAACATTAAACTGAGAATGTCTTGCAGACATGGTGGTTTGAAGGAAGGTATGTAAATTAACAAAAGAAAATATAAGTCAATTAATGGTCAAGCATACTGTCATTTGGCCAGATGCACTATATAAGTATTTACAAAGTTGCACAAAACAAACACTGGCTGGCACATCTCCAATGAATACCCTCAGCCAGGTGGAAATTCCATGTTTCTATGGCAAGGGGTAATTACAAAGAAAAAAATCAATGGCAAACATTTACAACGTAGTATAGCATGCACTTGACCAACATGGAGGGACGATGATGGACTGAGTCAACCCCTGACAGGGATATAAACAAAGGGCCTTCCAAATCTTTCTATGACGCATTTTGGTTCTCAAGTTAGGAATAGAATGCCACCTCTTCCCACCCCGTGTCCCGAGTTAATTTCCAAGTAAAGATTACCAACTGGCAACCCAAGTGACCTCTATGTGAACAGCACGGTTGGCTACACAGTGCGAATGAAGTTCAACATACATACAACAGGTAAAGCTCATGCGTTGGCATTCAATGTTAACCTTTAAAAAAACAATACTGCCCCCACTCTCCAGGTCAGGTCATGTACACTTAAAAAAAGCAAATAATAGATTTGGTAAATGGAATTTTGCGTGTAGATTTTGGATTGTTGTACACGAAAACCTCACTGAACGAAGTTTTATTGAGCACATGTTTCGGTGATACACGGTTTACTTTAAGAGGTCTGTTATCCATAACATGGTGGTGATGTTTCGGCGATACACTGATTAACGTTGCTATGATAGTTGTTAGACAGGCTTGCGAGAGATGAGTGCTGCATTTGTTCAAAGGTACTGTGGTGTGGATGAATTGACTGAGAATAATTCATTTACCACGTATGCTTTTTTGTGTAAGTTTTTTTCTCATTCTTTGGGTTTTTCGGTAAAGTCACGTAGATAGGTTAAAAAATACAAAAACTACTACGTTTTGATCGCTACACAAGCGGTCGTCATCAGATGGAGAAAAAATAGGGGTTAGCCTCTAAAGGTAAACTGTTTATAAAGGTTTAAAATGGGCGTAGCCCAAGTGTCAGAACGGAGTGGGCGGGGCACAAGAACCCTGGGGGAGTACGAGCGGAGGAGCTTATGTTAATGCGAGGGATTAAAAAACGGTGGGCCTCGGCATATTGAGCGGAGGTTATGTTAATGTGAGGGATAAAAAAAACTGGTGCGCTACGGACAGTACTAACATTGAAACATTACAGCCAGTTATGACTTAAACTGGTTGATAACGTCCTTCCAGAGATTGCTGAGTTTGTACCCATCCTCTCGGTTAAAATTGTGTCTGTATATATGGATGGCTTCATGAATGAATCTTTGTTGATAGCCAGTGGGCTTGCCAAGTACCTTCGTCTTAAAGAAATCAATTTCGTGCGAGCCAACCGCATTAAAACAATGATCAGCCATGACCGAGGTATTGGTCCTACCGTGTTTCAGATCTGTCTTATGCTCAGGAACACGGTCCGAGACATGTCGCTTAGTTTCCCCAATGTAACTATTGCCGCAAACACAGCTTAGTTTGTAGACGCCATTGTATTGCATGTCAGGGATCGCATCCTTCACAGATGGGATCAGATTGCAAATTTTACGTACTGTTAAATCAAAAATGGATTTTGTTTGCTTATGATTTTCGAAATCTTTTTGGTGACCCCTATGTATGGCAAGGTGATAATTTTGATTGGGTCCTCAGATGGTTCTTTCCCAACGGTTGGGGTGATAGCTTTACGGACTGTGTAGGCTGAATATCAATTCGTCTTGAGAGCTTGTTGTACGTATTCCAGTTCACTGGCTAGGTGATGATGGTAGGAGATGCATCAAGCTCTATGGTGTTGAGTTTTTATGAGGGAATTCTTCTGGGATGGATGGTGGTGGGAGTCAGGTTTGAAGTATGCATCGGTATGGGTTGCTTTCCTGTAGACAGTGGCCCATTAAGCCATCTGGTCTCTTTTCGATTAAAACATCCAAGAATGGTAGCTTGCCATCCTTTTCGACCTCGATCGTGAATTTGTTGCCTAGGTGTATGGAATTGATGTGGTTGAGGAATTGGTTCAGAGCTGGTCGGCCATGTGGCCAGATGACGAACGTGTCATCTATGTACCTCTTCCACAGGGACGGATGGAGAGTGGATGCCTGTATGGCGTCTGTCTCAAATCTTTCCAGGAAACATTGGCTACAACCGGAGATAAGGGAGAACCCATTGGGGTGCCTTCAACTTGTTTGTAGAATGTTCCATTCCAGGTGAAGTATGTGTTGGTGAGGCAGTGTCTCACCAGGGCCAGTACATCAGCATTCAGTTCTTGTTGGGCCAAATCTTCAATGATTGCAATGGTGTCAGGCACAGGAGCTTTGGTAAACAAAAAGACTACATCGAAACTAAGGAGCAAATCACCTGGAGATAGTGAGATGTCCCTAATTCATGATACCAAGTGAGCCGAGTTAAGTACAGCTGAGGCGGTCTTACCAGTGAATGGTTGTAAGGTCTCAGACAGAAATCGGGCCAGTTTGTAGGCGAGCGAGTCAATGGTGGAGATGATAGGATGAAGGGGTGGACCTTTTTTATTGATATTTGGTAAGCCATACAATCTGGGTGGTCTAGCAGCAGAGGGTTTTAAGGAAAACCGCTTGGTTTGTTCGATTAAATAAGTCGAATCAGTGATATTGTTGTTTTTTGTAACGAGGCTGTTGGTGGGATCTCTTTTAATATTTGTAAAGCTGCCATCATTAAGTAGGTCCTGAATTTTGTTATTGTATGTGGTTTTGTCCATGATGACCGTGGCATTGCCCTTGTCGGCTCAAAGATGACGATGTCGTCCCTCTTTTTTTATTGATATACCTATCTACGTGACTTTACCGAAAGACCCAAAGAATATGAATTCCTGCAGTCACGAAAGCTTTAAGTAAAGTTTTTTTCTCGTGTGGATAATATAACATATATGTACTCGACACACTCACACACAACGCAAATGTTCACACGATGCCCCATTCATCTAGCTGTCCACTCGTTTAGGACATCAGTCATATGGATGCCTAGAAAGCGAATCATTAACGTTCAAGTGTCAATGTCAATGGTGAGCGTTGGGCTTCAGGTGAAATTGAAAAATAAAGTGTGCAAACACACAAGAAATGGAGAGCAACTCAGCATCTTTTTAGTACAATAACTAGGGAGGAAATCACATAAAATTAGCAAAACAAAGAGATAGGGAGAGAATATTCGGAACCAGGAACAACCCTATTTTCCCATTAGGTCTATTATTTGTTGAACGCGGTTTTGCCCAAACACAGCATTTTCCAGGAACGTAGCCCGCGTGTTAGGCGATGTTTTCCCATATGACTTTTTTATTCTGGAGTGATAATCTGAATGGCATTTTGAAAACTCAAACAGTTGTATTATATACACTGATAACGGGCGATGGCTCACCTCACATTCAGGGCAGAACCAGTCTCCCTCAGGCTCCGCGGCGAGTTTGAGACACTTGGCGTGATAGACACGTGGACAGAGTTCGCAGCAAAGCACCTGGCCTTCGCGGTGGCAAACCCAACAATAGAAATCGTTGCGTCCGTCCTGCGGCACCGCCGGCGCCGTGTCAGAGGAGGGCTGGTAGAACGGTCCGCGTGCCACCGGCATCTAAACAAATAATTACAGGCAGCAGACATGTAAATATATGATCGAGAGGACCAAGGAACCTGTGGTATTGATGACGAGTTATTTAAAAAAACAACACAAAGTCCACACATACACAAAGACACAGAAAATGATCACACGCACACACACAGGGGTCCTCTCCCACCTGCTCCTTGCCCAGCGGGGTGTTGGGCCTCTTTTTCTTCTTGCCGGGGGAGGGCGAGGATGCGGGAGAGGTATCGCGGGTTGCGTGGTGTCCGTTGGACGGAGGCTGAGGGCTCGGAAGCCGGCGCTTTTGCGGTACCCGTTCGGCTGTGCCTGGCTCCCCGGAATGCAGCAGCACCATGTCCCCCTCCGAGTTGTGTGGGCTTGAGGCTGCACACCACCCCACCTCTGATTAGCACAGTTGACTACGTACGATGCGAAAGAAGTTCAACATAGATATATCACATTAGAACAAAGAGCCCCCATCACCGTGACTAAAAGAAAACTCAAAGTGGTGCCCTGCTCAATCGACCGTGTAGTGACACTCATCTCCTGACCTCGAACAAAGACACTGGAGAACTTAAAATCGAGTGAGAGCTGGGAAGAAAAGACTGGTGACAATGTGGCCAAGTGGAAGCAGAGGAATGATGCCAATTGAAAACGTGGAGAGCCTGGGTAAACACTTGAACACTGCATGATGCATTGCATCTCGTTAACATCCTGCAGACCAAAGTAACTATTCAAGCCAAGTAGAACACCAGGTCTCCAAAGCGAGTGATGAAAATTCCATATTCATGCGGCAAAGGTGAGTCCATCTATAACGCAGCCATTTCCCACCCCGTAATACTCATGTTAATAAGCCCTAGAAAAGGGCTACATCGAAGATGTCTGGGATTTTAACACGACCAAATTATCCACCTCAATTCGTAGTAACAAGAGGTCCAACAATAGATTGGTCACAGCCGTGTCAAGGAAAGTTCACTTTACTCCATCTCGAGTAATCTACACTCGGCCTGCCTCTTCACAGCAAGTTCCTCATCTCTTGGGACTACTTGACCACTTTTCATCCCGTGTCAACAAGTTTCCATCCACACTTTTGATTTTCCACACACACACTTTAAAAACAGCAACACTAATTGCTGGGGGAGGAACGATTCAACATGCCACATTTCGTGAATTGCATAGGTTACAATTCGATCCAAGAATCGATTATTTTTTCACATCGGGGTAAATGTTAGCGCCTCTGGGAGCTGCTGGGGTGATGTGCACCCATCACAACCTATAGTGATCTGAAACATCGCTTCATTCGCATACAAATGTATGTTTATTTTGTATAGGCTTAAGAATTTACATTAATAGATCAATCAATACATCATTCCACTCATATAAATTGCCATTTACTCTTGTAGAATGGATAACACATGTTAAGTTTCTATTTGTCATGCAAAGATTTAGGGACAGAGCCCAAAGACAATGCCACTATTACAGTAATGAGAGCTCGGGGTCAGGATCTACATCATGGGACCTCCTTGGCCAGTACCAACATATGCGAATAGGTTTTTCCCTTTTTCCCCCTTGCTGTACGCCTTTTGGCATCCTCTGGTCTAACACCGTTTTGAGACGAGGCTGTCTCTGGTGTGGACCAATCAGCTTCAAAGACAATGCATATATTATCAGAGTATGTTTTTTGTTTGCATTTTGACCACAAGTATTGTGGTTAATGCAGACATGATTCCTTGTAAAAGGTTTAAGTTTGGTGTTTTAATAACTTAACACCTGTTTTGTTGCCAGGTAAAAGGGGAAAAACCTATTATCATATTTTGGTACTGGCAAAGGAGGTCCCATGACGTAGATGCTCACCCCGAGCTCTCATTACTCTGCTAGTGGCATTGTCTTTGTGCTGTACGCCTTTCAGCACGGTTGATTACATACGGTGCAAAATAAATTCCACATACATACAAACCAGGAAGCACTTTTGTCAACGCAATAGAAACGTTTTCAATGTATAAATTCTAGACAAGCACAAAATACAAATAAATCATACTTATGCAGCCATACAATAAAATACTCCAATATAAACCTCACAGCTTGCACCAACTGGCCAAATGTAATCTGTGAGGAAGTCAAATGGCCGTTTGTTAATTTTCAGGAGCTCAGCAAGATTTCCTTGGCAGGATTAGACAGTTTCACCCTCCTTGCCCTATTTTTTTCAACAGTGCCTTTGGCTCATGAAGGAAACCAGCCACACGCAACTGTACAGCAGGGTCCAAACATTCCAGAGAGATACGTCACCCCCACGACCATGGTGTTAGCACCATGGTCATCTACCCTTTGGCAGGAGACAGAATTGAGCATTCATCAGAAGCCCCTACTTCCATGCACTAAACAAATACCGCATACTTTAGTGTGGTGTACACAGCCACGGATTGGTAACAACACTTACAGTTCTGTACTATTATCTTGGTGTGTGGTACTGCTGTATAACTGCTATTCACATGGTACTGGTTTAAAATTCTGGTTGGGAGCTAACTAAGCCCTCTGGCAAATACATTTATACATGTGATTTTTGGTGACTAGCCCCAGTGAGAAGAATGTGGAATTTACACTGCTGTCTAATTTATAAAAGTGCCAAGTGACATCCGAGTGCTCATTTTAGTCCAGCAGCGGATTAAAAAAGGATGAAAAAGCAGTTCCATATTACTCATGTTGTTCATGTGTTTTTAATCTTTCCTCGTGCACAACTGCCACATTTTCCTTGGTCTATAATTACTTTAATTTGAGGAAAGCCTGAGTCTCAATACACTTTGAGCAGTGTTGAATTGGAATGCTTTTCAAACTAAAAATTAAAAAAAACTTACTATGATTAATGATAGGATTCACTTCTACAATTTCCTTTTCGGAGAAATTGAAAAATAATCCACAAGGGCACTGAAGAAGTAAAAAAAATCTCGCAGGTGAAGCGGAACCCTTCGATGGGCCACTTGGGAGACAAGATGGCGACTCGATGGCGTGCGTTTCTTCCTCCGCAGCATCATCACAAGCAGTGCAGTTAAGACTGCAGCACTACTTTACGATGCGAACTGTACAGGAATGTTGCAGTCAACCACCAACGGTCAAGCCACAGAGGCACAATCGGCGATCTGTACCTCAATAAATTTGGCGTGAATGGTCCAATCCGCAATGGGCAAAATTTGTGTACAAGACAGTACCTTGTACCATACAGAACATAAATTGATACAAAGCATTAATAAAGAATGTATTGGCCGGTGATAGCAACCCAATATGGTGACCGCAACATGACATGAAATATGAGGCTACTCTGCAGATGTCTTTTTGGCTCTGCCAATGATTTCTGCTAAATCTCCAAGTCGAGGCAACAACACTGTGGGCTACTTTACCATTAAACGAAAAATGTTCCTTGTACAATACCAATTCGGTTCTGCAAGATTAGAGGGTTTCAGTTGCAGATAATTTTCAGTACAGTGGTTGTTTTCAGTGCAAAGATAATGAAGAATTTATTAAATGCCTATATTTTGCACTTTTGAATCTATTTCAGATTAAGTTCAAGATACAGCCAATGAATAATATTGAGAATATATTATCCACGATTTAGGCAAACTATATAGAATTGTTACATTCATGCTCATGGAGCAAACGAAACAAAGGCTAGCGAGCTGAGCTTGAGTTTGCTCCCCTGAGATATGACACCATTACATTGCAAACTGCATTGTCCTTCCAGTAAACGGAAGTTTTTAATAAGCATTGCAGTACTCCCATCAGACAAGGAAATCAGCTTTTATTAGAAGGCCAATATCCAGCAAAGTTAATTGATTCATTAGCATAAGGCGCCATCATAACAGTGGCAAAAGCACAAGAGCAGAAATCACGCAGCTAATGACTGGTATGATTGCTAAGGCCAATGTATAGAAAGGACAGTGATCGTGTCCAATTAATTGAAATATTTAAACACTGTACTCGACCCAATCATTTCAATAGGATTCAAGAAACGTTACAGAATAAGAAGACCAAAAACGAGCACTAAAACAATACTAAATTGCTAAATTATATGCTAATTCCTTTGTCAAGGCGCTTTGTTTCTTCTCACACAGCTTAAAGGTCGTGATCTCAGCGTGGCTCTCACTCCAGCGCTGTCCTCCAGACAGTCTCGTCCCCTTCACCTGATGAAGGCCGCTTGTGTTGTGGCCGAAACGTCGTGAGAATATTATTGTGTTATTTTATTTTATCAATTTATTATTTTATTCTCATTCTACGTGACTTTACCGAAAGAACCAAAGAAGACTAAAACAATATTCAAGTACTCTATTGTACTGAATCAATTAGCAGTATGTCTGCTTGTTTTCCCTCCTGGTGCAAACAACACATGGGATGAAGGACACTGGCGAGACAATTTTATAATCGAACGATTGTGTAATCCGGGTCTCAAATATTTTTTTCCCTTTTAAACCCCCCCTCCCCCACGGTGACTTCCTGTCAACCTACAAAACAAAGCTGTTTTTTATCTTGCTATTATTATTCTACAAGGACACTCTGCCACCAGAATGCCATCTCAGGCTGAGACAGGCGATTCATTCAAAAAGTTCACGACCACTGAGCATTATCACACATCCTAAATGTGACGCTGTGATGCCTTTCTTAGCCACCTCTCACAACACATTCTTAAGAAATTGCTTTAAGATAGACTTAAAACTTTCGTGACTGCAGGAATTCATATTCTTGGTTCTTTCGGTAAAGTCACGTTTTCTATCTACGTGACTTTACCGAAATAAACAAGAATATGAATTGCTTTAATGTATTTAATAACTTTTTTTATGTAAAACCCTGTTGAATAAACTGCAAAAAGCTGTCTCCCTACAGTTTCTGATTTAGGAAAATACACACAAATTCCAAAAGCAACCATTTCCCCCACACAGAATACAGTAAAGCCATTTGCTCTAATTTCATGTTGCATTTATTAGTCAAATTACTGGACTATTTTGGAAATTGCACATTAAAGACAGATGTGTGAATGTGTTAGCTTGTGGAAGTTTTATTGTATATTTTTGCCATGAAATGGAGAAGCATCTATGTTGCAATCTTTACCATTTGTGTTCGCCAGGTGCGGGGAGACGACTGATTTTGGTACTGGATCAGGTGTCGATAAAGGTCTCGATGCAAGATTTGAAAAGCTACTTTTAAAGTTTTCTTCACCATTCTGTTAGAATGTAAATTTCCTATATTTTAATATTTTTCAACTCACTCAGCAAAATTAAGGCGAACAATTATGGGATTGTGTTGGCAGCAGTGCAGAAGACAAAGTGAATCAGTTTGAATCCAATGCTTCAAATGCCTATGTACATTAAAAGGGAGTGTTATTTAAAAATATGCCCAAAGAATTATCATCAGGTTAGTCAACCACTCACAAGCTTCCAATTATAATAAAATAATTTACAACCCTTTGTCAATCGACTGCTAGATGAAGGCCTCCCTCCGTGTCGGTCATATGGGGCTTGTTTGATCATATTTCATGGTGGTCAGTGTGGGTTGGTGATATCGATCGCCATTGGCGTTAGGCATGACTGGGTATCAAACTCAGGCGGCTGGGTTCATAGCAAAGTGCACTAACCACAGCACAACTGCTCCCCTGCAATCGTAATAATATACGTTCTGTAATGTGATACATTTATTTACTAAACAGTTTATCGCCTATTCTTGCACAAACTAAAGCTAATAACACATCTCTATAGAGTGCCTATTACCATAATACTGTACACCAGAAATAGGGCCAAATTCTCATCTTGAAAAAATGGCCAAAGCTTATCGCCTCCGTCAATTTGCCCTTTTGTTTGGTCAAGGAGAAATTGGCACGCTTCCACATATAAAAGCGGTCAAAGAACATCCGTAAATACATCGATCGGGCCAAGGTTCTTCGTTCAAAGTTAAACAGGGAATGTTAAAAAGCACCACTGTAGTATGCATTAAAGCCGTCGTGAATGCATGAATACATAATTATTCTGGATAAAAAGATATAACCAATTGTATTGTTGTACAATGAAAGACAAGACACGTCTCAAATGGGCTTAACTTGTTAACATTGAGCCGGTTACTATATTTTCAACCATGACTATATGTTAAAAAACACTGTGGTAGAGACACCCCCCCCGCCCCATAGGTTAGTGCCATGCCCATTTTTGTGCACATTCACTGCCTTCATCTACACATACTCTTGTGATATTATTAAACTGTCAATGTTTAAATGGCTGCATTTCCATCAACAACCATTGCACCTGTCTGAAGAAAATAGCGCACTTCCATAATACAGCACACACGAGATACTGATTTGCTTAACCGATGCGATACGCAATCCTTAAAAGGAGACGCAAGATGATAAAAAAAACAACCCTACAAAGCAGCCGGTCATGTGCATGCGAAAAAGGCGTTCATTTTCGTGGCGGCAGCCTGTTATAGTGTTGCGCTTGCTTGGCACCACAGTGCTTCTCCCCCCTCGCCTGTGGGACTAGGCTGCATTTACGTCGGCCATCTTAGCTGATCCCTTCACAGTGTGTCATTTGGGATAACGCGTATGTGCCTGTCCGTTGTTGATCTCGTCACCCTCCAAAACAAAAACACGCAGGATTAGGCTTGTTACAATCCGAATGACGGAGATGACAGCCGGCTCTGTTGTGCGCAAATGTGAACCCTGCGTGCAAACTACCTGTACACAAAAAAAAGGCTGCAATAACGCAATGTTAAAGTAAAAACACTGATACTATTTTAAACGTGGTGGCATAATATGGTATACAGTGCAGCATTTTTATCTGTCCACTGGCACTTACCACATTCATTATGGTTTCGCTATGGCTTTCGGCTTACCTCTCAGCCTTGTATTCATCTCCATTTTCCCAGCCAGCTCACCATCCGTTCTGTTAAGGGGTTCCTTTGTTAAGCTATCGTGGAAAAACACACACACATCGGGTTGGGGGAGGGGGGGAAAAGGCAGAAAAAGGGTTAGCATCTGCAAACAGCATCACTCTCCCATCTTTGTGTCCGTGGGAACAGTCGTTTTGTGAACGCAACTTTGCATTAATGCAGATATTAGCTTTGGGGTGTTTAGCATGCATACCAGCTGTCGTAAGGGCCTGTATAGGGTGCTGTACAGTGCAGCGACTATCGGTAACGCCCTGCTTCTCTGCCAGGGTAAGCCATGCTGGCGCCAATTTGAACCAATTCTTTATAAAGCCTCCCAGACACGCTTAGCTTCTTCTGTCAAAACAGGCTGGCCAGTTTAAATGCTCCGTCTTATCAACCACTACACCTGCAGTATTCCAAAATAAAAACGAATCAAAATAAGACACTTATAAACTAAAATGCCCTGCACTGGTAAGTACAAAAAAACGACATGCTCTAAGTTTGCCGACTTTCAAAACCTTGCTTACATGACAATGGCTTTAAGAAATGTACACACAAAAAATCAACCCAAACTAATAATGCTCAAAGACGACCACGTGATATATTGTGCAAGACAGCACATGTTTACATTTCAGTGCCGTATTTGTAGTCATGTAACATTGCCAAGTGTAAATTAGAACTGTATTACATATGCAGAAAATTATTTACAATGACAGTTTTGAAACATAATAATACGGTATATCAAATCAAAGGAATTACGCTGGGCTGTAGTGTATCTTTTATTTTTTTTAAAGGCTGCTATTATTATAAAATGCTGTTGTGGTGTAGATATTTAAACCATTGAGTAATGTTGCTCCTGTGTGGGGTTTCTGTAGACTATTGTTCTAAGAAGTCAGTATGTTTGCAGGAACGTGTATTACCTTAGATTATAAGGGTGGGAACATTGGTGCAGTGGTTAGTGCACAACACTGTCAAAAACCGGCGACCTGAGTTGTATTCCTGTTCATGGCTTAAATCAGTGGCAAGTAACATCTTAACCGGTCCTACGTTATCCCTTCAACAGTTAATACTAATCATCGTGGTGAGTTACAAGGTGTGGGTAAGGCCTTTATCCAGCAGTGGAGTGAAAAAAATTGCTATCATATAATTATTTATTCCACAGAACCTCATCTGTTATTGTCCTGCTATATTCCTGGTACCAGTGAGTGCGCATAAAATGACATGAAATAATACCTGTAAATCTCAAATCTTGATATGCATCATTTGTTCACGCACTTATAAGCTAAATATATCATCATAGCCATTGCACGTGCTTCAAGATGGCACCTTTCAGCAATGTGCATCAATGCTTGTTCGCAAATTGAATATCAGCATTAGCAAGAAGCCGTTACCGCGTATTATAGTACACCATCGTCAACCTCACACTTCTGTTTCATAGGTTCACCTACTACAGTCCAGTATTGTGTTCGAACTGCCCTCTAGACAACTACTGCATCTGGCCTACAAACACTTCAGAAGGTTTTCTTTGTGAGCTCACTGAAACCACAATCTCACTCATTTAGCAAACATTTCTTGGAACTGAGGTACCACCTTCTCAAGAGTAGGTTTAACAGTTAAAATTAACCGTGCTCAAAGTAATTCTACAAGATCAAGCAATTTGCACAGCATCGTAGACAATATCTTGCCTTCGGTGAGTCGGGTTTGAAATTTTAAGTAACATTTTTTACCTGTGCATTATTAATACGTAGGCTTTCGCGACCAATATCATCCATAATACAGCCAGATCTAGCTTTATCAGGCGACAGCCTGTGTGAGGACTGCCCTCTAGACAACTTCTGCAGCCTGATGAAGGCGACAGCCTGATGAAGCTAGTTGTAATTACTGGCGAAACCTCGTACTCAGATTGTAAATGTTGTGGCTTTGCTCTCAACACACAGGTGTGCTGTACTAGTAACGAATTGGCATGTTCCGTTTAGGTGACAAACCTTACAAATTGGCTGTGTCGGGAGGTGGCGGGTTTAACGACACTTTTATATATTTACGCGATCTAAATAAAAAAACCTGGATTATGGCTGTGCATTATTGTCAGTTCAGTTCTTGGTTGTATGAAACACTCGTACGATACTTCTTGGTTTTCTTCTACAGGTTGTAATTTAAATCAACATAAATGGGAACCATAACTGAAAGTGCTTTTTCTAAGATACTGCAGTACAATGCCAGGGTGCCCATGTCCAAGAAGCGCATACAATCCACATACAGCATGGTTATTGTACACAAACGTGTCATCTAATGTCCCTGTTCAAACTAAAATCAAGCCAATTAGCAGAATCTGGAACAAAAAAGACCAAGAGAGCAGAATATGCCGTTCCCCCTGCGTATAACTAAAATTCCACATTCCTCTTGTGAAACTGAAGGTCAATCTACTCTACTGTACCTCAAAACAACATCCGTTCTGCGTTCATGCCAAGGGGGGGGGGGGGCGGCAATACGTGTTCGCAAAAGTACTCTACCCGTTCAACCACTCCCCTAAAGGAAACATTGCACACAGTTGTACACTGGCCAACACTTCAAATTCACAATCTCTTCGTATTGGTGGTGGCCCACTTGTCTGACGACTAGGGTTAAACCCTGGTGGTATCTGTATATCCAGCCTGCGTAAAACACTACCGTACAGCACGGATGGTATGGCTGGTCTGCACAATTCCTGTGGAATGAAAGTAACGCAAAGTACTGTCCAGTAGGATATATAACCTCGGATTACTTCCCTTTGAAGATCACAGCTTTAAACCTTTCAACGTGTAAAAAAAAAAAAACGCCGATTCAAAATGCCGTGCAGAAAGTGTTGTAAATTCTCTGCCCTTAAATGAAAAAGAAACAATCTAGATATAACAGTAAACAATTCCATGCTGAAATCTACATTTAAGAAGCCACTGGAGCGATGCACTTTAAAATCTAAATTGGGAGTTATTTCAAATGTAACTCATGACTGCTTTTCGTGTTTAGTTTGTGGTCTGTCCGTCCCGCACACCTCCCATGATCACGGTTGGCTACGTAGGGCTACGAAAGACGTTCAACATACAAGTTGACCTGTGCCCAATTAATACATGAAAATGTGGCCCTAAATTCAAATACAAAGGCGACTCAACGATGTCGGTAATTACCTAAAAGTACCCATTCCCCGTCACTTGCAATAATACAAAGTACAGTACTGATCTTGAAACTAAAAATACTTGCATTACAATGGAGAATGCGAGCATGCACATTTCAGCGAAACATCCGTCAAATTTAAGTGATCCTCCAAAGTGTAAACATAAAAATGGCATTTCATCACAAATCAGTGAAGTGTTTCAGGACCACAGGTTGGGGCGAGGATGTGGTAAGACTTTGCTGCATGCGCTACCCAATACAGTACTTGTAAACTGTGCGTTGTAATAGGTAAGAATCAGGCCACAAACGCACCATCTATTTCCATACACAGTAGTACGCAAAGTACAGAAATGAAGTACTGCACAGCAAAAACCTGCGTACAATCTGTTCATCGCACTGTATTTACCAATTTCACGATCCACATAAAATGTTATCTGGATTAGAGCTTCTACTCTGTGGGCCACATTCATTCACATCTTGACAAAACGACCGAAATGCACTGCCCTGGCAATTTGCATTCCCATTTTTGGTAATGGAAACGTCGTCACGTTTTCCCCAACATCATAAACAAAAAGTCACTAAAAAAAAGGAACGTTCACCACATGAAACGGCCAATATTAAGCTCAATAAATAGCACTGTAGTCTCTGCCGTAGGCAATACAATGCGTTATAAGGAGATGGTGGTAAGGACAATAGTGGCATTTGTTCCATTTCCTGGCTCTTTGATGCACCCACTTGGGGGCTACCTGTCATGATACGGGCATGCCACAAGTCCCGGAGCTCACTTCTGTTGTTCCTTACAGACCCAGTGGGTAAGGCTGTCTGTGAGCATGAGATTTACTAGCTTTACTAACCAGGCTCAACGTTACTGTGAGATTCCAAGATTGGGCAGAGTCAGGGTGAGTTTGTTGCGGGGCCAAATCGTTCTATTTAGCGGCGTTTTACCACTTTCCACGGTAAAATTAACTTGTTTGTACACGATACAAGACTGTACTGTCAATCATTTAAGCGCCAATCGGCAATGCTAATTATCTACACGTATGCGTGTGCTGCACACTGCACAAAGTCATCAGTTCAACCCACACAGTACCGTTCTATACAGTACATCAGGACTGTAGAGTAAAGTATAAATCATGTCTAATAACATCAGGTGCAGGTGTTGACAGCATTGTACCCCTGTTGGAAATGCTTTTGTCCCTTTAGTGGAGGTAGTATCAGTGGATTGTGTATTGGGCCATGTCAGTTGTTGCCCTATAAATGTATAGCATTGCATTCAAGGTATGAAGGAGCCGTGGAATAGTGGCTCACGGAGTGCACCGCAAAACCAGCAACCTGTGATCGATTCCCTGCTACGGCTAACATCAGTGGCACACGTGACATCTGAAGCCCCCGTTCACCAAACCGCACGGATCAGCATGGTGAAGAAGAATGTTCAAACAACCTCCATGACCCCTGTATGTGGGGGAGGCCTTCATCCAGGAGTGGATTGACAAAGAGCTGTGAAAAAACAAAGGTGTGCTACAAATCAGTGGCATTCAATACTGCGCACGTGTGCACACACGATTGCTATTTTACTCGGTACAGTCAACTGACAAAGGCCACTACCGGAAACATTACAATAATACGTGTCCCAAATCTACTTCAGTACATACACTGAAATGTTCTAGATACATCCCTCGCAGTGCCTGAACCAAGGCCTAAAAGACGTATAGTGAACATACAGTACTTGGACCCACCATTGTAACCCCCTGTAAACATCGGCGCATCATAAACGTTGCCGTTTACCTTGCCGTCACCTTTACACGCTGCGGCGCTCTGAATGTTTACACGAGTCGACACAAAGTACAATACCGCAATGTTACTCTATGCCTTGTGGATCCAATGACGTTTC